TACTACTACCGGTACTACCTCAGATCCAACMACAACTACCACWACKACYACAACTGTGGACCCAACWACAACAACTACTACTACCGGTACTACCTCAGATCCAACCACAACTACCACTACCGGTACCACCGCTGATCCAACAACAACAACAACCACAACTACATCAGATCCAACKACCACGACTGCTGGTACCACCTCTGATCCAACAACRACAACTACTACTACCGGTACTACCTCAGATCCAACYACAACTACAACTACATCGGATCCAACTACCACGACCACTACCACCTCTGATCCAACTTCTACCACCACGACGACAACGGATCCAACGACCACAACTACTACCACTACCGGTACTACCTCAGATCCAACAACAACTACCACTACCGGTACCACAGCTGACCAAACTACTACCCCTGCCGGTACTACCTCAGATCCAACCACAACTACCACTACCGGTACCACCGCTGATCCAACTACCACGACCACCACTGCTGGTACCACCTCTGATCCAACTACCACCACGACGACAACTGATTCAACTACCACGACTACTACCACTACAGGTACTACCTCGGATCCAACAACAACTACCACTACCGGTACCACTGCTGATCCAACTACCACGACTACTACCACTACCGGTACTACCTCAGATCCAACCACAACTACCACGACCGGTACCACCTCTGATCCAACTACCACGACTACTACCGCTGACCCAACTACCACAACTACTACCTCTGATCCAACTACCACGACTACTACCACTACCGGTACTACCTCAGATCCAACCACAACCACCACTACCGGTACTACCGCTGACCCAACTACCACGACCACAACTACTGGTACCACCTCTGATCCAACTACGACCACTACTGTGGACCCAACAACAACAACTACTACCACTGACCCAACTACAACGACCACAACTACTACTGTTAATCCAACTACTAGCACCACGACGACCGCTGATCCAACTACCACGACTACTACCACCACCACCACCGGTACCACCGCTGATCCAACTACATCAACTACTGTAAAGCCAACGACCACAACTACAGTCTCTCCATCCACTTCAACTACTACTACTACGACTGCCACGCCTACGACATCGACCACCACCACGACCACAACAACCACAACTGATCCATCGATCTCCACTGGAGTCAGCAACTCATCGATCCTCGTTCCATCGTTCACTATTGTCATTGCCTTTGTCTTTATGATGGTTCTCTAAATAGATCTATCAATCATCCAGTTAGTACTTCTGCCATAGCCGTTGAGATAAGATGTTTACTTATTAATAAACAACGTCGTTGCAAATGACTGTTTCTGAAACTATTGAGTGTGTCTATCGCCAGGGACCAAGTGATAAAAACGAAGAAGTAGACCATCACTTTAGATATTGTGTACAACAAATAGAACACAAACAAACACATAAGCACATGAGCTCATCGACTATTATCAACTTTGGAGAGAGTTATCCGATTGAGTTAAGATGTACCGATACACAAGGAAGATTTGTTGTGGCAACAACAGATCTGATAATGGGTGACGTAGTGCTCATTGCTCAGTCATACCTATCAATGGAGAGCGACAACCTACGTAAAATGGCATGTCATCAGTGTCTACAGTTTCATGCCTATGGAGGCAACACAACAACTCCATCAATGATAGCATCATCAACATCAACATCAACACCAACATCATCGTCTACGACATCAACTACATCAACGACCACAACTACAGCGCCAACATCTTTAACACTTCGTTGTAGTGGATGCAATGAAGTTTATTGGTGTGACGATATGTGCATGGCAGCTGGCAATGACATTCACCAGAGGTACGAGTGTGCCTACTTCAAGAGACTTCGAAGTTATAAAGGTGTCCGATTCAACGCTGATTCAATGACAGAGATCAAGATGTTGTTGGGACTTCTAGGAAGATACATCGACATCAAACATGGCTTTAGTGGAGCAACTCCACCTTCAACTCCAACATTATCAGGTGGTAGTAGTAGTAGTAGTAGTAGTAGTTCAATGGGTACAATGGTCATAGATGGTACAGAATATCCTATCACATATAGCTCAATCGATGATGTATTCCAGTTGGTAGAGAATGATATAAATGAGAACACAAACAAGGCTGCTTCGGATCTTGTCGACGAGATTACAATGTTTATCAAACTGCTGCTCAAGGATGTACTGCTGCCAATGCCAAGGAAGGGCAAGAAGAATATGGACGAGCAACAACAACTGCAACATCAGAACGACATGCAGAAGCGACAACAGATAGTGGATGATGTCGTGCCAAGGATAAGATCACTGGCATGCAAGGTCAGATGCAATCAGTTTGGTATATGGTCCAAGCGAGACAAGTGCATTGGAGTGTCCGTCACACCGGCTGCCTCCTACTTCAATCATTCATGCTGTCCAAACATCGTTGACATCAGAGGCACTACGACCGTTGTATTCAAAGCACTACACAACATTGCCAAGGGCACTCCACTATGCATCACCTATCTCGACATGGACCAGCCAACACAAGAGCGACAGGACTACCTAAAGATGTTCTATTACTTTGATTGCAGGTAATGAATGATGTCAGACGACGATACATACATCCAACTCATTCAATACTAATCAAACAATTAATCATATTTTGATCATAGATGTATACGATGTAAGGATCAGACAGAGGAGATTGATGGATGGATATCAAGATTCTATTGCCAGAGGTTCAAGTGCTCTGGCACCTATTTCATCGAGGACAAGCACAGGGATATAGCAGAGGAGAGTGTACAGTTGACCTGTAGTTATTGTTACACAAAGATCAGTGTTCATCCCGATAGGATGGTGTCACCAGAGACTGTGAATAAATACGCTTGACCAGCTGGCGGGCTGGTCACGTCTGTCCGACAGTGTGGACACAGTGTTTATTGTTTCTTCAGACCGAGTCAGTCAGTGGCTGGCGGCGGGACATACCCATGCATTGAGGCGTGCAGTTGGAAGTCATTGTTCCATTCAATTTCGATGGGTCTCGCGTTGACTAGTTGGACGATGCCCGCCGACATCCTCCGTAGATATGATTGTCGTTTGCACTTCCAGTTGAATTCAATGTCGTTGACTTGCGTCTCGGTTGGCAGTGAGATGGGACGATCGCTCGGCAGTCCAGTGTCAATCCTAGATGGGCACATCATACTTGGTCCTTATATTGCTGGTGGTCAATGAGTCCTTGGCAATGAATCGATATTGCATTGGGAATATGTGACCCTCCGTGTTGAACACATATGACTGATTGATGAACATGTTACTATCATCAAACAACAGATAGAGGTATTTACATGTCTCTGACAAGAAGAAACTCTCCATCTTGTCTTCGAGTTCATGTGTCTCTACATCTGCAATATTAGCATGTCCACATTCCTAGTTTGATTGATTGAATGAGTGAGTGAGTGATTGATCATTCGTGCATAGAGATGATCAGTACTACTACTTACACATCTTGTTTGATTACTTAATGTCCAAACCATATCCCTACCCATCTTGATAAAGTAAGGGTCCTTGTTGTTTTGATACATAGTGTATAGTGATTCTGCAAGCTCTGGGCGCAGTGGATATGATCGTTGACCTGGATGTACACCACCCGATAGTAGGTTATAACCCTCTGGTAGGAATCCATATCGTCGCCACACTGTATGGAATGCTTTAACAGTGCCAAAGGCATCTTCAAACTGACCGGCCAGTGCTTGTAGACCGGGCCAGAACGATTGCAACGAGTTGTAAATAGGCCAGACTATATTGGCCTTGCTCATCTGCACCTCGACGTACCAATGCTCCTTCTTGACATGTCTAATGATCGCTCTATACGCCTTCTCAAAGATGTCCAGATAGTCTTGATCGTCAAAGAAGATGGCCGCTTTGAGCAAGTACTCAAAGTACGAGTCGATGCCAGTGCCAATACCAGACTCTGTGATTGTCCATGCGCCAGTGATCAAATCCAGGTGGTTGCCAAGCAGGTCGATCTCTGAACGATAGCGCCACAGTGATCTAGCAGCACGCTTGGCAGCGCGTTCAAACTCTGGTCGCTGTGTCAGCTTGCTGAGTATGCCAAACTCCAGTGCAAAGGTTCCTGCGCCTGCTGTGCATGTCACACTTGATTCGCCAGGCAGTACTCCACGTGCCAGGTTTACGGCACCGTATGGTATGCCAGTTGGTGTGTCGAAAGCCACCAAGATTCGCTCGCCCAAGTCTAGTGCCAGTGGCAACAGACCACCAGTGTACGTGGACATATGCTCCTCGGCCAACAAGTGAGCAGAGAGTAGTCCACCGAGCACTCTAATGTTTGTTTCGAATACAGAGACATTAACGTCTTTGTTGAACTGTATATTGTCAATGGTCCATTGTACACCCTTTTCAAACTCTGTCGTATTGCCAAGTATCAGTAGTGCATCCAATGAGTCTATATATGTTAATGCATATCTTTTTGATTGATTATCATTATTGTTGATGATGAGGTAGGTTAGGTCATGATCATTTGTATTCATTGAGTGACCAATCACCTACTTTCCAAAAGTATCGGAACCCTTGCATGAGATAGGTTTCAGTTCATCCATTGGGAAGCTATGCTTCATATAGCTATCATATCCATGATAGAACATCCTTTTAACATCATCTCTATTTGATTGATTGATTKGAGGTTGGTTAGTATGTATGTCACACTACTACTGTCGATGCTTTGATAGTGCTAGTGAGAAGTCAACCTACCTGAGTAATCGTTTCAGTTCGTTAGATGGCGGATAGTGAATGACAGCACTGACAGAAGTGATAGCTGTCAGTATCAACAACAGCGACAACAACAACAGCACATTGGACACGTTCAATTTCAACTGTATGTTGATGTGCATGCTGTCGTTGACCTATATATATATATATATATATATTATATGTTTACCTTTGATGAAACTGACTTGGAGTGAACTTCAATAAGACCCCTTGTCTCTGATGAAGGACCAATCTGTTCACTTTATCTTGCCACTTTTTGAAACAATGTATAAACTACCTCATAACATTGTATTAAAAATAGTTGAATATTTACCTAAAGATGATAATAGTAGTTTAATTGATATCATTGCATTATTATCAACCTGCAAGACATTATATCCATTGTTATATAGAGTCAATAGACTTTATTATTATTACACAAAGACAAAAAAATGGTGGTCAACAGCAGCAGCATCAACAACATCAGCATTAGTAGTAGTAGTACCATCATCGACATACTCATTGAGATCATTGACATTTGATAATGATTTCAATGACAACATTTCAAATCATTTAATACCAACATCATCATCATCATCATCATCATCATTACACACTTTACATCTTGGCTATTCATTCAACAAGTTGATTACCTCAMCCTGATATACTACCAACTTCACTGACATCACTCACATTTGGAAATAACTATGACAAACCATTAGTAGTCCAACCAACACTAGTCACAAGATTACTAAGTTATATAACTACATCATTGACATTAGAGTCATCAACAACAACTGCAGTACCAATACTCAGACATCTGACCAATCTAACGTCACTCTCATTTGGTTATCACTTTAATCAACGAATAGAGATAGGGTCACTCCCCTCATCCATAACATCACTGACCCTTGGACATTGTTATAACCAACCAATGAACCCGGTGCTCTTCCATCATCAATCACCAGTTTGGTATTGGATAATAACTTTAGACAAACATTCACCAAGGATATGTTGCCAGAGTCATTGCTTCACCTGTCATTCCGTACGGCCTATCCACACTTGAACAAGATATTGGACAAGAATGACATACTGCCATCATCACTAAAGACCCTTGCCCACTGTAGACTGGACAAATCAATTGTACTACCATCATCCATCACCACCTTGGATATAGTCAACTATCACCTTTCAGAGTTGACAAGTCATTGCCTACCACCCTCGCTGGAGTACCTGTCCATTCGCTACAGTAACATCAGTCAGTTGTCTGCATTCCCTGCCACACTCAAAACACTGAAGCTCAGCTCGTTAGTCGACCAACGCTTCCAAACTCATCCAGGTATCCTTCCAGCATCGCTCACCTACTTCAAGATTGGCGTTGACCAACCTGTGGAGGAGCTGCTTCTCCCTCAATCGCTTCTCATACTCAAGTTTGGATCAGACTTTAATCAGAGACTGGTACCATACTGTCTACCGCCTTCAATCACATGTCTTTCATTAGGACCATTCTTTGCATCTCCCATCCAACTCAATGTCCTGCCAGCATCTCTTAGACGGTTGAAGTTTGGTGATAGGTTTAACAAACCAATCGAAGCAGGTGTGTTGCCACAGTCTCTAACCTCGCTATCATTTGGCACCAAGTTCAATCGAGACGTCAACAAAGATGGATGTCTACCTCAGAGCCTCATCAAGTTGAAGTTTGGCTCAAAGTTTGATAAACCTTTTGTAACAGTTCCACGTGACTTACGAAGATTGACAATACCTTGGAGACAATTGGACTCGATCAGTGGACAACAACAACATCACTCAATTCAATACATTAATGTGTTTGATGTCGTTGGTGATGACATTCGAAACAACAACAAGACATATTCTACACTCAAACTTGATGCACTGAAACTTCGATTCATCTCATTGGATTCCAACTCGATGCTATCATGTAAACAAGTGGCTAAATCATTTCCAAACATTCATACCTATACAATGATCGTTGCCAAGGAATTCACTCTTCATTTCAGAGTACTAGACTTGAATACAATGGAAGCATTGGTCACTCACGTAACCTACAAACATCGACACATAATTCGTTATGTAACATTAAGATAATAGTGACATATATCTATAAACTTATCATACTTTAATTAAAAAATTGATCAGTCTTTCCCAAAAGGGGTTGTCGTCTCTCGTTTTGGTGGGTGGGTGTGAGTCGACGTTGAGAAACCCACTCTGACTCCGACAATTAATTTTGAGATATTCAATGGTTTTTGAGATATTTATTCAACTGGATTCGAATCATTGAGAGAGGATGTGAGACAAATCATTCATTCATACATTCATTCATTCATTATTGATATGGACATCAAGAGATACATACATAAATATGGAGAGTGACATTGATACATACTCAACTATCATCACAATGACCTCAACAACAATAACAACAAACAATGTACATCACCAACAATCAATAATTAGAGTACTCACCAATAGGACATTATTAAAGAATATAATAGCATCATTTAAACGACCTTATCCAAAGGGATTACGTAGTAGACCACATTTGACTTATAATCATTATAGTTACATTCGATCAAAGTATCATCATTGGACTGGTGCCGCCGATATGGTCCTACATAAACATTTCGGATTGTTGCGCGATCGTATCAAACGTAACCTCCACGTACACTTCACCTTCTCCACCGTCCAGTCCATCTGTCAGTCGCCCGACATTGATCAGCACACATTCACCATGCTCTACAATCGTTACCAACGATTCTTCACTTGCAAGTCGGCATTGTTGGACGCCGTCACCTGTGGCAACCTGCCAATCGTACAGACACTACTGCACCAGACACATCCCATCGTGTTTGAGCGAACCGATGATCTTTTGGTGCGTGCCACTCAAGGTGGCCACATCAAGGTGCTCAAGTACCTCTTGGACACTGGCAAGTTCAACAACGAGGTGCTCTGGAAGAGACATCCAAACGCCGTGATGGAAGCCTTGCACAACAGCTCCACATCTGCCGCCATCCGATTCCTGATGGACCCTCACAACTTTCCTCAAGACCTCATCGACTTGGTCAAGTCTAACGTGAATCTTTACGCAAAGGCATGCATCAGAACTGGCGACCAACAACTGATCGATCAACTATTGTCCTTGGATGTTATCAAGCAGATTACATTCACTTGTGACTTTATGCTTCCAAACAACTTCCAACCAATCCATCAGCTGGCTCACTTTGAGCGTTTGTTCCAGGGCACCAATGACGGTGGAGCACTGGACCGTCGTGCAGAGAAGGAGCTCACGTCATCACGACAGACGACACAATCAATCTTGACATCGACCACAGACACGTATGCACACTCTGGCATTGGTGACGATCAACGATTGGTCTTTATCAAACTGGCCGAGGTCGTCAGTTGGGACGCCAACGATGATTTGGCTTCATACTTGGCACACCAATACGTTGTAACAGGTGACTTTGTACTCTTCCCCTACCTCTTCTCCAAGGCCATACACGTAAAGACGATGATTAACTTGATCGTCCTGCATGGCAATGTCGTACAGGCCAAAGTGGTGCTTGGCTATCTGGACAATGTGATCATGCCCGCTCAGTTGGGCACGATACTGCGAGAGGAGCAATTCGGCGAACTCTACGATTCATTCGTACAGGCGGACAACATGTCCAACAGCTTCGAGATCATAAAGTACCTCAACAACAACCAGGTGGTCGTGAAGGAGGTGGCCAAGCTCTCCTCAGATCTCTTCCCTGGCACGATGGAGATGCTCAAGTTCCTCCTGTCCGATGCCAACAAGATCTTCCCCATGGATAAGCTACAGAACATGTTGGTGGTGCTGGCCATTGATCAGCTAGAGTACGTGCTCAAGACAAAACCATCAGTGTTCCTCGCACCAGGCTCCCATTCCCTCGTGCACATTGCAATGAACGCTTCTTTCTTTGCCCGTCTCGATACATTGGATGCCATTCTGGATCACATACAACCCGAGCGTCACTTAGAGTCGACTCTACATTGTGCCTTGGCCAATGGTGGACGACATATGGGGGTGATCAAGTTGTTGGTCGAACGACAACATATAACACTCAACTCTATATCATGTCAAATTGGACAACTTGGTGATGTGGAGCTCTTGGAGTATGCATTGGTCCATTGTGTGGATAATAGTCTTGACGCATTCCTCTCGAGCACCATCAACACGGCCATTTTCCGTCATCAGGTGGACCTTATCCAACACATTTACGCACGACATAAGGATAAAGTACAGACATATCACCACAAACAGGCGGTGGAGCATGGCAGTCTTGAGCTGATGGAGTTCATCTTTGCTGTGGACCCATTGTCAAACACTGACCGACTGGAGACATTCATTCGATGTGCAATCTCTGATGGAAACACAGAGATATTGGATTGGCTGCTCAAGTGTGAGGACAATGTTCCAAGACGATCTCAGATACTTCAATCTCTTGTTCCACAGCATACTACATCATTGGTTAACAAGTCTGATATATTCACATTGCAACATCTTGTAAACATTGGTGCCACGTTGGACATGAAGGTGGCCAGCAAACTAAAGGCATACAAGGAAAGCGAGGCAATTCAATATCTGTTTGCACAATACAAGAAGCAGACCAGTCAGGCCGAGTCAAAGGCCAAACAAAAAAGTAAACAACAACAATCAAAGAAGACTAAACGAGATGACAATAATACAGATGATACAACAACAACACAACCTATCAAGCGCAAGAGGAAATAAACAGCCAACTTCGTTCTTTGGGATCACTTTTTAAAAATAATATCGCTACTTCATAGAAAGAGTGAATCGATCATTCAATCAATCATGTTTAGAAAGGGACAAGATGGAACAGTTAGTGCATTACATTATCAATCAATCAAACAAGTTTATATCACTCCCAATATATATAAGAATAGTTGCAACTCACCTTGCTCAAATTGACTTGTTATGTCTTCTCTTGTTGTGCAAGAGTATCTATTTGAAGAGAAGTAGTATTGCACCGATGTTGAAGCATCAACTTGGATCTGACATTGCAAAGAAGTTGAGAACATTTAAGCATTTATCTACAACATTTGAAACATTCACTTACCGTCACCCATCAACATTGAAGGTCGACAAACACTCTAAACCTCTTCAAGTTGGAGATATACCATCGTCAGTGACGCAGTTAAAGTTCAGTTCATACAGCCAACCTCTTCAGGTTGGACTCATACCATTGTCAGTGACGGAACTATCATTCTTTTCATATTATAAACAATTTCAGGTTGGATACATACCATCATCGGTGACAAAGCTGTCATTCAGTCATTTCAATCAACCACTTCAGGTTGGACACATACCATCATCAGTGACCCGGTTGTCATTCGATATATTCTTCAAACAACCTCTTCAGGTTGGGCACATACCATCATCTGTGACACAACTATCAATCGGATTATTCAAACAATCTCTTCAGATTGGAGTTATTCCATCATCTGTAACACACCTGAGATTCGGATCATTCTTTCAGCCTCTTCAGACTGGACATATTCCATCATCGGTGACACACCTGTCATTCGGATCACTCGAACAACCACTTGAAGTTGGACATATTCCATCATCAGTGACACAGTTGACCATCGAAGATTATCGGCATCCTCTCAAAGTTGGACATATACCACCATCATTGGTACAATTATCATTACATTTCAGCCAACCTCTTGAAGTTGGTCATATTCCATCATCAGTTACACAGTTGTCAATAGATATATTCAATAGACCGCTTCAAGTTGGACTTATTCCAACATCAGTAACACAACTATCATTAGGTGGTTTCAATCATCCACTTCAGATTGGACATATTCCATCATCAGTGACGCAGCTATCATTAAATAGTTTCAATCAACCACTTCAGATTGGACATATTCCATCATCCGTGACAGAGCTGTCATTAAATAGTTTCAATCAACCACTTCAGGTTGGACATATTCCATCATCAGTGACGCAATTAAAATTCTTACCAATTCGATCAACCTCTTCAGGTTGGACATATTCCATCATCAGTGATTCAGTTGGATTTCTCATCCTTCAATCAACCTCTTCAGGTTGGACATATTCCATCATCAGTGACACATCTATCATTCTATACATTTGATCAACCCCTTCAAGTTGGACACGTTCCAATTTCAGTGACACATTTGGTATTTGGCTATCAGTTCAACCAACATCTTGAGCCTGAATACATCCCATCAGTTACCTCACTATCGCTTCAGTGCACTCGGTTCTCCCATGCCAACTTCAATCAGCTTCTTAATCACAGTCAACTCACCGAGCTTCATATTCACCATCATACTAACAATACCACCGACATCAGGTGGACCGAAGACATCCCAAACATATATCTTGGATCATTCCTGGATGATAATCTTGATACTCTCACAAGATGGAACAGGCCTCTCAATTTGATCATTCACGTCGAGGCAACAGTTATACCAAAGAAAATACACGAGGTTGTGCCACACTCCATTTTCTCGCTACTAAGGATATTTCCGACCCTAACATTGGAGATGTACTTAGGTGACTCTTCCTATACGAACAATGACTTTCAAATTGTCTGCAGACTGATCGACTCTGAAACAGTGCTATTTGTCCCCAAATTATACACCTGTCGAGAGGAAACAAAGGAAGGCGATGGTATTGGATCATTTTGGAGAATGCCACACGATGTGAGGGATGATCAATCGTCCACCCCCAGGCCCCAAGTGGATCATGATCCACTCAGAAAGAAATCGACACAACAGTTGGCACTTCTAAAAAAGAGCATATTGCTGCAATACCTTGCGATGTATGGTAAATAATAAAGCACCTATTACATTTAATGATAAATAAAAATATTCCGGGCCACGTTTTGAAGCTTAATTAGGTCCTTCCTCTATTATAACTACAACAGTGTTCTTTTCTTCTGTCTTCTGGTTTTTGTGTTGAAAAATGACCTCTTGGAGATATGATATGCACAAATATTTGGTTTGTTTATTGTTGCCACTTACCAACGGACAAGTGACAGCTCAAGCTTAGGGATGTTAAATAGTGCCTCAACAGCGGAGTCAAGGAATTGGACAGCCTTTTTCCTTATTTGTGAAGGCGGATACATGTTCAATTTAAGATTGATAAGGCCATTTGGTTGGGAGCATATCCATTGAACTAGTGCCTGTGTAGTCTCAACCCTATGGACTGTAGTGTGATGTAATGTATGGGTCCTAGTTAGTTAAGTAATAGAGACTCCTTACTCACTCTTCTCCTTCATTTATATTATATAGAGGGATATTCTTAATTGCTTACCAGGGGGATTGCCTTCGTCATCATAATAATAGCTTCTTAGCAGATGAAATGAGACCAGTGATTGGCTCAATGACTGGTTGGAGTCAAAAACGAAGATTGAGAACGTAGTTACAAGGTGAGTGATTGTTGTGTTAAGCGAGAGTGCCTTTGATATATCACGTTGTTGATGTTCAGACAATTGAGCGTCGTCGCAACTCCAAATGCACAACATGAGTTTGGTGACAGTCTTGTTTTTCTTGATGGTATCGCACAAATATATTATCTCCTCTGACTTGAATTCAAGCTTTGGTGGATGCTCTTCAAGGTGCTCATCATCTTGGACACTGTTACTATGAAGACATAATGTTTGGAGTGCTGGTAGTTGAAAGAAACGAGCCAAAATAAGGACAGGGATATTGAACCTGGCTCTAAAAGAAATGTGCTTGAGGTTTGTTGACACAGATGTAAGGCGTAACGTACGAAACATATCGTTTTCAGGGGACTCATCCGATCGGCAGTCGATAGCAAGTGTTGTAATGTTTGGCAAGGACCCGAGAGACCTGACTATCTTTGCACAGCTTTTATCATCCACGTACCTGTCATCGACCAGGGCAACTGAAGCGAGATTGCACCATTGGTCAGACGTAATTGTGTTAATGATATAATCTATCATGTTGTGATGTATTCTAAATTTGGTACAGAACTGACCAATAGTGATCTGCAAGTGCTCCACTGGCGAAATGAATGACCTGTTTCCATCAAAAAGAGGTGATATATTCGCAAGATGATCTGCGCTTTGCACTCGCAACACTCTAAGATGCTTGATGATGCAGTACCTTGAATGTGATCCCTTGAGCATTCTTGTCAACGCGAGATGTCCAATACGTGATTGTCCTTCAATACCAATATCGTCGATTGAGCTGGATATCAGTTCAAACCATTGCGAGATGAAGAAGATGGTAATTGCATTGTACTGCTGAGAGGAGATCCATTGGTGGATCTTCGTCTGGTTCTATTGGCCATCGAGAGTCGCTGATTACCAACCTGATGATCTTCGTCAGTAAGATATCTGATAAGTTTGGGTTTGGGTTCTGTGTGCGCATGTCTGTGCTCATATATGATATAATGATATGCTAGTTGGTTGGTTGTGCTTTGAATGAATTAGAAGTTTAGTGAGTTTGGGAATAACACCAAACACTCCAATGACCAATTTCAGATTAGCACAACTATTATCAAAGGCATTGAACAACAACAAATAATAATAAATCACATCCAACTTGGAAGTTCACTTTCTAAAATATCTTTGATTCAATCACCAACACAGGTCGCATCTTGTGAAACACTACATCAATCACACACATAATCTTTTATTATTTTTGTTGCAATCAGATAGAAACAGACATGATGGAGCAGTTACCGCATTACATTATCAAACAAATATTTGATGAACTGGATGAAGATGATCCACTTGATGTATTGACATTGGGATTGTCATGTAGGTCAATGTTGGTGCTGTTGAACAACATGACACAGTATCATATTCTTTGGAATATCAATCAACCACAGTTACCAAAGGAGTCAACAATATTCAATCAGTTAACGACATTGACTCTATGTCATCTATTCAATGATGAACTCAACTCCATCACGTGCTTTCCAACATCACTTCGAACATTGGTGTTTGGTGATCGATACAACACACCAATCAGAGCAGGAGTGTTACCTTCAACGATGATCAACTTGACATTTGGAGCAGACTATGATCAATACATTGATAAAGGAGTACTACCAGAATCATTACAAACCATTGTGTTTGGTTCAAACTTCAATCAACCAATCACTCTACAACCAACTATAATCAATCGTCTTGTAAAGTTCCTTGGTAATCAGTCAGAAACAACAAATAGTACTCAGCATAGACTACTCCCAGCCTCGATCACCTCAATAACATTTGGTGATTGTTACAATCAACCCTTTGAACCAACATCACTGCCTCCACAGTTGACCGCACTATCATTCGGAAGGGACTTTAACCAACCCATTAGAGGCCCACTTCCAACATCACTGCACAAGCTTACATTCGGAGCACTATTCAATCAAACAATACCCGATGGAACAATAGATTCATTGACAGAACTAAGATTAAGCAATGATATCTCACCTCACTCATTCACTATCAACGCTCTTATACCCTCAATCCTATTATTCATGGCACCAGACAACTCGATCAAGTCACTTGGCTCACTAGGTCACTCACTGACACGACTAAGTCTCGGTCACCATTTCAACGAACCACTCGTTCCAGGTTATCTCCCAACGACACTCATCCAGTTGGAGTTTGGATATTGCTTCAATCAAACACTACTACCAGAGTCACTACCAAATGCAATCCAGACACTAAAGTTTGGATATCTGTTCGATCAAGACATCACTCTACTACTACCTCGTTCCCTTCAATCACTGACATTGGGAGGATGTTTCAACAGACCAATATCACCTGGATCCCTGCCATCAATCACATCACTTGAGTTGAGCAATTCATTCAATCATGTACTGAGTGTTGGCTCGTTACCCAGATCACTGATCAAACTCAACCTTGGTTTCGAATACAATCATGTGTTACAACATGGTGTATTGCCATCGAATCTCACCGACTTGACATATTACCAATTCAATCAACAAATCACACCAGGTCTCCTACCGACCTCACTAAGGTCTCTACGGTTTGGGCAAGGATTCAACAGCTTGATCGAACCAGCGTCATTGCCAGAGTCGTTAACTGAACTTGACTTGGGATCACAGTATGACCTGCCATTGGAGGAAGGTGCCATTCCAGAATCAATCAACTATCTTGGATTTGGCATTCATGAACATAACCCGATATCATTAGGTATTCATCATTTTCCCAACTTGACACGGGTGTCAGTGCCATCAATGTACTTTGTCTATGAAGTAGCATTACCAACAACAATTAACAACATTAGGATAAGGGATTGTGGATCATACCTCACAATCAACAGGATTTTGGACACGAAGCTTAGCTCTATACACTTGTCAACAGTGGACACCCGTATCAATTATAAGCAATATGGTTCAATGATAAGTGGGTATTTGATCAACATTGGAACGATACACATCCAGAGTGTACATCAACGTCACGATCATCCAGAGAGTTTCAACAAGCTCTCAATGCGTCGCAACAGGATGTTCAAAGTGCATCACTACAATCGATCCAAGGGTGTATTCAAGCTGCTTGTCACTGCAGAGGCATAAGGCCTCCGCTCCACTCGACTCCACAAGCAATGTATTTATATCATTAACAAATATATAAGTTTCCTGCACACAGACATCTATCAACCTCCTCCTTGAACTTGGGGTCGATTCCTTCTTTGTAGTGCAGCTGGACGATCCTGAGTGATGTGGAGGTGACCTCTGTCAGCTGATGGTTGACCGTGATGGTCAACTTCCATTCAAACCAGAACTGACGATCTTTTGGCGAGGTGGGCAGAGACTCCTCGCGTCTTGAGTGAACGATCGTAACAATATCCTTGCTCTCCAATACTTCTATGCGCCAGCCTTCTGATCCCCTGACATCCTTTGTCATACACTTCATAAGGAATGGTACCTTGATCTTCAGTTCGAAGCAACCAACATAGATTATGTTCTGATGAATCAGTTTCATAATCTTTACAGCTCTAGATGTCTCTTTGTCGTCAAAACACTGATTGATCAAAGATTGTAAGTTAACAGTTCCAGTGATTTGTTGATCGATTGATCGAACATACCTTGTCGAATATAGTACTCATATGTAACTCATAATCAGTTGGTTGTTGATATGATGACAATATCTCACTTGTTCTCTCAAGAGTTTCCTTTGATTCAAAGCACTCTGTCATCTTGAGTATGGTCTTCTTTAACTTCTTCCATGTCCTCTCATCTGGTGTATCTGTGACACATGTTAGCTCCTTTAATCAATCACATGTACACCGCTTACGTACCATTATCTAATATAGCCAACTTATCTAGATGCTCCTCCAACTTATCATGTTGATCCAGAGACTCGAGTCGAAGTGAGAGTGATTTGCGGTTGGGCAGATCCTCATCCTCCCATGGTATGTACTTGACACTCTTATTCTGTGTGGACTCTATTGATATCCTTCCAGCCAGACGAGGTAGATCCTTATAAACAGGTAGTCTCTCTAACTTCTTACTCCAAATCTCAATGATCTGTTCTTCCAATGATTGATCTGATGGTATTAATGTTGCCATATTATAATTCTATCTGTATATCTTTATAACTATGTATTGGTATTATATTATTTTATATTATGTTGTATGTGTTTGTTAGTATTGGTTAATGATATTTATAAACAATAAATCGACTATAATTACTTGTAGAGTGTGTTCACTTTTTCAAGGTTTCATGAGGTCAACCCACAAACAATCAATGGGTTTGGGTCATAGACTCTGAATCTTAAAGACACTTACAAACGACTCTTAGTAGTCATCATTGCTCCCTGGGGTATAACATACAATATATTAGCTATTTCTTATTTCTTCAAAAGATAAGGATAGAGAATATTGACATTGTATAAATATAATATTTATTTGTTAGTGTACATCAACAATGATTGTCTTGGAAAACATAAATCTCAAATAAACGACATAATTTACTGTCACACACACACTAAACGAAGAGATAAATAGTTAAAGAGATAAGAGGGAGATATGAACAATTTAAGATCAAAGGTTATTTCATCATATATGCGTCTGTTACGCACAGAGAGAAAGGTGTTTGACAGTGACTTTCAAACACTGAATCGTGTACAACTACAGACTCGTTCACAGTATCGCGATAATAGATCAGTGGATGACCCTGTCAAGATCGATGAGATGGTACAACATGCTAATGCCGTCTCTGATTTCTTATTGACAAATACTATTCAAGCTGTTAGAAAGACAGAGACTAGATTCGGTATGATAATGATCGATCGATCTATCATTCATTGATTGAATAAGTATGACTAACGCACATATGCACAACAACAACAGAATTAAAGTTGAGAAAGGATACACAATTGGGAATGGATAGACAGTATGAGTTTGTTGGAGATCAACCAAAGAAGAGAGAGAGAGGTACTAGAAAGGGTGTCGTCGCTACAGAGTGCTGTGGCGGTGGTGCATGTGGTCCAATGAGTGTCGACTCTCCAAAGACTGGAGGTTGCTCTTAACTAAGACAGACATAGTTGAATAAATACTTTATATATAGGTAGCATCAGCAACAGAACTAGATCATCATCAAAGTTGTTCAGCAGCAGCATTGGTACCAATGAACTCGATGTAATGTGGAGATGCCTTGATATACTTGACTGCATTGTTCTTCAAGATCATCTCGCTCAACAGATTGTATCGATCTTTGGAAAGGCTACATGATGCGACACGAGTGTTAGTCAATCAATCAATCAGAATTGACTTTGGTCACTACTTACAAGAGAGGTATTCCACGCTTGAGACCTGGATCATCCTCACCATGTGAATCAAGGAATGGTGAGCCGAGGAATCCAAAGCAAGCATGATCAAATACGATGGCTACGATCGATAACTCCATCAGTAGATAGAGACCAATGTCACCACAACATGTTTTTGAATGCCAGTTGATCTCGTTGGCACCATTCCGTTTGCAACAGGATCCAATACAGATGGCTCGGCCACAGAGTAGGCATAAGGCCTGATCAGAGTTGTTCTTGGTTAGATTACAGGTGGAGCAAACGAATGTACGTTTGGACAGATGGAAGAATGTGTTTGGCAGTGTCACCAGCTTGAACTGAGGTGGTTGCCTCTCGACAACATCCTTTGAGATCAAGTGCTCTTGAAGAGGCTGCTCCAAGAATATCTGATGTCTGGTGCGATGTACATTGCCATTGATGTACGCAATCAATTGAACGAGGTACTTTGGTGAGAGCTCCATTGATGGCAGGGGAGTGGAGGTGCTGCCCATGAGGACACTATCGAGTAGGACAAGCTTCCTAAGATCAACGCAGAGTTGATAGAATAGTCTGTCATTGCCTCTAGGCACCTCGGATGTGGGCGAGGTGAGCGCCTGTTCAAATTGCTGTGCAGTCAACTCCAAGTAGTTCTGAAGTGTCAGTTGAGGACGACCAGTAACACTCAAGTCCACGTAGACCTGATGAACCATCCTCTCCAAACATAATGATCCTGCAGGTTCCTTCTCACTCCAATTGCCACTGCGCAGATTCAACACCTTATGATATACATATAATACATTGGAGAGATGTCTTAGCATCTGTCCAGTCTTCTCATCAACTGTTTGTTGAAGGTTCCATTGGCTGATAATGATTGATTGATTGATGTATGCGTGTTAGAATTCGATCGATCAAACAACCAAAGTATAACATACTTATTCCTTGATATGAATTCCAGATTGTTGATTGTTGAAGCGAGCAACATCGATATCTTGGTGTCTGGTGATGGTAGTTTACTTTGTACTACCTTGCCAAATGCTTCGAAGCACTCGAGGAGTTTGGATCCAGCAAAGCCATCTGCCAAGTACATTGCAGTGTGACCTGATGGTTGGTCGTCGTGCTGATGATGATTGCTGGTGTGTAGGTGCTGTAGTACTGTCAGTCCAACAGGTGCAGGTGGCAACAACGTGTTGGAAAAGAAGTGGCACAATGGACATAGTCGGTGCGTGTTGTGATTGAACCTCTCCATCTTGATGTAACACTGATAGTGTACGGTGTGTCCACATATCTGTGCGATGGTCTCGCTCTTTGACACGTCCAGCTTGATCGAAGAGGCAAAATCTTGTTGATCGACCACACCGTTGGAAGGGTCAATCGAAGATCTGTCATTGAGCACATGCGCGATGCCAATGTTCTGTATCAAACAGAAGTATCCAATGGGATTGTTGAGGTCATTGAGGTAGTTCTCATCGCGACATATAATACACTCTCCTTTGACATCGTGCACCTCATGAGCAGAATGCGAGCCATCCAGGGTCATGTCTTCATCGCTGTCCATGTGCTCATCCTCCAACAGGTTTGAGAACCTCAGCTGTTCCTTTGCAATCGATTCCATTGCCTTACGCTTGGCCTCCAGCATCCTTCGCTTCCTGTCCTCCTTGTCCTGCATTGTCTCCATCTCGAACGCATCACACTCATGACCATTCTCCAAGGTTGGCTCCTTTAGACTCTGCAACAACAATGCCACAGTCGGGTGGAAGAACTTCATCGATGATGTCGTGAGTACCAAGTCCAGCAGATCCACAATCGTTTGATATTGTGATGCGCTGTCAACGCGATCATGTTGTCTTGATATGCACATCTTCTTGATAGTGTCGTGCTCGGTTGGATGAGTGTCCAGAGCCAACATCATCAAGTGTAGGATATTGTCCACAGTGTCCGATCGGAAGATCACACGCTGTTGTGTGTCATACTCGTCCAGGGGCACGGGGTCGACCAGTTGCACGGTGCAGTGGAGTAGCGAGAAGTATATCCTCTTGTAGAGTTGGGGCGACAGTAGCAACTGGCCGATCGCATCAAAGTCCTGACGCAATGGAGCCAAAGTGTTGACGGCAACTCTTCGCACATTGTTGTTACGATGCTGTTGTGGAAGCGTCGAGACGACCTCCTCTGCCCTCTCGCGGTATCTATACGTGTAGCCATAGTAGTACTTGTTGTAGTACGTGTAGTACTCGGGCTTGAGTGAGTAGCGGCCATGACTAGAGAGGGTGTTGGGCTGGACATATATGGCCACCTCCTTGAGCACAGAGTCGACATCGTTGGCGTCAAAGTTGACAAAGCGCAACTCAGTGTTGAGCAATGTGTTGAGCTTGGTGTACGTCCTGTTCTTGACGATCAAATGATGAATGATGTCGTACTTGATGACGTCTCGTGTTGTTTGCTTGCCAATCAATGATCGCTCTGTGATCAACACCATGAGGAATTGATAAAAGTACACCAGTACACCTGTTTGGTAGTTGTTCAGTGCTGTGTTGCTCTGGAACAATGTGTCCAGTCTCTTGAAGTGACTGAAATATGTTGTGATGAAGTGGTCCGCCTTCAAAGATGCACAGGACATCTGCTTCAAGTATAGATCATAGATGTATATATACTTGAGGTATGGATGTGATTGATAGCTATGTACCTGCAACTCAATAGGGTCTCCATTCTTGAGCCAAAGTCGTGACTTGCTCTCTGCAATAAGGTTGTCAATATTGGCTGGTCCATATAATGAATGTTCAACCAAGTCCTGATTTTGTCTATGATTGATTGAGTGAGTGATTATGTGTGAGTGAGGGAGTTGAGTGACATTGATCAATGAATCAAACTTACAGGAATGATGCTGCCATGTCTTGGAAGGAGAACTGATCGAAATGTAGAATGACCAGTGAGAGTATAAGAGAGAGACAACGGTGAATGGGTAGGTTAAAGGATACGCCAACCATCTGTTGCTTGATGAGTGTTGATGCTTTGCAAAGCACTGCAATGGTGTTTGAAATGGCCAGTTCATCTCCGGCTGTGGCGACATTTGGAGGCTCTGGAACCAATGTCTTTAAGATCTTGAATGTTACATTGCAATGATTCATCATCAACAAGTGTCCATGTGAGAAATATGATGTCCTAAAGTTGATTGATAATGTCAGCAGCACACTCACTCTCTCAATCAATCAGAATCGATAAATCAATCAAACATACCTTAACTCTGAGAATACAAGCTCGCTACGAATGTTGGGACAACTAAAGTGGAGTAATGCAGCAAACTGTAGGAGTGGCACGATCTTGGATGGGTTGGTGCACATTAGATCGCGGAATATAGGCTGATGTGAGAGTATCATGGTGAGGTCTTTGATCGCCACGTAGAACTGTTCCAGTTTGCTCATACTGCCCAATTCGCTCTGATATGTAAGTGGTTCGTTGTCCACGATGAGGTACTTTGGAGTGGCGCTCTTGATGTAGTCGAGGAATATGTCCAATGCTTTGTAGTGCTCCATCACGTACATTGCAATCTGAGGACGTGTGAATATCTGAATACTCAGTGATATGATTGAGTTGCTGCCGTCATATGCACCATTGAGTAGACTGTCAAACATGGCCGGATAGTTGGACACAAAGACAGCTGCAAAGTCAAACTTGCATGATCGATCGAATGTCAATGAAGTTACCCAATTGATCAGTTGTACCTGTCTAGAGTGATGTAGTTTCTTTCATTTTTTGATTGATTGATTGTGTGAGTGAATGAGTGAGACAAGGTTCGACTGGTGGCGCGCCACATAATCACCATCATTACATACTTGGATATTTGATACGAGTTGTGCCAATCTACATCCCTTTGGATCTAGGATGTTGGGCTCAGTGTGAAGGTAGTGCCTGTTGAGGCGCATCATGAGGTTGCAAAAGATACGCTTGAATGATACCAGTTGTGTAAGGTACTCAAATAGATTGAGTATACTGATTAGACTGGCGAATGGTAGTACCTTGAATCGCTTGGTGATGGTCAGCTTCAGGTTGGTCTGCTTTCTGATCATTGACACCACCACCTGACATTGTTGATGTGATCCGACATAGATGATGCAACGACCATTGTTATGAGCGTAATGTGCATAGTCTCTACACATTGCTTGTGAACGAGGAGTCAATGTCTCCAACAGCACAGACATCACCTCGCCAAATGATGTTACATCGTCATTAAACATAAGTATTCCATATTGGTCATCATCTAGTAGCTGTTTGATTGATTGATTGAATGATATAGTGAGTGAGTGTCTTTGTCAAGTCTTTGACTGCCGCATCGTGATACATACAAACTCAAATGGATGTCCAGGGTGGAAGAAGTAAAGTGATCGATTGCTGAGCACGTCAGAGTCCTCTGGAGTGAGCTTGATGTTGGCTAGGGGCTGAAGGATCATGTCGAGGAGGATGCCCAACAATCGCTCACATCGGGCAACATGATCGGGACCAAGTGATGCGAGTGGTCGAAGTATGACGTCGTCGGGCTCGGTGCGCTCAGTGTGAGCATCACAAAAGCCATCCTTTGCCCATGAGTCCTCGTCACCACAGTCACAGCAACCATTTGAGCTGACTCTAATGCGCTTGATCTCGTGGCCCACATGCTTGCCCTCGTCAAAGCACTTGCTGCACAGTATACTAGTCTCATCCTTCTGACATCTCTTGCACTGGAATGCCCAATCATTGTCCTTGAACACGTAGCCGCACGTGCTATCCCTCTGGCTGGCCTTCATTGCGCTGAATGATCCAGCACCACCGGTCATGTACTCCTTGAGTGGTGACAACATTGAAGTAAAGGGATGCGCACTACCAGTGAATGCAATGACCTTGATATAGTTCTCCAACTCTATCCAACATTGCGCGCTCATAGTATCGGTGGAGTGCAAGTGAGTGAATGGGTCGAATGTTGCCAATGACTGTATTCGTGTCTTGATCTCATCAGACTCTGATACATAATCAATCATCTCATCATCAAGACTGACTTGTTCTAATAATGGTGTTGGTTCTATCTCTTCCATATGATCATCGTCATTGTTATTATTATTGTTGTTATTGTTGTTGTTTGTGATATTGAAGTAATTGCTCAACAAGTTAAAGTTGAAGCCATTCAATAGATTACGACCAATATCACCTATTGATGTATTATAGTATTGTTGAACTTCTTGGTCATCTTCATCGATGGTTTGGTCAAGGTCACCATCATCATCGTCATCATCGTCATAAACGTCATCAACGTCATCGTCTTCATATTGTAATCTAGTATCATCATCATCATTATCATCTTCCGAACTATTATTATTATTACTATGTTCGCTCATTGTATCTACAATGGGATCTCTATCTATCTGTATCCCTTAATTATTATTATTTGTTGTGCGAATGAATGAATGTCACATACAAAGAACTTCAAATAACTAGAAACACGAATGTCTTCACAATTCTCACAACTAACATGTCAGACGAAGCAACAGTTATAAAGGTGTAAGTAGGTCATCAACTGGCAATCATTCATTCATTCGTATATATACATACTAACACCATTCATTCAATCATAGACTTGTAGTTGGCGATGTATCAGGTGCATTCACTCAACTCTTCAAGAGAGTTGCAGCGGTCAACAAGTCAAATGGACCATTTCACATGATGTTATGCGTTGGTGCATTCTTTACACCATACTCTACATCATTGACTGTTGCATCAACACTGTCAACAGAGTCAACAGAGTCAACAACAGAAACAGCATTGACAATGCCAGAACAGTTGATACCCTACAAGAATAAGGAACAACAGGTACCATTGCCTGTGTACTTTATAGCTAATACATTGGACGATATGAGGTATCTGGATGCATTGGCAGACAGTGAGGGAAAGATATGTGATGGTATTCAATATCTGGGCAAGAGTGGTGTCAAGTCAATCGAAGGTATCAACGTAGCATATCTCTCTGGCTCGGTTGCACACCCCGTGAAGCAGGTATCTGATGGCAAGTTGGACAACTCAATCACCAAAGATGACATTGCCTCAATCATCCAACAATCCACCGACAAGAAGATCGACATCCTACTCACCAATCAATGGGCAAGAGGTGTACTCAACAACATGGAGTAAGTAACTACCTCCCAGGCAACATGTTTGTGATGCCCCTCCACTCACTCACTCACTTAATCAATCAATCAAACAAACAGTTTATCAGTCGTATCACAGACAATCAAGAACCCTTTGGTAAAGGGAATGGATGGTATAAAGGAGGTGGCAATTGCTTTGGCGCCAGTGTATCACTTCTCAAAGGATAGTCACTACTTGCAACGACCACCTTATCTTAATCCAATGTCAAAGCATAATGCTGCCACTCGCTTCATCTCGTTGGCACCAGTGCCAAACGAGCAGAAGCAAAAGTATCTCTTTGCCATGAACTATCAACCAAACAAAACAGATACCAACATACTAGACACGACCGGATTCCCATTCGCCGCTGTTGGTGGTGACAAGCCAGACAAGAGGCAGAGAACAGACAACAATAACAAACAGCAACAGCAACAGAATCAACAAAGGAAATCACTACTTGGAGACTATCAACAGCGATCGGGCGACAGCAAGAAGCGAACATCACAGCAGAGTACACTTGAGTGTTGGTTCTGTCTGTCACAGCCATCGGTCGAGAGCCACTTGATCGTGTCGATTGGATCCGAGTCCTATCTGGCGCTGCCCAAGGGCGGCATCGTAGAGCATCACAGTCTTGTAGTGTTCATCGATCACAAGCCATCGTACACAATGCTGACAGATTCGGAGCGAGCTGACGTCGAGAAGTTCATCGAGAGTCTGAAGCAGTTCCATCTCAAAGAGGACGATTGTGATATCGTGGTGCTGGAGCGACACTTCCAAGGCCGCTTCCAAAACCAACTGCATGGACATCTACAGGTGGTGCCCATCTCCAAATCACTTTCAGCGGAAAAGATCGAGGAATGCTTTGCCAAACATGGCAAGCAGAGGAATGTGGAGTTCAAGAAGTTGGCCATAGGCAGTGAGCTGGCCAAAGCAGTGGGCGACAACTTCTACTTCAACGTTCGATTGCCAAATGGTGAGCAACTCTATGCCATCATTGAGAAGGAAGAGCAACAACCTCAACAACAACATCATCAGAAACATAATAATCAACAACAACAACAACAACCGGTTGACTTTCAATTTGGACGACAGGTACTTGTGGACTTGCTTGGAGTTCCAGATAGACTGAACTGGAAGCAATGTGCTGTGGGCAAAGAAAAGGAGACTGAACAGGCCAATGACTTTAGAACAATCTTCCAGCCATATTACGACAGCAACGAATAAAGGTCAAGACGTGACCTTGGGGTTGGTTTATTTGAAAGAACATTGTGATAATTATTATTTGGTCAACAGTGCAACCAACTCCTTGATAGTGCTCAGGGTCATCGGTGTTGGTTGTAAACAGCCTTCATAGGAGACAGAATGCGACTTGATCTCAACAAAGTCGTTATCATTTGCTATTTTGGCCTCATTGAAAAGCCTTCCGTTTCTGATGACCACCGTGGTTATAGGACACTTTAGACTTTTCTTTAGTAGCTTGTAGATATCCGCCAAGGATGATGAGTCCATTCTCGATGTGGCCGTGAAACAGAGTAGGATTACCAAATCAGGGTGACTGTTCTTGATTTCTTGAACATGTTTGACGTGGTAGACATTGGTGGTTATAGTAGATGATGAGAATATCCATCCTTGTCTTTGTAGTTTGAGCTCCTTATCTAACAGGTCCTTGAAATCATTTTGGAGTTCAAAGTTCTCAGCTGACACATGTCTTAAAATGGCCACATTCTTGACTTTCCCGGAGAAAGCTTGGCCAGATGAATCTGTATTCTCATCCTTTGTAGGATGAGAAAGTCCAGTGCTGGGCTTTGTGAGAGATTGTGCTACTTTGCTTGGAGTGGGATTTGGAATTGGGTTGGCTATCTGAAAGAGTGTAGGCAATGTCTTTACCAAGGTATGGAGATCACCTGCCATATGGCCATGGAAACTAGAATTGGCGGCATATTCATGCTTGAGTTCCCAGAGACATTGAGCAATCTTGGAGATATCATTCTGAATCAAACTTAAAGAGTCAGCTATTCTTGTGATATCATTTTTGGGCATGTTTGTGGAATTGGTCTCCAAAGACCTGGGAGTAGGATCGTCATCATCATAGGAATCTTGACTAGTTGGATATGTCATTTAAAATATTTATATAATATATCTATTAGGTTAGAATAAATTTAATTGATCATAAAAGTAAAATTGGTTCTTTGCCTATTATAAATGATTAAACAAAATACTTGGATTTTTAAGTTATATCTGTTCTTTGTTGATTGTTTCAAGATTGGGGGGTTATGTCAAGTTATCAATTTGAATTACTTTGGAAATCCAAGTTAATATTATACATTCTGCTCAGGTTGAAAGAAGTCAAGACTCAATCGAACAAGTTACCATCATTATGTTTTTTGTGTGTAGATGTGGGTTTAAATACATCTCTTCCAGTTCAATCAACATGGTGAGAAGGAGAATTTACATATCAGGTCCTCCCCAATCTCATAGGAGAGCCTACCAAAAAAGAACAATGTTCCAATCTATAAACTATTTATGGCGATTTTATCATTTCACTTGAAATTTTAAGTTCTGGATTACGTTTCAACTACTATAAATTTAATCCAATTGGATTTTTGATTGAATCAAACAAGAAATTATCAATATTCCTACTAATAATATGTCTACTATTTTTCATCCATTGGTCTCAAATATTGACCAACTAATATCTAACAATGAAGATATTGAGGTGACATTGCTCCTGGATGGTTCTGGATCCATGCAATCTCACTTTGAAACTCTTAGATCCACATGTCTTATGTTGGTAGACAAGTTCCTCAACATCCCCATTCAAGTGATTCAATTCTCAACCTCATCCAGAGTTGAAGTAGACTACACTTCCGACGCCAACATCCTGAAGAAAGCCATCTCTAGTAAGTTTATTAATATTATTTTTTTAATAAATGATTCTAATATTATTAACTTATTTGATTTAATTTAGAAATGAAGATGATAGGCGCTGGTACCAACATGAAAGATGCTTTTAAGGTTTTAAGGGATAATCTTGTTAGAAACTCTCTAACAAAGTCTACTAATCCAATTGTTATCTTCATCACTGATGGAACTGCCGATAATGACCCAACTGCAGAGGCAAAGGCACTGATGAGCCTTGTACCAGCTCCGAAAGTTGTTGCCTTGGCAGTTGGAGCTAGTGCCAATCAGGGCAAGTTAAGTGCTATCTTCCCTGGCCAGTATGTCTACCCAATCAGCGACTTTGGAATGCTTGATAGCCTGTTGAAGAACCTGACAGTGGCACAAAAGACCAAGTCCTGTATCAAGATGTATATGTTTCCAGCCAACAAGGATTTACAAACCTCCAAGGACAACCTGACCATCGACTTCTCGGTGGAGCCAGAGGATCCAATGAAAGTCATCCCGATTGGATCAACAATCTCGTTCCCTTCCAACAACTACTTCAGCGCCGAGTCGATAACACTTAAAGAGGCTGCTTTCCAGAGACGACCTGTGAAGGCCAGTGTCACCCTGGAGGTGAAACCAGCGGCGCGGGCCTTTGGCCAATTTCCATCGGTTATCTCTTTTGAGTGCCATATCAATGGCTCCACCAAGGTCTACAAAGGTACTTGCCAGTTTCTCATTGGATACCTGGCTGGGGACTTTATTTACAAGAAGAACCCCAAGCATCCTATTAACATTCTTGTCTGGGGACCAATGGGCTCGGGAAAGAGCTCCCTGATCAATGGAATCATCGCCATGTTTAGCCACCAATACAAGGTCAAGAAGATCCTCAAGATCTCCAGGAGACATGACCATGTCACCAAGGACTACATGTGTCACAGGATTGCAGACTTTGCAGATACATCTGAGCCACTCGGAGCACTGATTGCCGACAACATAAAACTGAACTTCTGGGACCCATGGGGCCTGACCACGTCCAACTACCAGAATTTGAAGCTGATGCACTTCCTCGAGGGTCGCGTGCCAAAGGATCAGCCAATGAACGATTCTTTCAGCCATCATCCGGTCATTGAGGACCAAGTGACCCATGCCGTTGTGTTCATGATTCCACTAGGTACTGCACTGCAGAAACCACTACTTGACAACCTGTCCAAGCTGATCGATACCACCCAAGACTTTGGCATCCGTCCAGTGGTAGTGGTCAACTTTGCAAACCAGATGCAGAACCAGGCCGAGGTGGAGAAGCAGTTCAAGATTATCCTGGATGCCAGTCATCTCTCCAAGGACGACGTGATCATGATGGACAACTATGAGGACGAGCCCTACCGCATCCAACAGAAGGATCTCCAATATTGGTCACTTGTGGGGAAGTTGTTTGAAGAGGCCACCAAGAACATCAAGTTGCGTCCAATGAAACCTGTCACATCGTCACAATGCTCAGGTGTTGGACCGTTGGCCCCTGACCTCGCCGCGCTCAACATCTGCGAATCTCTATGTCGAACGACGTCGTGTGCCAACTTCAACAAGGGTGTGACGACGCCTTGCTGCGCATACTGTGGCAACCCACCAGTGGACATGAGAGCCAGCGCCATGGTGTGCGGAGAGCCATCCTGCGTCGACGTTGGCAAGGCAGTCAACACACCTCGTTGTGGACAGTGTGGCAAGCCTGCCGTCAACAAGAGCGCAGAACGTGTCTGCAGCTCATCCAGTTGTGTCAACCGTGGAAAGACTGTTCAGGGCAACTTCTGTGGCCACTGTGGCGCACCTCCATCGTCGGAATCCCCGTCGGCCAGTCCAATCAAGAAGAACCTCTGTCCATCTACTACGTGCCCTAACGGCGGCCAGGAGATTCCAAAGGGATTCAACTACTGTGCCATGTGTGGTGCGCTACCAAGTAACTAGCGCGGTTCAACCGAGGACTGAACATGTTAAATAAATGCTACTTCTATACAGAATGATCGTCAGGTCAAAGGAGGTGATCAGTGATCACCCATCATTGATTGTATTCTGGTCACACTCGAAAGAGTGATTGACATGACATCCTTGCTGCACATGATTGCTGAATTGGTTGAGGGCTGCATTGTTAATGTTTGATCCATTAAAGTACATGTTGGTACCTACTTGATAGATGCTTAGCGTTGAACTTCTGATTCTAGAGTTCTCGATGTGTACACATTGTTGATCGTGATGAGTCGTGCCATTGTAGTTGAAGATGATGATCATTATCATATCAGCAACATCATCATCCTACTTTGAGGACGACAACCTTAATTGTTGATGTGTAAGAGGCATCGAAGTCTACTGTATGTTTATATTTTGAAGATCACCTAATGAGTAGATTTGTCATTCAATTTAAATACAAACTCACATTGAATAATATTATTACTTAAACTTATAATTATAGAATGATAATCGTTAAACTCATTTTACTTCTTCTTTTATTGCAGTTGTGCAACTCTGAAACACTCTATGCTGTGGATAACATTGATACGATATATCATGATAAATTGGTTAGTGCTACCAACATCTCAAAGGTTGACCCTACAACTGGTATGTATACACAACTTTATTAAAGATACATCATTTAACCACATGGATAATGTCGGTGTTAATATCTAGGGACAATCACTGTGTTGCAAACATTTCCAAACTTTAATCCATTGCCTCTTGACACTTTGAACTACTTCACAAGCACAATCAATGTTCAAGACAACTACATGTATGCCATCTTGGATAACATCACTGAACTCTTTACCTTGTAAGTTACTCAAAGCCGGCTTATCATTTCAGAGACAACAAACAACTAACATATATCCATTGAAGAGACAATCATTGTTTGTGATTGATCTGAACACCAACACATTGATCAATCAAACTATCCTGGAGAACAATGGAAACTACACCTATCAATACCTCGAAATCAGCTACAACCCTGTGAATCATGTCTTGAACTGTTTGGCCATTGACCTGTCCACCAACCTAACTTTTGTTGGTCATCTCACAATGGATGGTGAGATTGTTGCTTATGATGTAAGTTTATTAACTGAATACATTACTTATTTACTAACTGATACCAAACATACTAGACATTGAACTGGACTGCCATTGGAGCTGGTGTGAGCTATGGGTTAATGAATGCAGCCTACTACCCACCAGGCAACATATTCATTGTTGCCCTTCCTAATATGAACACAACTGGATATTACACTCAGACACTGAGACTCTATGATGTTTCAAAGGGATTGCTAATCAACACTGTCCAAACAAACGACTGTGAGTATATAGTCTCAAGCCTATTCTCATCAAATATTGACATCACACATTCATCGATAGACTACTCAAACTTTGATTACACGTCATACTATGGATGTATGATAGCCAGTGATGGAGGAGAGTTTGTCCTCCTGGATATTACTTCTGGGGTATCCAAGCCATTGCCCATCAATAATATGCCCAATATCGATACAAGTATGGCAACTCAAGCCGTTGGTGAAAACACGTTATACTATTCAATGCAGGGCGACAATGATAATGTGTACCTTTGCACGATTGAGTTCACGGCCGGTCCACTTGTGGCTTCATGTTTGTCGTCCCATACCAACTATGCTGGTTTACTACATGGTCAAATGATCGTATCTCCATTCTAAAGGTACCATATTCCATCAATCATCATCATTGATACTGGCATTAAATCCATCAATCAATCAATCAAACAGAATTGGCATTGGGAATGGACAAGTAGGGGATGAGTAATTGGAGGACTCGATCGAATCTTGATCGTGGAGAGGGTATATTGTTGAAGGTGTGAGACCAGAGAAGTTGATTCGAAGGGCATATTGTCGACATTGAGGGAGGTTTGGGATCTGACCATCGACCCAGTTGAGTGAATCATTGTTGGTGACAAAGTTCTGCAGGCGGTAAGAGAGGTAGGTCTGGTTTGGAACAATGAAGAATAGATAGAATTTGGTTGTATCGCCGAGAGACAGAGCATTGATGAGATGACCATATTCTACGTGAGAGATTGAGTGGGGCTTGCTTGAATAGGTGACCTTGAACATGTAACACTGTTCACCATCTCTGAAGGCGAATGAGTCAACACAAGGGAAGGTACTCTCTGATGGTCTCCAAAGGATGTCATTTGTTGGCTTGTGTTTCCTAAAGTCCATCTCCTTCAAAGCGTTCATATCTTTGAATCCATTAACTCCATTGAATGGGAGCTCAAGTGTGCCATTGAACTCATCGCCCAATCCATCCAAAGGTCGAACATCAAATTCCTGACCAAACTGAATGGTTCTTTGACATAGTTGCTCAAAGAGTTTTCCAATGTTGGCTGAAGACAGGTCTGTACAGCCTTTCTCAATTGCATCAACCACCTGCTGTGTCCAGTTCCAGTAGAACCTCTGGGCAATCATATCCTTGATGTATTCTGACCCAAATATGATTGTCTGTTGAATGTATTCAGGATCGATAGTGTGAAGTTGAAGAACATTGTAGTTGCCTGCCTCCGGTGAGTCAGGGGAGGAATAACTTCTACGACACACTTCATAGTCAGTTCTTCCAATGGCCAACTGGAGTTCTTGTTGAGAGGCTAGGTCTATTTTCTCCAACACATATCTTGATAGACATCATGTCATGTTAATGGGCGGCTTAGACCTTTTGTTTGGTACCAAACATAACATACCTTGGAATTCCACCCCATCCTCTATACCTTTCTATGACTTGCTTGACATCTCGCATGTACTGTTTCTGAGAGTTGGCAACGGTGATCTCATCCAAAGTCCAGACTGGTATGATAAATGTGTTGTTCGCTCTCTCCTACATTGTTTGGAGATATAAGTAAGTAAGTAGTTTGATTGATGACGCCGGCGCTGAACATACCTTGGCGTATTGTTCATAGTTGTTTCTCCTTGGATAGGTTGCCAAGAGAACAAATGAGTTGGCGGCCATTGGAGTCTGTCCATCCACAAGATATATTGTATCTTCTTGACGAACAATATGTTCGAACTTGGTGCGATTGCCAACATAGGCAACTGGTTTGTTCATGTGGTCAAATGTAAAGTGGATGGCATCTCGTGAGAAGCAGTCGAAAACGATGTTCTTGGGGCAGGAGCCAGAGCACCTCTTCTTCCACAAGTAGAAGAAGAGAAACATTGACTTGCCAATGCCAGGATTGCCCTTCAAGACAGTGATCTGACTTGGTCTCTCAGTCTTGACAATGATATCGTACAGCTCTGTATATGACTTCCTTATCAACAATGTGGATAGGTCGGGTCTGGTTGGGAAGTGAGTGTTCTCCATCAAGACAAGTACATTGTCAATTGAGATGGCCTTGTTAAGTTGAGTCCAAAACGATGTTTGAGTTGGATCGGCTGACATAGAAAATGTAAGTATCACTGATCACTCACTCACTCACTATGATTGGTACTTACGAGCTATGATACCTTGTGATGCTATTGTGACATTACTTGGAATGTGCACGTAGAGCTTTAGTACGCCATCCTCTGTTGGAAGATCCGACAAAAGTGTTTCGTTCATGTGGAGGTGACCGTTGATGTCTTTGAATCCAAACTGATCAGGGAAATATGACTGGAGTGAAGAGAACTCTTCCTTGGCCTTCTTCTTTAGATCGTCAATGTCCAGTTCACAAGTGATCTTGAATGAGGCTACTTGTTTACTACCTCGAGGTGCAGCATAAACTCTTGGCTTTTGTGACGTTAGAGTTGGAGTATTTATATCCATCTTTTAGTTGATTTGATGAATAAAGAATAATAAGAGTAATCTGTTTGTTGTGTAACACATATCACATATTACTACTCCATTACTGTAGATGCTAATGTGAACAAATGTTACTGTAGATGTGCATGTTGAGAGATAATAAGAGTTGTGTGAGAGTAATATTGTGAAGAAGATACAAGTCAAATCTGGACTGAAGATCAAAAATGAATGACATCCAATTAAACATACGAATATATAAACAAACAAAGAGAGAGAGAGATGTCACGACTCAAAGACCTGATACAGGTGTTGGGCGCTGGCAAGAGTGTTGTGATGCCAATGATCAATCGATATAAACCATCGTCGTTGTACATGCCAAGACACTATCCATTGCAAGATCATAAAGGAGGAGACAAGTCAATCAATGATCGAATAAAGACAGATAACGACAACGACAGCAGTAGACAATCAACATCAACAACAACAACAACAGAAGAGGATCATCATCAGTTCTTGACAAACAAGAATCCAGAGATCAAGTTTGTTGAGACCACTGGCGCCTCAGTTCCATCAAGTCAATCAACACGCTTCTGGCACTTCACAAGTATCCTATCATCAATCCATCTATCATCATCATCATCATTGTCAATATGACTGTGATACTGACATTGAATCATTCAATAATCAATCAATCAAACAAACAGAACTGGCATTGGGAATGGGAGCAGGATTGGTTGGAGAGATGACGAGAAGAACGATCAAACCGACGAGTACACAGACACAACAGGAATCATCACATCCAATGTTTAATGAAGCCAATGCCAATAGATTGGTGGAGACCTTCTCAAGAATGAGGGGAACTGCACTAAAGATTGGTCAGGTGTTGTCCATCCAAGACGAATCAGTGTTGCCACCATCATTTGTAAAGCTACTCGAGAATGTGCGCAAGAGCGCCAACCCAATGCCATTGCAACAACTTCATGTATGTATGTGCGTGTATGTGCGTGAGCTAAGCAGCCTCTGGCCTGATCGTCGACGGCTAACCACTTGTCCCTCCCCCACGTAACACAGGACACACTTGCCCAAGAGCTGGGCGAGAACTGGCGATCATTGTTTAAAGAGTTTGAAGAGCGACCAGTGGCTGCGGCATCGATTGGACAGGTACATCGCGCTGTCACAATCGATGGAAAGGTGGTCGCCGTGAAGGTGCAGTACCCTGGCGTGGCAGAGAGCATCAACAGCGATATAAAGACACTCACATCGATGTTGCGCATGGTCGTTCCCGAGACGGCCTACATCGATCGCTCACTGGACTCTGCGCGACTGGAGCTGCTCAAGGAGACGGACTATCTGCTCGAGGCGGCCAATCAACGACGCATGAAGCACAACATCGAGTCGAGCACCAGTCCTCAAATGAAATACTTCTTTGTACCAGCAGTTATCGATGCGCTTACGACCAAGCGCGTACTCACAAGTGAGTACATTGAAGGTGTATCAATCGATCAGATCAATATCAGCGACTACAATCAAAAGACAAGGAATTGGCTATCCAAGAGTCTGCTGTCCCTCTGTCTTGCCGAACTCTTTGAGTTCCAATACATGCAGACCGATCCCAATTGGACCAACTTCATCCTGGACTTTGAGAACAAGAGAGTGAGTGTTGGAGCAAGCGAGTGGCTCATGAGGCGACACAACTGGCCTGGCTAACATATGTCCTCGCTCACTCATTCATTCAATCATAGATCAACCTGTTGGACTTTGGAGCATGTAGAAGCTACGACAATCCATTTATATATAACTACTTCAAGTGTATTGAGGCTGGCGTTGAACAAGACACAGCCAAGATATTGGACTATTCGCTACGTGTAGGATACTTCACGGGCGAGGAGAGCTCACTAATGAAGGATGCCCAAGCGGCAGCCATACGCATTCTGGCCGAGCCATTCGCAGCAAGCGATCCCTACCCATTCTTTGAGCGACAGATATCTACACGCATCGCCAAGCTGATACCGGTGATGCTTAAACATCGACTGAAGCCGCCACCCGAGGAGACCTACTCGCTGCATCGCAAGCTCAGTGGTTGTTTCCTAATGTGCTCCAAGCTACAATCAGTGAATGAATGTAACTCGATATGGCTACACTACCAAAAGTTATTCAACGATAAGAACATCAACTACAACAACAGCAGCAGCAGCAGCCATTAGTTGGTTGGACGACGCAACGTTCGCTGACCTTCTGGCATCCAACTTCCATATTTGTCCACGACAGATTAAAAAGTTGAACTTCATCTTGAAACATAAAAAGGAACTAAATTCAAAATTATAATTAAAACTAATTAATTGTGTGGGGTGTGTGTTTATTGTTTAACCCACCACCACACTAATAACACACACCACACTTTAGCTCGCTCACACACACACATTTACACACACACATTCACAAACACACACACACACACACATTTAATTAAAAGTTCACACGCATAAACACACACTATCTTCAATCTATATTACATATCTTGTGTTTGATCGACAGTCAATCGGAGCATATCCTTTCCAGTCGAGGTAATAGTCCTAATCAATCAATCATTCAATCAAAGTAAGTAGCTCTCTATTCATTCATTCATTCATTCATTCATCCATTGTTAGTTAGAAGCCAACAAACCAGAGTCTCTCCAACCAAAGAGAAGATACAGCATGTTTCATTCACTTTACCATCATTCCGCTTCTGTTGTTTCTCTCTTTCTCCTACTCTGAGCAGATCTCATTCATAGACTTGGAGTCGAGGTCATTCATTCTCCTCTATCTCTCTCAAACACACTTACTCACTTCAACAACACACACTTTTGCATTAACCCAAACACACTCCAACAACAACACATGTTTTTTTAAAGATCCATCCGTTACATATCTCGCTCATTCACTCACTTTAATTGCCCAACTCAAATTAAGAGAGGGAGTGAGTTCAACGGTCAACGACAAATGATTACTTCCCTCCCTTTTGTTATTGTACCAACGACCATTTTCCATTACATTCTATATTATTCCATCACAATACATTAATGAACAACAACAACAACCACCCAATCACACAATTCTTCATTCACCTGATTGCTTGGATGAATGATTGTTGATGATTGTTGTTGGCTTCGTTGCAACTTCTTTAACTATTTTTAACATTGTGCACCTCCATCACAATGGTTGGGGCGTGCGTCGGATGAGTTTTGATTTACATCTCACACTTCAGTTCATCTTGTGTGGGTGTTATTTAATACATCATCACCTTCACCCATTGTACATAAACACACACATATTCTTCATTCACACACAACCACAATAACATATTACCATCATCCACAACAACTACACACACACACACACACACACACACACACACATAACAACAAAAGACCATCCAGGCAACCAAAGGCGTCTGCTGACAACGATCGATCAATCAGCATTCATTTGTATACTTCCATAATCCATCACATTCATTCATTCACTCTTGGTGATAGAGAGAGAGAGTGACAGACGCACACATACAGACTCATTGATCAATCACACATTTACAACTTTATTGTTGTACAATCAATCAATCAAATTGACAACTATATCCACCACCACCAAGTCGACAACTTCACTTGTATGCATTGCATTTGACTTTGACATTTATCTCAAAGATAGAATCAATAAATTATACTAATACTCTAATATCACGAACCACCCTTTAGAAGCAGCGGCAGATAAGAAGCAGTAGCAGTAGCAGTAGCACTAAGACATAAACTAAACCCAACAAACATACATTATACTATATATATACATGTTATCAACGACCAATTCGACCAACTCATCAGGCTCTGGCTCAAATCTAAGCACTGAGCCACTCACACTTCCATTGCCGTCAATCTTTCAGAACAACCCAATGAATCCCTCAATGTTCAATCCATCGACTACGATGACGCCATCGTTCCTGCTGCCCACCAACCCCTCGTCGATGATGCCGCACACATTTGCCCACGACTCGGGCAGTGGCGGCAGCGGCCAGTACAGCGGCGGCATGGACAACGTGTCCAACGACTACCAGAACATGCAGCAGAATCAGCACCAGCATCAGCAGTCACACCAGCAGCAGACAGGTGGTGCCCCAGGCTCCCACTACGCCTCACCCTCGGTCCAATACAACTATCTATACCTTCAGCAATCGGCCATGCAGCATCAGGGCCAGCAGCCCCAGGCAAACGCCATCCCAAGCAGCGTGGCGACACAGCCCTCATCACAGACGACCACCTCGACAAACTCTACGACGACAACACCGACCAAGTCGCCAAAGCGCAAGTTGTCCACAGAGAAGAAGGAGCCCGTCACACCAAACGCCGTGCCCAAGTGCACTCGCTGCAATGAGACAGCGTCATGGAAGCACGACAAGCGCAGATGGTGGTGCAAAGAGTGCAAGAAGGCCTTCACACCAGGCATCTCCAAGACACAGAACACCAACCAGGCGCCCAGCACACAGTCGTGGGACAACAGTGGCATCCCACCCGGAGGTCCCCTCTGCAATTGCCCAGGGTGTGGAGCATCCGCTTGCTGGAAGCACGACAAGAAGCGCTGGATCTGTAAAGAGTGCAAGCGACCATTCACAACAAACCAAGATGGCGCCACGCCTTCTTCGCCCACGTCGCCCAAGTCCTCCAAGAAGTCATCCAAATCAAAGAAGTCAACAACTGCGTCGTCAACACAATCACTCGCCTCTCCCTCCTCCAACAACCTGATGACGTCGGCATCCACGATGACGGGCGCCTCACCCTTACAGCCACAGATGACATACTATAGCCAACCGCCACTGCCATCCTTTCACCAAATGGGCACCTTCCCAGGTCTCCAGCATCTAGGCGGCGGCCAGAAGGACTTACTGCGCGCGGCGCCACCAATGGGCCCTGGCGTGCCCCAGATGAGCACCATGAACATGAACAACCAGAACTTCTTGAACAACATGATGTCCAGCTTGACCAATACACCCAGTCAGGTGTTTGCCAACCCAGGTGTACTCTCGCCAAACAATGGCTCCAAGAAGATTTCACCAGTGCCCAAGTCCAAGAAGGAGGCTGGCGACGGTGGTCACCAAGATCTGATGGGTGGCCCTCAGGCCGATCTCTCTGGCATGGGCAACACAGACTATTCAAAGATGGGCGGCAACAAGATGATCAACGACCTGAGATTTCTTGCCTCCTAATCAATGAGCATCAATCAACAATCAAAACAGCAACAACAACATCACATTGTCCAGTCCTTCCTTCCTTCCTTCCTCTCCTCATTACATCGTATCGTAAACAACAACAACAACAACAACACATAAGACATGAAGACAAGTAGTCAATCAGCGCAGTAGCAGTAGCAATAGAGCATCCACAACAACAGTGATGGATACACTCCTCACTTGTATAAATCAATACCAATCAATCCAATCAATCAATCAACCAAACCTAACATCCCCTTAATATTAATAATAATAAACTACTACAACAACTGATGGTCTATTGGACCATGCCACATACATCCATTGGCTAACATCCAGCGCTTTAACTTGTTTATATATCAAGGTGATTGAGAAGGTTGGAACACTACCAAATCTTCCATGAACCTCCACTCTTTGAGTCCTTGGACACCTTGCGGATGGTATGCCAGTCACGTGCCTTACTTAACTCCTCAGGAGTGAACTCCACTATCCTTCCAATTACATCGATGAATTGTAGCTCATCTCTCTCAATAAAGCCAAGTATGTTATTTTTGAGGAATCTGTATACATTGATGTGATGATATTAGTAAGTGATGGTTAATGAGATCACCTCGTTGAGATATACATACACAAACTCTTGTGGATCCCTCTTAAGCTCCTTCTCCAGCCTCCTGATTTCATTCTTCAACGCTGCAGCTTGTTCCACATGCTTTTGTTCCATCTTCTCACTCTCCCTACACCAATGACAAGAGTCAGTACATTGTTATTTATCCGATAGACATGACAATGATTATGTTGTACATACGACAAAAGATATCTGAGTACTTTAAGTTCGGCAAATGACTTCCTTAGCTCCTCATCCCTATTAGCTTGTATCTGTGATCACGTCTTGTTAGTCAACGATTCTCCGAGATGGATGTGATCAAACATACTTTGGCATAGTTGTGTAATATCTTATCAATCTCTGATCCAGGTTCTAATAAATCAGTCGTATCATTGCCATTGCCATTTCCATTTCCATTACCATTACCATTCTGATGATGATTAGATGTTGGAAGTAGTTGATCAAAGTCCATAATAGGCATCGGTACAACCGGATCCATAGACGCCTGTGTTGTCTTCGTTGAGTCCATTCCATTGGCAAGTGTAGCTCCATTGTTTGGCCTCAAACGTTCCAGGTCCTCTCTTAGACTCTAAAGTATTGTGGATGTTGTGTCAGTGAAGTGAACATGATCCCAAACAAACAAACAAGCAGACATACCTGTATCAATCTATCCTTCTCCTTCAATTGATTGTCTTGTTGCTTGGAGAGTGCCACATCGATCACACCTTCAATGTTTGTCTTGTAGGATGCAAACTCCTCTTGTAGTTTGACATGCACAGAGTTGGTGTTGGTCAGCTGATTCTCCAGTATCTTGATCCTCTGAAGATTGTATTCATAGTTCCTCTTCATCTCATGATAGTCCTGCGACATTGAGTCTTCATCCAATTGATTGTGCTCCAACTCCTTCACCCGCTCTTGCAGATTGCCAACCTCCAATGTCTTGTCAGCAATCTGTTTCTTCAAGTCTGTGACGTGCTTCTGTGCCGCTGCCAACAGGTTCTTTAGCTTATTGATCTTGTCGTCAGCTTCTGACTTGTTGTCATGCCCCAGTGGTGATGGAGATGATGATGACTGTTCCATTCGCTTTATAACGTCCTCCTTCTCAATGAGTTGTTCTCGCACCTTGACCAACTCTAGATGATTGGACTCATGTTGTTGTACGAGGTTTGAAATCTCCTCTTCCTTGACCTGAAGATCCGCGCTCAGACCATCGATCACCTGTTGAATGTTGACTCTCTGATGATTGAACTTTGCAAGTAACTTGTCTCGTTCTCCGATGAACTTTGTCATTGTAATATTGTAATCATCATTGACTTGTCCAATCAGTTTATCCAGTTGACTATCCTTTTTCTTGCTCTCTTCAAGCAAGTTTGAATGTGCAGTGTCCACCACATGGTTATTCTTCTTCTCCTTCTTGTCCTCCTCTTCTTTCAAGCCCAGTAGTGTGAGCAGGTGGTCATCGTCCAACTCCTCATCTTCCTTCTGATGTGATTGTTGATGGTTCAATTGCACCATCATGTGATTTGTTTGTCCCTCGTGTTGTTGTTGTTGCTGCTGCACCAAGCTCATCATCTCGTCTATGTACATTTTGTTGTTGTTGTTGTTGTTGTTGTCTTTGTTGTTGATCTTTAACTTGTTGATGTGTTGTGACTGCATCTTGATACAGGCAATAAGATCATCCCTTGATGCTTTGGACATATCAATGTCAATGTCCATACTCATATCCAATGATGATGAAGATGATGATTGTATTGTTTCACCAGGATGGAAGTGGCGATGATGGTGTTCATTATCAGACATCATCGTCGTTTTCTCTAAAGTACTCTCTACTATCTATCTATCTATCAATCTAATCTTTTACTAATACTAATATTAATACTACTACTACTATATATTACATGTATGATATAATGGTGTGTATTTGTACACATTCATATATTGTGTGTTTATGTGTTTGTGTTGTTGGGTGATTGGATTAGTTGGGGTGTTGTTTCGTCTTTGTTGCTCTGTTTGAAAACACACACCAATCTCCCACATCTTCACACTTTGTCAGTTGTAGAAGAGAACTTCCAATCAGTACATCTAGTATAAGATTCTACCCAACCACCTTGGGCATTTTATAAGTTAAAATATTATATAATCCATACCAAGGTAACTTGTGATGATCAAGGAAGGTCTCCCAAATATTATATCTCCTCTCTGTTATTTAAAACAATCAATTAATAATATTTTTATAATTATCATTGAAGGGAACTGAAACATCCAAAAAACAAACAAATCAATCAAATTAATTCACACTTTTGAGTTGAAGTCACCTGACCTTGAATGAAGTGACAACTATGAGAAATCATTCAGATCATTATTAAAAATTGTACTACAATTTAATAAGAGAGATAGATAAGATATAGAGAGAGAGAGATAGATATGTCAAACAACAGATCAAGAGGAAGTGGAAGTACTTCAACAACATCAACTTCATCAACACAAACAAACAATCAGAATAACAATAATGAATCCATTGCTATACTTGGTTGTGGAAATATTGGACTGTCAATTGCCCATGGACTGGTCAACTCGGGTCTGTACTTGGCAAAGAATGTCATCTTGACAAAGAGGAACCCAGAGTCCCTGGAAAAGACCATGTCGCCATTGGGCTTTGCTGTGATGTCTGATAACGCCGCTGCCGTGGCCAGGTCCCGTGTGATCCTGGTGTGCGTCACGCCCGCCCAGCTCGACAGCATACTCGCCATCATCCGTCCGTCAATCGACCCCCTGCGCCACATTGTCATCAGTGTGGTGAGTGGCGCATCCATCTCCGACATCACCTATAAGCTCGGACGTCCAGACATTGCTGTGGTGCGCGCCATGCCAAACACCGCCATCCAGTACTGCCAGTCGATGACGTGCATTGCCGTGCGCGGTGTCAACCACGAGATGGGCGCCTCCGACTTGGAACAGCGTCGCGACGACGCCCTGGCCACCTGCGAGCGAATCTTCAACGTGCTAGGCATCTGCATCACGCTCAAGGAGGAGCAGATCGTGCCGGCCACCGCGCTATGCGCATGTGGCATTGCATTCTTTGCGCGTGCCATCCGTGCTGCATCGCAGGGTGGTATTGAGATTGGATTCCACGCCGAGGACGCCATCAAGATCGCCGCACAGACCGCCAAGGGTGCCGCTGTGCTGTTGCTCCAGGGTCATCAGCATCCCGAGTACGAGATCGACAAGGTAACCACTCCCCAAGGCTGCACTATTGCTGGTCTGAACCAGATGGAGCACAGTGGATTCTCTTCTGCCATGATCAAGGGTATTGTAACGTCCGCTGAGAAGGCTGCCTCGCTCTACAGTTCAAAGAGGCAATCACAGAAACCACCCCAACATCAACAGCAACAGTCGCAACAGCAGCAACAGCATGTTCAAGCTCCACAACAACACTACCAACAACCTGCTCCCCAACCCCAGGTACAACATCAACAACAACTACAACAACATCATGTTCCAGAGCAGCAACAGCAACAGCACCAACCACAACAACAAAGGGAACAGAGAGGACAAGGACAAGGACAGGGACATGGTCATGGACATGGTGGTCATGGACAAGAAAAGAGACAGAGCAATGGTAATTGGTCAAGAGAACAACGTCAGGAGAACGATGACAACAACAATAACCAGGACACAAAGAGAAGATCTCAACAAAACCGTGGTGGCGGTGGCGGCGGAAAGAGACGTGATGATCACTACCAGAGACAGGAGGAGGATCATCGTCAACAGCCAAAGCTAGATATGGATCATGTCGATAGTGCTCTCAGACAGACAAATGAGAAAAGGATGCAAGACAACAGGGACAACAGGGACAACAGAGACAATAGAGACAACAGAGACAACAGAGACAACAGGGGCCACCAAGACAGCCGTGAAAGAGGATCACACCGTGGTGGTGGCGGTGGAGGAGGTGGCAAGGGAAACAGATCGCATTCCAACCAGAATGGACATTCGCATGCCGAGCCTCAACAACAGAAGGAGCAACAAAAGACGAATGAGCCAGCACCAGCGCCAGTAGCCGCGCCACCTGCAACAGCAGTAGCAGCAGCTGCCAAATAATTGATTAATTAATTAATTAATTGATCGATTGATTGACTGATTGATTGGTCAATGTACCAAGTCATCATTCAGAAGTATGTATGAGCTTCACAATCCAAAGTTATATATATTATATATATTGAATAAATAATTCAATCCGAATTGGGTCTTGCTCACCAACAATGTAAAGTCAATCATTCATTCAATCAATTTTGGTTTCCACACCAACATTCACGTGATCGCGCCGACACTGCACGCAGTGTGTCAGTGAATGGGGTTTTGTTAAACTCGAACCAAAGGTCACCATCAAGTCATTATTATCTGTATTCAGATGTTACCTCTGTATAGTTATAATCGAATGATTGATTAATATATATATATATATACTTTACATATATATATACAAACAACAAACAACAAACAATAACAAGCAATAATAATAACAACGATATATGTATAGATAGAATGGTGGAGATCATATCATTGTCAAACTTGTTGATACAACAGATTATTTCAAACTTGGGATGCAATGTGGATCGTTTATGCTTTGTTCTTACATGTTCAAGGTTCTTAAGACATCGTGAACGATTCTTATTGTTCAATCTCGATCTGACTTATAGGACATTGGACTACTTTCAAGACTCAAAGCTATACAGTTATCTACCTACCTTTCTCAGCCAGATCTATCAATCTTTCATGTTAAAGGCTGGCACTGATCAACCAACAATACTACATAAACATAATAGTGGTGTGTATATCTCTGCTGACGAGGACAGGCTACAAGTCAAGTCAAGTCACATTACTCACACTCATTCATGATCACAGATAAACAACCAATCTCAATACCAGATAATGCAACACATGTTTGCTTTGGCGAATCGTTCTTGGAGTATGGCGACTCATTCAACTCGACGATACCACCCAACTGCATCCCTCCCTCGGTCACTCACCTTCAGTTTGGTTATCAATTCAATCAGACGTTGATGCCGGGCACGATACCCGACTCGGTGACACTGATCAAGTTTGGACACGGCTTCAATCAACCGTTGATGCCCGGCTCGATCCCATCGTCGGTGACCTATCTAAAGCTGGGCTTCTGTTACGACCAACCGCTGTCCACGGCGGTGCTGCCAGCGTCGATCATCAAGCTCAAGTTTCGCTCGAAATACTCTTGTACATTAGCGCCTGGGTCGCTGCCAAACTCGATCGAAACAATCATTGGACTGCCGCAATTCAAAATCGCCATTCCCAACTCTGTCACACAGCTCAACATTGGTCGACGCTTCAACTCGACCATCCCTGTCGGTGCCATACCAAACTCGGTCACCGGTCTCGTCATTGGCGAGTCGTTCAATCAACCAATCAGTCGGGGCGCCATCCCCAACTCGGTCAAATACCTAACGTTTGGCGTACTGTTCAATCAACGCATCGACCCGGGTGTCATCCCTGCTTCTGTCATCGACATACAGTTTGGTCCTCGGTTTAATCAGCCGCTGGTGGCGGGCGTCATTCCTCCTCACACCAAGTATCTCAGGTTCGGCACTGATTGGAATCAAGTGATCACACCTGACATCATCCCGCCGTCAGTCACACACATCAAGCTTGGCCAGCAGTTCAATCAACACGTGGATCTAAAGAGTTGGGCGCCATCTGTGACGCACCTCATCCTGGGCTACCTCTTCCACTGCGACGACTATCCACAGTTCTTCAGCAAGAACACACTGGAATCGGTACTGTCGTCCGTTTCAAACATTCATCTACAGATGGAGGATGAGCTCTATGCTCTGGTGAACATCCGAGCGATCGACAAGGACGTTGTGTTTGTGCTCAATGAGAATCTGGAGGGAGGCTTCCTCTCGCTGCCTCGACTGCTCAGTCTGGCCAAGCAGGAAGGTTCAATCTATTGTCACGTGGCAAACAAAAGGATACAGACCTACGATGATGAAGACGACGAAGACGATGCAGAGGGTGCCGACAACAACAATGATCACTATGATCTGGAAGAATATGACAACGACAACATCGAACTATAGATAATAGTAAATCAAAGTTGAAATCATGTCCTCTCATCCATGTGCGTGACTGAGTGACACAGTGACTGACTGACTGACTGACTGAGTTGGTCGGTACATGTATTGTACTAATTAATTAATTACACATTATGATCAAACAATGTTGATCCTTTGAGCTATGCTCAACTCATCCTGCTGTACAACAGGTGGTTGTTGCTGTTGAGGTGGTGGCTGCTGTGGACGTTCGTCATCACTGTCGTCTTCATGTTCGGATACATGAATCACTGGTGCTGCCGATGTTGTTGTTGTTGATGATGTGACGGCACCACCACCATCCTTCTCATGATCAATGTCACGCTTGCAGAATGGACATGATTTGTTGATGACGAGCCATCGGTCCACACAGTCCAAATGGAAGTGATGTCTACACGGCAATATTCTGATCTTGTCGTCTTCATCATACTCGCACAGACAGATTGCACAACTACAGTCATCCTTCTCCAGCAGACCTGTATGGAACTTCTTGATTGTGAGCTTCCTGATCATGGCATCGGTTGCGCCACGGCTTTCGGGAGGCGCCATCTCGACGCCCGCGCCAAGTCGCATCAATGAGAACATGCAAGAGCAACAACAGAACATTATCGCACCAGATGCCAATATAATTTGAGTGATGATCACTGAATATGTTACCCAGAATAAATATGGCGAGGAGGAGGGCTAGAGGTGGGAGGAGGGAGAGTCAGACATGGACATGGAGCGGACCAATCAATCAATCAACGTTGCTTACACATTTATCACTACTCCTTGCTTTGAATGTCCAGATGATGCCAACGAGGAACCAGGTGATATAGAAACATGATAGCATACGATGCACAGTGTTGAAGATGAACTGTTTACGCAGCAATGATGGAGGTGGATTGCCATTGTCGTCTTGTGATGGTAGGTTGACAAAGAGGAAGATGAAATTTACAATGATGAGCGATTGGATCACGATCTGAACCGAGGACCATTGCTTCAGTGGGTGATCACATGCGTGTTTCCAATCAGTGACCAATGCCACAAACAGTACAATCGACACTGGTAACAAGTATAATATACCAGCAAATAGCAGGCGTCTAACATATTGATTGATTGATTGAGTAAGTGAGAGTAATGATTGAGTGCACACTCAATCATACATACCTTAGAAAACCGTAGAATGATATTGGCCTCGACAACTCATTCTGAATGAACAGGATGTTCTGTGCCTCACGACCAATCTCGTTGTCGGTAGTGTCACCCACATCGATGTGAACGACTTGTTCACTGTTAGATGACTGAACATTTGAAGATGTTGTTGTTGTTGGCATAGTTGTTGAGGTTGATGAAGTTGAAGTTGTTGAAGTTGTAGTAGTAGTTGTTGTTGTTGAAGTACTTGATGATGAAGTAGTTGATTGTAATAATGGACCATCTTCATTGACATCATCATCGTCTATGTCATCGTCATCATCATCATTGTCATGGAGTGCCCTCAACTTCTTCTTGATCGTTGAAGTAGTAGGCTTTGGTTTATGTATTGGTAACACATGATCATTCATTTGATGACCTTCCAATTGTTGTTGTCTCATTCTCTTTTGATATTCTCTCCTCTCATTGATAAGGAACTCCTTCTCTTCTTCACTATCATACTCTGGACCATCATCAACACCACCACTATTACTACTATTACTACTATTGTTATTATTGAGTACTGTACTTATATTACTAACACTAACTTTCCGTTCATGTACATCATCATTATCATCATCTTCATCATCGTCATCATCCACCAGTAGTTCTTTCTTTCGCATGATCTTTTAAATATATGTATGTATGTATGTATATAAATAACTATCTATCTATCCTTCTCTATCTCTATTTGAATGTCCACATTCAACAACAAACTCTAGAGTTTCAAACTTTCATTCGCTTCTACCCACCTTTCGCATCAATCCCACATTGATCCACATGGTGATGTGGCTGCACAATCACTGAGCAAAATTAATTAAGATCAATGATAATTTGGGATTGTTATTGGGCATGTCCAATCATAGACATAATATCAACTCTTATTAATATTTGTATTATTTAAATATAACCATACTTACAACTACTACAACTACTTTATAATTTTATCATTTTTTTATATAAATATCTTTGTGGTAGTTGTCACGACCAAGGGTGCCTTTGGATCTGTCATTCAACTTTTCATTCATCTTGTCAACAAAGTCCGATCCGAATAAGGACCCACCTTTAAATCAATCACATCAATCATAGACGACACACACATACATACATACATATACATCATTTATATATATATTGAACATACACATATAAAATGAACAAGTTGATCATCCTCCTCGTTTTATTGATTGTTGTACTGATAAGTACTATGACGACTACAGTCAATTGCAAGTCGATCTTATTGCAAGGTACAAGAAAGCAGTCGATCTATAACAAACAGTCAATGGATTGTGGACCCCTTGCAACATTCGACGATGAGGAGGTTGGAAAGAGTGGTATCAAATGTCCAGACGGAAGTTACTGTCCATCATCAAGCACCTGTTGTCCCAGTGGAAATGGTGGCTACGCTTGCTGTGGTCAACCAAACGCATCATGTTGTACCGACTTTAAATATTGTTGTCCATCAGGTTTCACATGTAGTAAGTACTCCCAACCTTCTCAACATTTATCATTAACTAACTTTACTGGTGATGTTCATTGCACAACCACCAACAGCTGACGATGGCAAGATGTGTATACCACCATCAATGTATCAACAACAGTAATTACTAGTCAGCAACAAGCAACAACAACAAACAACAACAGTATCACGATCGTCGCTACTTTATTGCGATGAATACCCAACTTTAACTTAACTTAATTTAATGACGATGGTCATCCATCCATCCCAGGCCACATCCAATCAAAACATACAATAATAAAATGATATTTATAGTTTGTGTGTCTGTATGTCAATCAATCCAAAGGCAATTCATTGTATACATAAATGATGATTATTATTTAGATCAAGATCGATTAATTATCTCTAGACATGTCAAGCTTATTATTTGTTGTGTGAAGTTATTTATTATTATTATTTTTAATTTTGAACAATGTACGGTGCGCAAACAACTTCATCACCCATCTTGCTATTGAATCGAATTGTGAACACCTCAAACCCTCTTCTGTTTGTTATTTGTGTGATTAATGAAACAACAACAACAGCAACATTGTTCATAATAACGATTCATTCATTCAAATATACAGTAACAAACAAAACTATTAATATATTTTCATATATATATAGTAGTAGTAGTAATAGCAGTTGAAGTGCAGCTCAAGTAATACTTTGTTTGACACATTATTATAATTATTAAAGGATGGGTATGTTTGATCAACAACATATATCGATCGATTGAAGATGATTGATCAGTCGACACTAACAAACATATAAACTATGTCATTCAAATCATTATAATGCAGCAACAACAAACGAGTCTGATTATCATCCAATAGCGATATTGATCGAGGAGTTGAAGAATGAGGATGTACAGCTTCGTTTAAACTCAATCCGTAAATTACAGGCAATTGCTAAGGCATTGGGTCCAGAGAGAACTCGTAACGAGTTGATTCCATATATACAGGGTAAATGATTGATTGATTGACCGACACAAGATGATCAAAGATGATGAGGTGTAGACTAACACAAACAACAAACAAAATAATATAACAGAGACTGAAGAGGATGAGGATGAAGTGCTCGTTGCACTATCAGAGGAGTTGGCTAAACTCACAGACTTTGTTGGTGGAAATGAACATATTACTTGTTTGCTACCACCATTGCAAACGTTGGCAGGTGCAGAGGAGGTCATTGTCAGAGAGAAGGCTGTAGAGGCCATCTGTAAGATATGTCAGGATCTTCCACAGCGTGCCTTTGAGGATAGCTTCTTGCCATTGGTGCTCAACCTCTCCAAGGCTGATTGGTTCACATCGCGTACATCTGCATGTGGATTGTTGACTGTATCATACCCAAGAGCATCACCAGACATGAAGAAGAACCTTAGAAAGTATGTCATCATACCATCAATCATCGTTGTCGTCATCAAAGTACTCACACAGCCATTGCCAACAACAGGACCTTCATCACTCTCTGTCATGATGACACACCAATGGTTAGAAGAGCAGCTGCCACTCACTTGGGTGTATGTTATGATTGATTGATCGATTGGATTGATTGGATTGACCCTGTACTCACACTAATCATACACCTCAAACCTTTATAGAACTTCTCCAAGCAAATTGAGAAGGACTCGGTCAAGTCAGAGATGCTTCCACTGTTCACTTTCTTGGCCAGTGATGAGCAAGATTCAGTCAGACTGCTTGGTGTTGAGAACTGTTCCATCATTGGATCCATTCTCACCAATGAGGAGAACGTTCAATACATACTTCCCATCCTCAAGTCAAGCGCTCAGGACAAGTCCTGGAGAGTCAGATACATGGTCGCAAAGTTCTTCAAAGAGGTACGTACCAACCTCTATCTCCAAGCAATCAGCCAATCAGTCTTGTCTAACACCTCATCCACATTACATAGCTTTGCGATTCAATGGGACCAGAGATCACAAGATCAGAGTTGGTTCCAGCATTTGTTAAGTTGTTGAAGGATACTGAGCCAGAGGTACGTACTGAGGCCGCTCAGAGAGTGACAGAGGTGTGCTCGATCATCCCAAAGGATGTGGCCATCAAGAGCATCCTCCCATGCGTCAAGGACCTCGTCTCTGATTCATCACAACATGTGCGCGCTGCACTGGCACAAGTGATCATGGGACTGGCTCCAATCTTTGGAAAGGATGACACCAGACAACACCTCTTGGACCTCTTCCTCCAACTGCTAAAGGACGACTTCCCCGAGGTTCGTCTCAACATCATTTCAAAACTGGATCAGGTCAACAAGGTCATTGGCATTGAAATGCTCTCCCATTCCCTCTTGCCAGCCATCGTTGAGTTGGCTGAGGATCAACAATGGCGAGTTAGACTTGCTATTATAGAGTACATCCCATTGTTGGCTTCACAATTGGTATGTAGTCCATAATCAATCAATCAATCAATCAATCAATCAATCAATCATCAAATTAATCATACTAACATACTTTACTTATTATAGGGAGTTGAGTTCTTTGATGAGAAACTCGGTAACCTTTGCATGACATGGTTGGGCGATAGTGTGTTCTCAATCAGAGAGGCAGCCACCAACAACTTGAAGAAACTGACTGAGGTGTTTAGCGTCGAGTGGGCCAAGTCAACCATCATCCCAAAGGTCCTCACCTTGCACTCTCATCCAAACTACTTGTACAGAATGACAACTCTTTTTGCCATCAGTGTATGTATCCAAACAATCATCAATCAATCAAACAACAATTTTACAAATGACTAACATTATTACACAAACACATAGGTCCTCTCCCCAGTCGTTGGAAGCGATGTTATCTCAAGCTCTATGATTCCATTGCTCTCAAAGATGGCCACTGACAAAGTGCCAAACATCAGATTCAATGTTGCCAAGACACTCCAAATCATTATCCCTCTGATCGACAGCACTCTGGTCCAATCCAAGGTCAAGCCACTGCTCACCAAGCTCATCTCGGACGAGACTGACAAAGATGTAAAGTTTTATGCCAACCAAGCCCTGCAGCTTTGCTAAAGGAATCAAACAACCAAACCCTCTGCATGTCCGTCCACGTCATCGCTGCCTCCCCAGACGTCTCCACCTGCGTAACGGACAATGACAACAAGAAACAAACACAAACCACCATTCTCCATCCACCTGCGAATATCATCACCACGTACAACAACAAAGAAACAACAACATTACCTTCTTCTTATCTATCTCAATAAATAATGCCATAGTATCCATGGATAAATACATTCCGGACTCTTAATTGAGACAGTTGGCATATAGCACCTTCACTATTTTCCGAACTTCGGCTAGTCCTCTGACCTCAAAATTTATGACCCCTAGGAGATTCGAACTCCTGACCTGAAGCTAACTTCTCTATTTTAGTTGGAGACTTATGCGCTACCACTGCGCCAAGGAGCCTTCAAATTTGGACAGTTTTCCTATTCCTATTTTATCGGGATTTTTTGGTTTTTTTTTCGAACACGAGAGTAGTTGTTTAAACAAAAAGACATCTTCTAGGAATGTCAAAGAGTACTCTTTAGTTGCAACTAAAGAATATATAATGTCGAATAATTATAATTATAAATACTTTGCAACCATGGTTGCAGTTTAGTCCCCTTGTTCTCCAAAAGATTGAAACAAATAAAACCAACTAACTGACTTATGAACACTTTCATAAAACAATTAATCAAATAGTTACAACATAATATATAATACATACAATGGCAAAAGAAAAGAGCAATAAGTTCAAACAACAGAAGATGAAGGCTTGGGAGCCTATCCTTACACTGACTCCAGCTATTATAACATTCATCGTCATCGGCATTGTGCTCATCCCTATTGGAGTGGTGATGCTGAAAGCATCCAATGACGTTGTCGAATCGATTGTTCGCTACGATGAACGCTGCCCCGTCGGAGGTCCATTATGCAACATCACGATGAACATACCAAAGAAGATGGAGTCACCCGTGTACATGTACTACGGCATCGAGAAGTTCTATCAGAACCATCGTCGCTTTGTCAAGTCTAGAAACGATGACCAGCTGCGTGGCATGATGGTCACCGACATGAAGAAGCTAAAGGAGGACTGCGAACCTTTCACATCATTGAACGGCACACTCGATACTGTCTACCTACCGTGCGGACTGGTCGCTCGCAGTATGTTCAACGACACGTTCTCTCTGTTTGACAAGGATGGCGCTACCGTCGTTCTGCAAAAGAAGGGCATTGCATGGGGATCAGACATTGACAAGAAGTTCAAGAATCCACCCGCTGACGCCAAGGGCATCAGAATCATCCCCGACTACACCGACGAGGACTTTATCGTGTGGATGAGAACGGCCGCTCTACCAGACGTCAGAAAGCTGTACAGAATCATCAATCAAGACCTCCCAGAGGGCAGTGTCACCGTCTCTATCAATGCAAACTACCCTGTGGACTCTTTCGACGGCGAGAAATACATTGTACTCACAACGGCCACATGGACTGGAGGCAAGAATGCCTTCCTCAGCTATGTCTACATCGTTGTTGGTGCAGTCAGTCTCTTTATTGGCATTGGTTTCTTGGTCAAGCATAAGGTTGCACCAAGGAAGCTTGGTGATACAAGATACTTGGAGTGGAACAACAAGGATAAATAGATGGATTAGATGGATTAATCAATCATTATCGTCTAAAGACTACACAACAACATTCAATCACCAATCATAGCGTAACAACCAACACCAACTTGAAGCGTACATTGTCTATCCCAGCAGAGATAGATGATGTACTTGTAATTTACATTCATTCAATCAATCAATCAACCTGACTACTCTACTCTACTACAATAATAAAACCTTTTGCTGACAAGGAATGAATGATGGATGATGATGTCCACTTGAGTTATTATTCTCAGACAAGAGTATTGGTTAATTGTTGCTGTTGTTGCTTTGAGGAGGAAGAGGATAAGGAGGAGGAGAGGGAAATGAATTGAAGAAGTACATTGGTGTCTGTGTCTGTGTCTGTGTCTCTTGTTGTGTGTGTATGATTTGTCTCCAGCATTACTGATAAGATATATCTTAGAGAGACACGTGATTATTTGGTTGGCTTCTTGTCATCCTTGTCCTTCTTTCTGAACAAACTCCAGCTCTGCTTCTTCTCTGCTGGCTTTGATGATGTCGACGTGGTGGAGGTTGTCGACGACGATGATGATGATGCGCCTGATGACGAAGGTGATGTCGAAGACGTCGATGACTTTGATTTGGATGACGACGAAGATGATGACTTTTTGGAAGAGCTGGTCGCAGGTTGTTTGTTAAAGGCTGCCTTGATCGCCGCTGCGAATATCTCATTGACGCCACTACCTGTGCGAGCAGCACACTCATAGAACTCCATCGCTCCTATCTCCTTTGCAAGTGCTACTCCCTGTGTTGTTGTAAGTGTGATCGATTTGATGTTGTTAGCATGCTTGCTCTGTCGGTCTGTTTATGTTGATGGTATCACAATCCTTACCTCCTCGCGTGTAATTGGTTTCTGATTGGTCTCTGCCAGCTTTGCCACCAGCTTTTTTGTCCTCCCTCAGATCGGTCTTTGTAGCCCACGAGAATGATTGGTGTACCAGCATTGCTCTGTGTGATCTCTTTCAACCACTTATACTTTATATTGTCCATCGAATCCTTCTTGTCGACAGAGTAACATATCAAAAATACATCAGTCTAACGTACGTATATGTTAGTGAATGAACGAATGGTAGGTTGGTGGAGTTAAACTTACTTGGGGATATGATAGTGGTCTGAGGTTATCATAGTCTTCCTGTCCAGCTATATTGATTGATTGATTGAGTGGAATGTTCCAATTGATTAGAGTCAGTGTTTGTTTGAATGAATGATCCCAGTGATTGATTGAGACTCAGATGATGATCATACCTGTATCCCAGAGGACTAAATTTACAGGCTTATTATCGTACATTTCGAGGCAGTTGAAGTTATCTGTTGTTTGTTGTATGTAACAGTCAGTCAGTATGATTGTTCATGCTCCTGTCCTGTCCTGTCCTGTTGTGTCTACAAATAGTATGTCTTACCAAATACTGTTGGGACGTAGTCTGTTGGGAAGGCTTTGGTTGTGTATAGAATCAGCAGAGATGTCTTTCCAACAGCGCCATCACCGACAACAACGACCTTAACAGTCTTTTTGATTCCTGTTGCCATTGTTGTTGTTTTTATTTAATTATGTACAATCGTTATGTATTAATGATACTGGATATGAATATGTATATATATAAGTATAGTTATAATCAAATAAATAGTAGTTCTGTGTATGTTTATGTTTATGTTTGTGTGTTTGATCACTACCTCTCAGTTTTTGATCATTCCATCCCCCACACATCAAACCAAACAGGATAACAAAAGTCGGAAAAAAATTAAAATGGTGATGGTGATGGAGAGATGGGAAAGAGATAGATAGATGATCTAGTAAGGATGTACATAATTAATTTATTTATATATATATATAAATTTAACTGTATGTTGGTTCATAGTAGGACAACAAGATGTTTGGAACCAAACGATCGAGATTCTCTGGTGCCAAGTAGGTCTCCTTGACATCCACATACAGTATGTCAACACGTTGATGCAGTGCCTGAAGTACATCCCTGAGTGGCTTATCATTTGGTGTCAACTCCTTCCTCTCCACACTAGCAGCCTGTCCAGTTGATGGCTCATACTCAGCTGGCACAGAGTATAATATCACGTTCTGAGGGAATGCCTGGAGGAGACGTGCCACTCTCTGCACAATGTCCGAGTACTTCATGGTCTTGATCACACCAAACTGGAAGGAGATGGGCTGTCCGGTGATGCTGTTCTTATGTTGCACCATATGGAAGTTGATCGTCGTCTTGTTATATACATAGTTGAAGTAGTCTGGCACGAATGGTATGCGTGGCAGATCGCGAAGTTGTTGCTGGCGCTGGCAGTAGATGATGTCGCCGTGTCCAATCTCATAGGACTTGAGCGTGCGGTTTGGATCCAGCTGGTAGACCAGGCTCATTGACAGGTCGCCATAGAGCATCAATGGTCTGTCTGGACTTGCTCCAAGCTTCTGATTCAATATCGGTACCAAATATGATATTGAAGTATTTGCCTGGCACACCTTTGATGTCAAGAACTCAATAGACTGTGTCTTTGCATCATAATACTTGAAGAATATCAATGCATGATCAGGTTGGATTGGATCAAAGAATAAGTTCTTCTCCTATTTAGATTGATTGATTGATTGATTGAGCGTGAGTGAGTATGAATGTGTGGATGTGGGGGTGGAATGATTCCAGATTCTGATTGAGATCACTTACATTCGGGGTTGGAGAGTTGGATACCTCCATGTGAAGTCTGATCTCAACTTGTCCAAAGTATGAGATATATTGATTGACTGATTGATTGATTGAGTGAGTGGAATGAAGTTAGCGAATGATCAATGATCAAACAGTTGGAGTGTACACTTACATATATCTTCATCATCAAGGATGATTGGACACCGACTGACTTTGGCAGGTTTGGACTTGTTGTTGTCCCAGAACCATATCCTTATTCTCTCAAAGGCGATGCCATACATCATTTGTAGGAGCAGCTTGAACTCCAACAGAGTGGTGTACTTCCTGATCTTGACAGTCTGGTGCTTGTTGAAATCGATCAGATCAAATGATTGCCGGGACTCAAAGTCCGTGTCACACGTTAACTTTATCGTGTGGTAGTAGTACGTCTCCTCATCCGACTTTTGCTTGGCATATGCCTCTGCATCATCCACTGCGCCACTTGTATTGAGGTATCTATGATTACAATACAGTTGGATATGTGATGATCTCATGTGACTATATGATTGTAGACTACGTGATTGATTGATGGTTAGTGGGTGTGATTGAGTGATTGATTGGAACTATTCCATGATGGGTGATGACATACTATCTGTTATCAAGATTGCTTTGGGACATAAAGTGGATGGTCACATTGACAGAGATAGTGTCATTCTCAATGAATCCAGAGTTCTCATCACGAAGAGTGTCCAAAGACATGAACTTCTTGAATCCCCAATTGATGCTGCTGTAACAGAATGTGTGGAATGAGTCTAATTGATGATAAGTCAGTGATTGATTGAAGGAATGATCGGACCAGGATAGAGGGTACTTACACTTCCTCTCAGACTTGGATGGATTCAACTTGTTGATGATGGACAGTACGAAACAGATGTATTGTCTGCGCTTGGGGAAGGTCTTGGGGTCGACAAAGTCTAGGTATAGGGAGAAGAAGTTCTGAGCACTGTTGCCTTTGGGGAACACGTAGAATCTCCAGTTGGTAGAGTTCAATGTGAATGTAGGCGAGTAGAATGACTTCTCCAATGTCGAGAAGTTAGTTATATCGTAGGAGAAGTTGCAGGGTCCTTCACCCATGTTGTTGTTGTTGATTGTTGGTGTTGGTGTTGGTGTTGGTGATTCCATCAATGTTGTCGTGGGATTGGGACTTGGACTGGAACTTGGACTTGGACTGATGGGACATGTAGATGGGAGACTGAGGGGTGACTCAATCCTGAATGGCTTGGGACTGAGGTAGTCATAGGACACAGTGATCAACTCAACATTGATGATAATAATGTCATTCTTGATGAAGCCATACTTTGGGTCCATCAGTGTATGATTCTTGATGAACTTCTGGAAGAGCCAACTGAATGAGTTATATGAATAGACATTGCTGATGACTATAATGAATGATGATGATGAGCTGTTAGTGTTGATGATGAATGAGTAGAGCACTACTACAACATACATTTCTTAAAGTGCTTGTCTGGATTGAGTTGGTTCTCAATCTCAACAGAGAATGAGATGTGCTTGCGAAGCAATGGAGTTGTCTTGATGTCCACGAGATCGAGATAGATTGAGAAGAAGTCGGTAAGGTTCTCCAATGGATAGCTTATTACCTGCCACTTACTACCCGCTATCTTATACGTTGGTGACAGTATCAACTCTGTTGACTGACCCTTTGTAGCGTGGAATGTGAAACGTCCACAATCCGCTGACTTGTCCAAGTTGGACTCGATCTCAAAGCTAATGTATTGATTGATAGTTAGTATGAATGTGATTGGATGATTGAATGAATGAATGAATGAGGGGAGTAGGACATACTTTGGAGTGGACTCATTGTAGTTGGATGACATGACTGTGAACTCGATGTTGATTTGGATGGAATCATCGACCATGTAGCCATTGTCGGGGTTGAGGAGAGTGGAGAGAAGGACAAACTTGGGGAAACCAAAGTTCATGTTCTTGTCGTCGTAGAGGTGATCGACCCACTTCTTGAGGTTCCTGTCGGGATACTTCTGATTGACAATCTCAATGGCAAAGAAGAGATGCTTGATCATCAGTGGCTTGAACTTGACGTCGAGCAGATCCAGGTAGACCGAGAAGAAGTTGGGCGACGAGTAGCCGTTGGGGAAGATATAGATGCGCCAGTTGGAGCCGCACGAGTGGAACGTGGGCGAGTAGAAGTTCTCAAAGTGATGTGAGAAGTTGGTCATCTTGTAGGAGAATCGTCCAAATGGCTTGGGTCGCAGTGCGTCCGTGTTGTCAATGGTCACTGGCGACTGTATCTCCACCTTGATCATCAACTTGTCATCGATCAAATATCCATTCTCCGCCTTGACCAATGTCTGAAGACTCAAGAAACTGACGAATCCCCAATTGACTCCTTTGAATGAGAACTTGTGGCTTGAGTCTAGGATGGGAGGGCGAGGCGAGGGCGAGGGTTAGGGCGAGGGTTGAGGGCGAGGGTTGAGGGCGCCAAGATCAATCAATCAAACATACTCTTTCTAACATTCTTCTTGTTGTTTAGTTGATTGAGTAGGGTAAGGGTTAGACCAGCATCCTTCTCGAGTAAGGGGTTGTGACCAATGTCAAAGTAGTCGAGGAAGATGGAGATGTTGCCTGGACTGTTGTTGCCTTCGGGGAAGATGAGCAGACGCCAGTTGGCGCCGCACAGGTTGAAGGTTGGCGTGTAGAAGCTCTCCTTGTACGTGGAGAAGTTGCCAATCTCCACGGTCTTGCAGCCATTGGTGGCCTCGTTAAAGTCGCCAAAGATGGAGGCGGCCGTCGACGACGATGGCGAAGCGCCCGATATTATCGGGTGGGCAGTGTTGCTTGTGTTTGGGTTGGCGCTGCCCTGCCCTGTGTTTGCGTCCACGTTTGATTTCTGTGTGCTGGCAGTCAAGGCTATTGACTGCTGCTGCTGCTGGTGAATGGTTTGTTGATTCTGAGTTTGTGTTTGTGGTTGGGTTTGTTGTGGCTGCTGGGGTTGTTGGGTTTGTGGCTGTTGTTGTTGTTGCTGTGGCTGTTGTGGCTGCTGTGGCTGTTGTTGGGGCTTAGGTTGAAAGAATGTATCCGAGAGTGTTGCCCAGAAACCCTTCATTTGGTCTCAATATACTGTTTGATTGATTGATTGATTGATTGGCTGTGTATCCTTCCTTTGTCTTTGGGAATATATAAAAGTAATTCTGTTTGTCTTGAATATAGATGGCAACGTAATATGGCCGCCGTTGGTTGGATTTGCACTCAACAGCAGCGACAAGATAATAAAGATAAGTATATTCGTTGATGGATGATGGGATGATGATGATGTTGCGCAACTAAGTTTAATAATATATATAATATTATATAAAGAGTGAATGACTGGATTGGATTGGTTAGGATGGATGATGGATAGAGATAGATAATGAAAGAGCAGTTATACAACTATCGTTGTTGGGTGTTGAATGAATGTGTCTGTCTGTCTGTTTGTATGACTGTGTGTATGTGTATATGAGAGGAGGAGGAGGTAATAATGATGCGTTGCGTGATTGATCAATCGCAAGTCAAGCAAGCAAGCAGCAGGTGGCTGGTGCTCATGCAGCGGCACAATGTTTGTTTGTTTGTGCAGATGGATGGACAGCGGCAAGCTCTCACTGTGCTGCGGAAGGAAGTTGGTGATGGTGTTTTAAATGTGAGTGATTGATGGGTGGAAGCTGTTTAAACCTGTGAGTGTGAGTGAGTGTGTGTGTGTAGTTGTTTGATTGATTGTGTGTGTGTGTATGAATGAATGAGTGTGAGAAATTAAGGTGATAGAGTGATCGTAGGTTTGAGTGTTTGTGTTTAGGTGAGGGTGTGTTTGTTTGATTGATCGTAATGCTTAGATAGAGGGCAAAAATGGATCTAAAGATGGGTGTGGGCGTAGGCTCATAGGATCAGGTTAATATAAAATTGGTATTTGACTTGCAATGATCGTGCCCGATCCCATTATTGTGGGAAGTAAGGGGTATTATTATTCTAGCCTTCTCCTCTCAACATTGTTACATTAAATTCATATGATTATTATTTACCTCTAAACAAGTTTGATCATCAATTGTAGATTTCTAAATATGGTCATCCTTACAAATGACATGTGGGTCACATTTGTCTTGGATGATCTATGTGAGTCAAATGAATATGCATATTGGATTAATGAATGAATGAATGAATGTTTATGGGTGTGGACTCGTGTCTCGGCTTGTCCTCAAATTGTGTTGTTGGCACTCAAACTTTTATAAACTCTAGGCGACGATCATCACGATAATCAAAGATACAGGACACATTGCTCACTCTCTCTGAGTACTAGTTGTATACAACAACAACACTGCGCGCATTACAATGAAGATCCAACCAAGGACCCCACTGTTCTATGTGACATCATTCACTATACTAGGATTGACATTCTACGGACTTGATCGTTATCTGTCAGGTTCATATTGTAAGTGTCACTGACTGTCTGTCTGTTGGTCGTTGTTGTTATTTGTTTTATGAATGTGACTAACACATCATCATCATGATCATCATTATCAGATCAATACTTAAATCATCATAAGGTTAGAAGAATCGAAGAACAAGAAGCAAAGGATGACCTTGCTCGCGATAGAATAAGAAAGAGACAAGAGTTGGAGAAGCAACAACAACAACAGCAACAACAACAAAAGCAATAATAATTGTATCATTCATTCATTCATTCATTCATTCGATCAATCGATCAAACATGTTTATTACTTTGTGGTTGTCTTTCGTTGTGCCAACATCTTCCTTGGCACTGGAATACCTGGCATCATAGGAGCAGGCGGCTTTATCACATACTTGCGTTCAGTAATCGTTGGCTTCTTATTGTTTGTCTTCTTTGACTTGGACTCCACCTCTGCCTCAACCTCGTCGTCCTGGTCGACTACCTTGACTTTTGGACTCCTTGTTTTATGAACACGATCATACTCCACATCGACCTTCATCTTTGGACCATCATATATGTTCTTTTCCTGTTGGTCGTTGTCGTCTCCATCCTCCATATCATCCGATTCGTCATCGTCGTCGTCCGAGTCTTGGTCATCCGAGTCGCCATGGTCCATCACCTCAACATTGCACAGTGTGATACAAGTTAGACGTGCGCCAGTCTCTGCCATTCCAACCGGCAGTTCAGTGTCAATGTTCCAAACAACGACATTGCCATCCGATGATATGCTGACCACATAAGGCTTCTTTACCGAGTCGAATCTCAACACTTCCAATCCCTTGACTCGTGCCGAGTTGCCCTCCAACTGTTTGATCACCTTGCCATTCTTATAATCCAACAATGTAATCAACTTGTCCTCGCCTCCAACCATCAATATGTCATCCTAAAGATTGATTGATTGAGTTAATGAGTGAGTTGATGGGAGGGATGGTTCCAGGACACTTACATCATAGTACTTCATTGTGAGTACGGGTTGCTTGAACTCAAAGCTGTGCAACTCTTTGGCGTCGGTTGTGTAGATGGCAACTCGGTCGGCGTAGACGACAGAGTAGTGGTTGCCAGTGGGCGACCATTGGACGATGAGTCCCTCCTTTGGCAGTTTGTTGTAGTTGGCCGCCACTCCACGCATTAGATCCCAGAGGAACAGACGACGATCCTTGCCCACGCTCAGAGCAGCCTTGCCACTCGGATGGATGGACAGTGAGTTGACAATGTCCTTGTGGCCCTTGAGTGTCTTGAGACACTCCCAGTCGGCCACACGCCACACGCTCAGTGTGTGGTCGCGCGACGCTGCCAACATGTGCGAGCTGCCAAAGAATTGGATGGCGTTGATCCAGCCCTCGTGCTTGGACAGTGTGCCAAACTCCTCGCGCTTTGACAAACGGTAGACACGCATGGTCTCGTCAGTGGACGAGCTGACCAGGAACTCGCCGTCGGCTGTCGTGCCCACCGCCTTGACGCAGCCCGAGTGAGCGGCGTATGCAAACACCTGTTGGAGGAGTACCTCCATCTCGTCTGGGTTGCCCAGCTCTGGATGATCAGCCATCAACAATGCCTCATAACCAAGTATCGAATGTTCATAACATCCAATTGTAAGCAATGGACTATACTCCTTCTCTATTACAGGGGTAGCAGTTGTTGTGTTGTCTGTGGTTGTGGCTTTAGTCTTTTTGCCTTTGGCGGCCGATGCCACAGGAGTGTCTGCCTTCTTAAGGATTGACTTTGTTGATGTAGTAGTAGTTGTTGTTGTTGTAGTTGGCACTTCAGTAGTGACTACAGCAGCGGCAGTTCTCTGCTTCTTCTGTACTATAGTTTGTTTATCATTTTGAGCTGTTGTCTTCTCTTCGTCAACAGCAGTGACTTGTCTTTTCTTTTGTTGCTGTTGCTGCTGTGGTTGTTTCTTAGTTGATGTCGACATCTTTATATATATATCTCTCTTTTGTTACTTATTTATATATTTAATAATCTGATTATGATGATGCATTCATTCACCAAGTTTAGTTTCTTTCGTTCGTTTTCAAACAAGTTCTCGCAATCTGGCACCCTGCTCGAGGATGTCCAAGTCGAAAGACTAACTTCATGGTCCATCCACCCTCAATCAATCAATTAATCAATATTATACCAATTCATAACCTATCCATCATTGATCGTCAGACTAGTTAAATGACTTAAATATTATATAGGACCAAAGGCGTTTATTGTAAATTGATAGCTGCGCAGCTGCATTATTTATAGGCCTGTTCTTCTCTTCTCTGCAGCCTTCTCCTCCATAGCTATATTGTTTGAATAAGTAGTTAGGTAAGTATATTTGATTGAATGATTGATTGATATAATATAATATGAACATACCCTTCTTCTCCTCTTCTCTCTTCTTTGCAGCCTCCTCTCTTTGCTTTCTAATGACGAGCAGTCTTTCCATATCAGCCTTCTGCTGTTTCTCCTGTGCTCTAATCTGTGCCTGTTGCTTAGCAACCTCCTCTCTGTTTGATTGATTGATTGATTGTTAGTGATTGAATGAATGATTGAATGATCGAATGAATGAAACGAAACATTACTTCTCTCTTCTTGATAGTTCAACCTTATGTCCAACCGGCAGATCTGACACCTTCTTGGTGACTGTCTTGACTCTGTTTGGATTGCTAGCGTCTACCTTTGGAGCAGAAGCCACTGGCTTCTCGTCCTCTGATGACTCGTCGACCTCCTCTCCAGATGAGTGCTCGCTGCCAGAGTCGTCGACCTCCTCGTCGGAGGAATCACCGTTCCTACGTCTAATATCCTCGACGCCCTCCTCATTGCCATAGAGCACATGACGCTCCTGTCCCTTGTGATTGGCCTTTGATCTCTCGATCGCGCGCTTGTTCAACTTGCCACCGGCAGCTGCACCGCCACCGCCACCGCCTCTCTTTCCTCCTCTTCCGTAAGCCATTGATTGATATCTGTATCTGTATCTGTTCGCTTAAATGTTATTATTATTAACCAATATAGTGTGTGTTTCTCATTCTTTATCCTCTCACTCATCCATCATCTTGTTGTTGAAATTGATAAAATTATTCGATTACGAACTTCTTACAAAAGTTAGTGTGTGACAAGTGTGTGATAAAAGAATGACCCGATTCATTCGTTTGATCATTCATCTAAAGATCAAGATATATATAACAACAAAACAAACAATAATATAATGAATAGTTATAGAATAAGTGAACCAGTATTCCCTAAATTGGATGATTATTATATGGATCATATTAATGTGATGCCAGAGGAATTCGTATTGATATCAAAGAGGAAAGGAGTTCAACTTAATGAGAATAGAGCATGATTATAAAGGAATCATGTATTGAGTACTTTTCAGAGTTGGAGCAATGCAAGACCACAAGATCATTCTCATTCGTCAATTGTATAGACTATCACAGACAGTATCATTATTGTGTAAAACAGAACTCTGTACGTCAATCACTCATCTCATTCAATCACTCATTCGAATTCATTGAACTAACATATCAATCAAATGTAGGAGAAATGGGATAGATATCTAAAGTATCATCTGTGGAGTAATAAGGAGTCATACTATAAGTATTGGGAGGAGATTGAGAAGAAACAGCAGCAGCAGCAACAACAAAAGTAGTCCATGGACCACAAGACAACACAACATCACACCTTCTTTTTCGTCTTCAACACTAAAGGGTGTCCAGGACCAAGTTGACACGCGATCAACTTTGTGTCATATGACACACGTACACATCCAGCAATGATGATTGGCTTAGTCATTCATTCGTTCATTGGTCAATGGACCATGATGGTGTAGTTCACTCTCATTGCATTTTCCAGCACACGTGGATCGATCATCAGATGACTTGACTAGACTGCTGGTAGTAGCAACACAACAGGAGGATGGATGGATGGATGGATGGGATGGAGCAGGAGGCACACTATCAACCACTGGCTCAGTCTTAATAAACCATCACTCTCCCACATACCCCAAATAGTTATATATCTCACATGTGTGCGATCCACCTTTGGCAAAGGCACACGCACTTTACTTCATACACACATCACACAAACACACACAAACGATCATCCAACAGCTCACACACCACAAACACGAGCATCATCAGACCAACCACCAAACTAATGAATGAATGAGAGAGGGATCAAATCAATCAATCAATCAATCAATCAGTAACATTATACATTACAGGTACATTTGATATATTTGTATATCTCCACATCCTTCATTCATTACAACATTGATTAATTAATTAACAACAACAACAACAACAACACAATAGTTCGATTCGATTTGATGTTCTTAATTCTCTTCATTACCTACTTATTACTTATTAACTTACACTAATTAGTCACCTAAACATCATTCAAAGTAGACTCTACTACACACACCACCAACCAACCACACGTGCCCCTTCCTTTTCTTTGCCGTTCCATCACCAGCAAGATCTTCCTCGAGAAGGTCTCCCCTCAGCTCACACAGTTTGTTTGTTTAAAAAATTAATTTCAAACTCCAAGTTATTGTTGTTCTTATCAATCTCTCTCTTCTCTCTCTCAATCATTAACAGAGACATACCTATTCTATCTATATATCTATCTATTCTATATATCTATATATCTAGTAGTAGTAGTTACAGAAAGTATCAGGTGATCGAACCAATCAAATCAATCAAATCAATCAAACAAAGAATACAAAGATACAATAACAACAACAACAAACAAATGGATGAGGATTATACAAAGCCTGTGTATGACTTATATGCACACATTAGCTCAGAGAAGCGGATCAGCGATGAGTTTGCTGCTTTAGAAGTGGAGTTTCAATCACACAACCAACAGACTCTTGAAGGAACATTGAAGCACAATACACCAAAGAATCGTTACACTAATATACTACCATGTATGTTTGAATGTTGATTGATCAATTGATTGATTGATTGATTGACAGATCAAGGTATAACTAACATGAATCAATCATATACACATTAGGTGATTCAACAAGAGTCAAACTTGAGAAGATAGATGGACAGGAGGGATCAGACTACATAAATGCTAACTTTATCAATGTATGTTTGATCACATGATTGATTGATCGATCATACACTGACATATCATCATGTGATCACATGACCATATATATAGGGAGAGTATGAGAAGCAGTATATCTGCACACAGGGACCTCTACAGAACACTATTGTGGACTTTTGGAGGATGGTCTGGGAGAACAATAGTAGGATCATTGTGATGCTCTCAAAGGAGCTGGAGAACTATAGACCCAAGTGCGATCGATACTGGTCCGACAACGAGTCGATTGAATACGACTACTTCACTGTACAGATAACGAACTTAGAGAGAGACATCGAGAGGGAGATCATATGTAGAACATTTTCATTAACCAATCACATTGTAAGGACTCTGATTGTGTTTGATTGATTGCTTATGGACCAGGCCTCACTCACTCACTTACTCATTCATCAACACTTAGGTAAATCAAACAAGAACAATCACACACTACCAGTACGAGGGATGGCCTGATCATAATGCTCCAAATGATACGGAGCCACTGCGCCATCTGTTGCACATGATCAATGCCACCCAGAACAGTCTGAAGAGGGAGGGCATTGCAAGTCCTTTTGTTGTACACTGCAGTGCAGGTGTAGGCCGTACCGGAACATTCTGTACCGTTCACATGATGATGAGCAGGATTGACAACACCGTCCCTGGTCACAGGATTGACTTTAACATATTTAACATTGTCAAGAACCTTAGGAAGCAGAGACCTGGAATGGTACAACAATTGGTATGTTTGTCGTTTGATGTGAGCGACTGATGGATTGATGGACTGACTCAAATCAATCAATCAATCATTTATAGGAACAATATCTATTTTGTTATGCGACAATAGCAGATGAACTTAGGGAGAGAGACAGTAACAATGAGGGCATCAACAACAATAACAACAATAGTAGTGACGAAGACGATAATGATAGTGATGACGACAATCATCACAACAACAACGACAACAATAAGAACAACAACAGGAACAACAACAAGGATCACCTGGTAATGTGACGGACCTCAACACAACACCAATTTCAAATATATCATTGACTATACCTATACCATACTATATACATTATGACCATTGTGTTCCAGTTTTGTTTGTTTACTTTACTTTACTTCATTCATGCGATCACCAACCAACCAATCAATCAAACAAACTTCCAGCCAAACTGGAACAAGCACCCCACAGCTTTAGCATCATCTTCATCGAATTGTCGTGGAAGTGGGGTTGATCAAGTTGGACCCGCAAAACCCATGACCCCACCGTTTGGGTCGCGATCGGGAATGTTGAATTGGACCCGTTGGTGAATACACTAACATAAGCAAACATTCTAACTCCAATCAATCAACCAATCAATCAATCAAATAACAGTTAGATAGAGATAGATAGATAGAGATGGAGATGGAGACAACGACAGTATTATGTGATGCACATGGTGATAAACCTGTTGAATACCTTTGCCAGAATGATCAACAGATGATATGTATAGAATGTACAATGTCCAATCACTTTGGTCATGTACATTATCATGTAGACGAGTTGAAATCAGAGTTCTTTCAACCTGAGAACTTGAAGAAACATATGGAGCAGCTGTGGACTAGTCTCAAGCCATTGTACACACAACGCCAGGCATTCCTAGACAATGAGGATCGCATTGGACAAGTCTTCCACGAGTTGCATCAACAGTTGGCACTTGAGGAGCATAAGTTAAGGAAGCCCATTGTCAAGGAGAGAGAAAAGGTTGACTCTGCCATCGAGTCCATCATCAGCGAGATTCAATCAATCAACTCCATTTGCTTGGCGCAACGTGGTGGCAACAACTTGTCCGACCATGACCACCAACATGTGACCTCGACCACTGACATCATAGTCGAGTCGATCAACCCCGATGATACATTGACATCATTCATTCAATCAAATCCATTGCCAATGGATGATGATGATCAATCACCAATGACTCGCATCGCGTTATACTTGGCCCAGTTCAAGGACCCTGGCCGCAATGACCATGTCCACGACCTCGCCATCAGGTTCGAACCAGCACCCTTGCGTAATCAGATCATGCGCACTATACACGACGCGTTCGAGATGGTCGAGGGAGGTGCTGACAACAAACAATCACAGTTCCAAGCCGACAACTTTAGCTCACAATGGCAGGTGTTCTCGCTGGATGGTGGTGGTGGCATCCACCTGTTCGACCCAGCAGCCTCCAACACCAAGTGGATGCGTGTCAATTGGCGCGAGAAGGAGAACCGCTACAACACCCTCCAGTCCGCTGCCGCGGCAATCGACGAAAATGTCTACATATTTGGAGGCGAAGATCGCTCGGTCACATACTCGCGCTTCTCGATGTCCAAACAACGCGTGGACTTCACCGGCGACATTGGCACGGGACAAGGTGGCTCGTTCATCTCGACATGCTACGACGGCGAGAATTACATCTACCTCGTGGGCGGTCACTTCCGCTATGAGTCACTGACACGCATCGATCGGTTCGACATCCGCACGGGAGAGTGCCAGCGCATTGGTTGTCTGGGGCTATCCAAAGACATGCTCTACTATTTCTACTCATTCATCTACAAAGACGTGCTGTACGCCGTGACCTACAACCGTAACTTGGTCATCACATTCAATCTCACGACAATGGAGCGACGACAGGCCACGCCCGACTATGCCGACGGCATCTTCAAGAACATCTGGGCCATGTGCTACGATGACGCGAATCATCTTTATATACTTAAGACTGATCATCAGCTGATCAAGCTGTCACTGCAGAGTAGAAAGTACATTACACTGGCCACACTGGAGCCCAAAGAGAAGCTATCCTCATCGCACAATATTACATCGATGGTATACCTCACATCCAATCGTGGCAAACAACAAAGTCTCTATCTTCTGGGTGGCCTACTGTACGGCACACATCAATACTCAATCCAAGAGAACTGTTGGACAGTGTGCGACGAGTCCAACCGTGATGGATTCGAACGACATCGTCGTGGATCATGTCGAGTTCCAAAGAAGCAATACCAACAACAAGTACAATAAACCCTACCCTCACACTACCCTACCCTTGCCCTCGCCCTCGCCCTCGCCCTTACCCTCACAGAGTCGACGACTCAAAAAACGAATGAATTGGAAGTCATCATAATTATTCAATCAATTCAATTAGTATCTAAACAGATAATATATATAGAAGCAAGCGAACGAAGACGACGAATAATGCAGGCTTGTCTGTCTGCAAGATCATCATCGATGTCGATGTCGATGTTCTCAATCTTTACAAGACGACTGAAAGGATCACCACATTCATTCACATCTCTTGGCTGGTCATCATCATCATCATCCATAACTCCATTCAATAGTCAACGAACATTCACAACTGATTCATCGTCATCATCATCATCAACTGCAGCAGCCACTGCTATTGCATCACAGATCGACACACCTACGAAGCCAAAGGTGTTGGTCATATCAGGTCCAACTGGTATTGGAAAGGTAGGCTACACTCACTCACTCAATCAAGCAATCACGACTAACACAACACATGCAGTCAGAGATAGGCATTAGAATGGCACAGTTGTTGGGAGGTGAGATTGTGTCGGCAGACTCGGTACAGGTATATAGACGTTTGAACATTGGAAGTAATAAGGGCGCGATGGATCGTGTACCACATCACTTGTTCGACATACTGGACTTTAACGACACGTTCAATGTAAAGAGCTATCTAGAGTTGGCTATCAATGCCATCGATGACATTATTGCACGTGGTCGCATACCCATCCTGGTCGGTGGTTGCGGCTTCTACATACACTCGGTGCTCAACGGCATCAACAAGACACCACTCGAGGGCAACATTGAAAGAGGTACACTCGAGTCAATTGAAGCGCGTCTAAGAGCAGAGAACAATTGGTTCAGAGTGTAAGTCCTTCAATCATTCATTCAATCATTGATTCATTCATTCGATCGACTAACATTCTTGAATGTGTAGTGCATCAATTCTCAAGGAGATCGATCCAGAGTCAGCTCAAACAATCAGTCGCAATGACTATAGACGCATGGCAAAGAGCTTCTACGTCTATGCTCAGACCGGCACCAAGTACTCAGAGTACAAGAAAATACATGGTATGTTGATGATGATGGGACGGACGATGGATGGATGGACTCAAGATTAACCATGCATCGTTACACAGACAAATCATATGACAGCAACAAGTACGACTTTAGAGCATTCCACATTACAGCTAGACGCGATGCAGTGATGCACATGCTCAACTATCGTTGCGAACTGATGATTCAGAATGGATTCATCAAAGAGGTGGTCGAGCTGCTTCTTGATGGTCTCTCACCTCAATCACAAGTGTCCAACTCAATAGGATATAGTCAATGTATCAATATACTTTTGACTCCAATGGAAGTAAGTAACATGTTGTTGGTGTGTCTTGGTCCTGACCTAACAATCATAATCACAGTCACAGATAACAATGTTGGATACGATCAACTTCTTGATTGAATTCCAGGCACAGACAAGGACATACAGTAGGAGACAATCAATATGGTTTAAGAAGTGCAAGGCTACACGATGGCTGGAAATGAGTCCACTTCCACAAGAGTTCTCACAATTCACTCAAGGAACAACCTTACCCAAGAGATCAACTCTAGACGTGTATGTTATGGAATGATCATCCAAATCACTCTCACTCATTCATTGACTCACTCAATCAATCAATCAATCCATAGTATGTTGGAACAGTTCTACATGGATGAGAACACTTTCGCCAATGCAAGGAATGTGGAGGCAGAGGAAATGTTGAAGCATATGACGAGGGATCAGAAGAAGATGTGCAAGGAGACATTGCACAAGTTCCAATTGTTCACATCAGAGAATTCATTCTTGCCTCTGCGCAAGGTGATCATGGCAGGTCGATCATTGCTGCACAAGAATCGACCAGAGCTGTTTGGCCCAGAGTTGAACCCGCATCTCATCTCTGAACAGAAGAGGAAGCAACAAGAGCTGTTGCATTCCCAACTGTCTGGTGGTGCCGATGACAGCGGGGAGCATATCCGTCAATGATCTTGATAAGATATCCTGTGCGTGCAAGAGTCTAGCTACAATAAAGCTGTGCTGTAGTCACCAACGTATACTTTGGCGATTACTTTGAGGCAGACAAAGAAGAAGAAGAAGAAGAAGAAGAAGAAGAAGATTGAATCATATGATCGATATACACAAAGGTGGATAGAATTCTCTATTTCTGTTGCTGGCTGTTTGAGTCTGCGGTGTTTGTCGTTGTGGTAGTCGTTGGTGCAGTTCCATTTGGCTGCTGAAGGTTAGCTTGATGCATCAAGTCACTAATCGATTTATCCAAATCATCTATTCTTGATCCCATTTCATCGACTATGTTGAAGTAAGTGTTTGTTTGATCGATAGATTGATTGATTGAGTTCATTGAATGAAAGATTAGTATCTGCACCTATCGAGCTATGTTGGTTTGATCATCATACTTCTCTTCAATATAGACTCTGACATTGTTTCAAATCTTGTTTGCTGTTGGTGATAAGGTGATGAACATAGGTTAGAGACAGAGAGAGAGGAGAGAGATGATTGATCGTCTCATTAATGTACCATTTGCTCCAAGAGAGTTTGAACGAATGATGACATGTCTTGTGCACTTGGGTCAGCAGGGTGACCAGCGGCGTCTGGGTGATTCTGGTTATTGTCCTCCATTATATATGTATATGTATATGTTATAAGTTATCTGTATCGTTTGTAATAATAAATGGAATGATATGAATGGGTGTTGTTTATTGAGATACATTTATTTTTATCGATTTCCTACAAGATCAAGTGTTTGAAGATTGAATAAACGACCCGGAGTTGGTCCATTACTGGTGATGGATAAAGTGAAAGTGATCACTTATAAGTGATTGATTATTAAAGTTTCTTTGTTAGACTCTTAATTGTACTCATTAAGTTCTGATCTGTTCGTTGTAGGAATGCTTGTTTCTCCAGATATCCATTCTTTGCCTTGTTCTCAATGTCGTTCTTCTCCATCATATTGCCATCCTTGAATTTATCCCAATCCATTTGTGACTTTTGTAATGTTGACAATGCCTTTGGCTTTGCTCCCAACTTTGATAGTAGTCCTCCCATATTCTTGGCACTAATTGATTGTTGATGGAGTGTCAGGGATTGATTGAATCAAAGGTTGTGAGAGTGCAAACTGAAGCCACTTACCCAGCTTTCGAAGGCGCAGGCTTTGGTGCGCCTGGTCCGACTTGTGTCCTAACAGTGACCTCCCTCCTATAGTGTGTGTCAGTATCAATCAATCAATCAATCAATCGATGATATTCACAAACTTACTCTATTCTCTCACCAGCAAACTCAAAGACTTCAATCTTCTTCTCCTCGGTTGTTTGAATGACTGGTGTGGCGTTTGATTGTTCTTTGGACTTCTGTTCGGCGTCATTCAACATCTCTTCCAAAGTCTTCTCGACAACAGGGAGTGTCTCTTTCTTTTCATCAGACTGATCTGCTGTCTTTTCTGTTGTCATGTTGGCATCGTCTTCATCATCATCATCATCTTTGTCTATCTTGCTCTTCTTCTTTGTTGACTGTTGTTTCTTCTTTGTCGTTGTTTTACTTATTTGCTTTCTCTTCTTCTTATTCTTGTTGTCAACGTCATCACCTTCATCATCATGTTCAAACTCTTCTTCATCTTCTGATTGATCACTTGGGACATAATCATCATCATCTGAATCATTGATCATGTCCTCAGCAGACATCTGAGGTATTGACACATTACGTGTTCTACTTCTTATTCCTTGCATTATTATTCTATCTATCTTTCTTTATAACTTTGAATGAATGAATTCTGAAGTGCAAGTAACTTTCTCCAACTTTTCCCCCAAACATGGACCCGCCATTCTTGGGTCTAACCTGTCTCCAGGGAATCACAATAATTAACTTAATCTTATACTAAGATAGATAGATAGTAATAATACTATTAATAGTATAACAATGACACATGTACACGAGTTAAATAGACTCTCTTGGAACAGTGCCACTTTGGCACATAACAGTCACAAGGGCGACCAGGCAGAGTTGTTTAGAAATGGACATTGTACACTATTCCCTGAGGAGAAGGAGTTGTTGGGCCATGTGTCAGGACGCTCACTACTTCATCTTCAATGTAACTCTGGTCAGGATACACTGAGCCTCGCAAGACTCGGTGCCAAAGTCACTGGTGTCGACATCTCTGACGAGGCCATCTCCTTTGCCCAAACACTCTCGGCCAACTCCAACATACCCGCGACATTCATTCGCGATGATATACTACATTGGATGTCTGAAGCTGCCAAGAGAGGAGTCAAGTTCGACCGAGTGTTCACATCGTATGGCACCATCGTTTGGATCGCAGACTTGAAGGCGTGGGCGCGTGGAATTGCCTCGCTCCTCGCCACTGGCCCAGACAGTCGCTTCGTTATTGTCGACTTCCACCCATTCGCACTCTACTTTGATCAACAATGGAAGCCTACCTATGACTACTTTAACAGAGACGCGATAGAAGAGAGTGGCGTTGGCGACTATGTAGCCGACTCGGGCGATGGCCTGGGAAGCGTGCACAGTGGCGTCGTCGACTTTGTCAATCCACACAAGAGCTACGAGCACTTTCATGGTCTTGGCGACATAATCAATGCGCTGGCGTCAGCCGGCCTGGTCATCGAGTGCGTCAACGAGTATCCCTACAGCAACGGGTGGAAGGGATTTGATGGCATGGTGGACATTGGTGGAAAGCGCATGGTGCCTCCGTCCAACATTCCCAAGATACCATTGATGTATGGTATCAGCGCGAGACATCCTTCCTCCTCCTCATCATGATAAATGTTTAAACTGAGCAGCAGTCGACTGAGCTCGCGTTTATTCATCCGCCTCGTCGTCTTCGTTGTCTCCATTACTATGTACACCTGTGTCATTGGTCTGTTCTTCGTCTTCGCCTTCGCCATCGCCATCGCCATTCTCATTGTTGATGTTGTTGTTGTTGTTGTTATTATTGCTATCATCATCGATCATGGCATCGGTGCCGTCTTCTTGTTGTTGTGCTGCCTCCTCTTCCTGAGTCCACCATGATATCATGCCCAGACCACTCTCGCGCATCGATCCCTTGATGATCAATGGTGACTTTTGGTTCTTTAGGTACTCCTCCTCCTCCTTCATTCTCTTTTGATGCTCCTTTAATGCTGTGGCGTCCATTTGATTTACTGGCGTCGTAGACTTTGGTCGTGGTGCTGGTTGTGACACTGCTGGATTCCATTCAACCGTGTCGACCTTGAATCTTACACGACCCTTATCTTCAAAGTACAGTTCATTATCATTCCAATCCCAATGCCATAGTCGTTCATCTGCATCGTAGCTTGAAGGTGTTGGCAAGTCCACTGCAAGTATCTGTATATCATCAAAGAATCCCAATGAGACTGTAATGCATCATGATTGATTGAATGTCAGTGAATGATTGATTGAGTCGATGTATCGTCCATGTTCATGTTCATACTTTGCATGACCTCCTTGGTTGATCTCTTGATTATGCCTTCGAGTATCTCACCAACGAAAGGTTTGAAGACTACTAGTCTACAACGTACTAGTAAGTGTGAACCTCCATCACCAGAGTAAATATATGCGTCGCCTGTTCCAATGATATCATACAATGCTACGAACAATCCTCCATCTATTACGACCTGTAGTAGCTGTGTTAACAACGAGTCATTTATTCATTCAATCAATCATTCAGTCGATCAATCGTTACCTTGTTTGTATACTTCTTCTCTATCTCATCTTCGATTGTTTGTATCTCATTGTTGAACTGACTTGGAGGTATCCTAACCTTGTCTTCAATGGTGATTAGATGAAACATTGTTATGTGTATATATATAGTAGTTGATTGTTTCAAACAATGAATGAATGTCAACAAAGAATAGCGCGCCTTTCAAAAGGTGGTTTCGTCTTCCAAACACACACAGATATTCGTTTGATTGATTAGACGATCGATTGACAAGAGATAGAGATAGATATATACACAAAGAGTACTTCTAGATATGTACTGGTATTCTTTATTGAACGTTCTTATTCCTATTAGCTCGTCTAGACTTGAAGAATTTTCTGTTGAAGGACGAACAAGTATGAAGTTAGTATGACTGACTGACCGACTGACATTGATGGTTGGGAGGACCTGGAACTTACCTTTTGAATATGTATTACATAGGGTGTCTTAATTTGATGGATATAGGGTACGATTAACTTTACAAGTCTGGCATGTTGTTGATCGTCGGCTACGTCAAGTGCAGTCTGGATGACAAAGTTGGCATACTTGTCTTGGAGGAGGACGAGGATGTCTGCCTCCATGAGCTCCTTGATGATGGACTCGTAGGTCTCGGTGTCAGCCACTTGGAGACACTTCTCAATGACGTTGGAGCTGTACTTCTGGACAGAGAGCTCGCCAATGTTGCCCAGCAGACTCTTGATTAGCTGGGATGCGTAGGACTTGTTGTTCGAGAGCAAGTGCTGAACGACGTAGTTGCCGAATTGATCCTGTACAAGCTCCAGCGAATGAGAGTTGATCTTCTTGATCAGTGCCTCTAGTTGCTCCTTGTTGGCAAAGTCGATGCAACGGTTGACCACCGTGCAGCCGACCTTGTGCGTGCAGATCTCCACGACGTTGTCCATGATGGCGTTGCAGATGAACTGGTTGACCTCTGGCGAGAACTGCTTGAGGAACGACTGGATGAGGTAGTTGCCCTTGGCGTCCTTGGACAGGCTGATAACCTTGTCGCTGATCGAGTCCACGATCGACTGCACCTGCTCTGGCGCAAGGTACTGCAGCACCTTCTGGATGCCGTGAATGCCGTAGATGTGGCAGGCAAACGTCTCGACCTTGGGCGCGATCTTGTCCACGATCATCTTCCTCTGGTTGTTGTCGCAGTACTTCATGAGCTGTGGGATGAGGTACTGGCCGTAGGGGTCGACCATCAGCTCGATGAGGTGCTCGTAGACCTCCTTGAAGATCATCGTGACGTGCTCGGCGTCGGGCGACTCCTCCAGCTTCTTCTGTAGGAATCTGCAGCCGGCCTGGTACTTGGTGAGATGATATATCTGGCCGGTGATCTCCTCGAGCGTCGTGGCCTTGATGGGCATGTTAGCGTCGTTAATGTTGGACGTGTTGATCGAGCTCATCGACACGGACTTGGTCATGGGCTTCCTCAGCGGTGCGTCGGCGGCCGATCCAACCTTCTTGATGGGGTCGTCCTTCTTGAGTCCAATGTTGGTGATGTTGGAGCTGCTGTTGGAAGACTTGAGTGCGGGCCTGATAGGGGCCTTGACCTCCAAAGGTGCTGGTGCGTCCTTGGTCTGCTTGACGATCACGGGCATTGATGGCGACTTCTTCATGGTCTTGGCACCGCCTGCCTGTGGACCAAGAATAGAAGCAATGTTGGAGGATGATGTTGATGGTGATACGGAGATGGGTGTTTGGAATTGTGGTGTGGCGCTATTTGGTGTTGTGGTGGCAGAGTTGTTGGACTGCTGCTGAAGTGGCAGTTGTTGTGGAGGCGGTTGCTTCCTTGGTGACTTGAAGGTGGGCGCAGCAGTCTGGCTGGCTTGGGGCAGAGGTGTTACTGGTATAGGTTGGATCTCTACCTTTCTTGGTGATCTCAACGGTGGCAATTGTCCGCTGACAATTGGAATGCTGGTTGGTTGTCCATTGCTTGGGAATGGTGTGTATGAATTGAACAGTGGCTGATCAATGTAGGAGAAGTTCTGAATTGAAGGTACTCTATGAGAGTAGTCATCTGTTTGTTTGTTGGAGAGGGTGTATGAGTATGAAGATCAATGATTCAATGTATCATTCAAGACTTACCAATCAAGAACTGTTTACCATGTTGATACTCATTAAGAGTGGACTTCATAGTATTGATGAGGTTATCATCCTTGGAGTGCAATATGATTCCTTTGAGCTTGTGGATGATCGAGGTGTACTCGGCCAACTGTCTATCTTTGTGTTGTTGGTCATACTCATGCTGTTGAAGTGATCGCTCCTGGAGTTGATGATGCTGTTGTTGTTGTTGTTGCGCTTGCTGAGTATGTTGTTTGTCCTTGCCTTGTTGGTCAAACTGCCTTAAGTAATCTGATGAAACAATCTGTCAGTTTTGTTGACAATCATTTTCATTGGGAAGATGACTCGTTGTCAACATTTAAAACATACCAGTAGTATATACCAATTTTTTCTTCTTCTCAAAGTCCGAATCGAAGCTGTTGAGGATCGATGGACCGTCTGTGTTTAATACATCAGTCATGATTGAAAGGAATACACTGTCTAAAGGGTCATTTGGGAAGTTATTATCTTCAAAGAACAATGTTTGATTATACATGAATGATGTGAAAGAGATAGGAATGTATATGAATGCGTATGTACAAGTAGTGATACAATAATACTATGTTAAATATTTGATGGAAGATGTATAAAGTGTAATTAATGAATTGACAATGGATAACATTGTGTTTATGTGTTTACGTTGTATGTGTGTTTATGATGATGATGACTTTAAACATGGTAACAAAACTACCACTTCTTTGTGGTGGTCCATCAAATACAGAACAATTGATTGATTGATTAATTGATTGATTGAATGATTGATAGAACACACAAATGTCATTTATTGATTGAAGTGTTTGAATGAGTAGGGGTGGGGAAGCTTAAGGTGGTGGGGGAAATAAAGCCTGTGTGGTTGGAAGGTCCTTTGCAGGGGTGAAGTGTTTGGTGACAGAGTGGTGTGTTGTCGGATGTGTTTGGAAGTGTAGATGGTTGGTTGGGTGGAATGAAGTTTGTTTGGATTGGCTGTATTGAACTTAAGAGTGTAGGGGATAGTTTGAGATAATAAATTGTAATACTTACAATAAATAAATGTCTTAATTAATGTTGATTATCAATCTTACCTAGAGAGTATGAGTAATAATAAAATGAATATTAAATAGATTGGATGTGTTTTTGTTTGTTTGTTTGTAGTAGGGATTGAATGAAGGATTGTAATGTTCAGTTGTTACACCAAATGATAGTAATAATTAGCTACACACAACAATGATAACTTCAACTACTACTATTGTGTAATAATTAATTGAAGTAAATATATATATATATATATGTTTGTATATATATGAATGAAAGTATGAATGGTTGGTTATAGATGTAGTTGTAGTTGTTAACAAGTGATGTGTGTTCAAAAGGATTGAATGAACCTTTGGAAGAGGTGAGACTATATTATTATAAATATATATATATACAATGTTAATAAGCTAGAGTATATGACTTTAGATAGTATTATATCTAAAGAACTTTAGACATCACACACTCCCTCTGACTCACCCCCAACCAACCAATAACAACAACAAAAGGACAGTCTAACCTGACCCTTATTATTATTATTACCCTTGCCTTACTCCCCTTAATGTGTATGTATGGGAGTGTCCAATGTATTGACAAGGGTTGAAGGTGGACCTTGAGAATTGGGTGTTGAATGTTCGACACTTATTTAGGTCGAACAGATCAAACCAATTAATATGGACCACCTGACCAACAACCATACACACTTGTTCATTATTCACTGACGTCTGGAAAAGGAAACACAAGCGGTCCGTGTGTGGGGGGTCGTGTTGTGTGTATGTGTATGGGTGGGCCGTCACCAGCAGACAGTCCATACCAAATGTGGTAAAAATCCTTATTTGGATGAAATGATGTGTTGTTGTAGGGCGTAAGACAGGACATTGTGTAGCGAACAGATTGGATGGAACGCGTTGGTGTTCCAAACATTGTGTTTGTATGAATCAAACTTGGACTTGAAGTCTACTCCTTAATCATTATTATTTGTTTGTATGTATCTGTGCAAGTATGTGTATATATAATAATATATTTGAGTATTCATTGACAGTTTGTTGTTGTTGTACTTAAGTATGGTGGATGATGATTGAGAACTCGGTTGGTGTCTGTTACACTCGTCCGATTGATTGATTGATATTGAACGGATTGATTTGGTTGATTGAAGTTGATTTGATTGATGGACGGAACCTGGGGAGGGAACTTAAAGTGGTAGTTTAAATGATACATCGAGCTCGGCCTTCTCTGCAAGGGTGACAATGTCAGCGATTCTGACGGACTTCTCGGCGGCATCGTCGAGGTTGTCAGCGGCAATCAGTCGCAGACCACTCTCCTCCATGATCTTCTTGGCGGTCTCGACGTTGGTGCCCTGCAGACGCACGACCAGCGGCGTCTTGATTGACAGCTCCTTGACGGCCTGGATGATGCCCATGGCAATAATGTCGCACTTCATAATGCCTCCGAATATATTGACCAAAATCGACTTGACGTTGGGGTCGCTGCTGATCAGCTTGATGGCCTCTGTCACCTGCTTCTGAGTGGCGCCACCACCGACGTCCAAGAAGTTGGCGGGGCTACCGCCATAGTGCTTGATGATGTCCATCGTGGCCATTGCCAGACCGGCACCGTTCACCAGACAGCCAATGTTTCCGTCCAGTCCAATGTAGTTGAGATCGTAAGTCGACGCCTTGACCTCACGTGGATCCTCCTGTGAGCGATCCCTCAGCTCAAACACCTCCTTCTGACGGAATGAAGCATTGTCATCAAAGTTAAGCTTTGCATCCATACATAATACTGGTTTGATTGATTGAGTAATGTAAGTCCACTAACATCCTGCTACTTCATGTTACCTGCTGCTGCTCCTGTTGCTGCTTATTCAATGAACAACATACCATCTCCAGATGAAGTCTCGGCCATTGGGTTGATCTCAACCATGGTGCAATCGTGCTTGATAAAGAAGTTGTAGAGACGGGTCATCTGGTCCTGTGCCTTGGCGATGTTCTTGGGTGACACGCCAATCTTTTGTGCAAGACGAAGAGTCTGCTCTGGCTGCACACCCTTGAAGATGTCGATGGGCTCGACAAAGATGGCGCCTGGGGTCTCGCGAGCCACAGTCTCAATGTCGACACCACCCTCGGGCGAGGCAATCATGAGGGGACCGCCAGTCTTGCGGTCCATCAAGATGGCAAAGTACATCTCGCGTCTCAAATAGTGTCGCTCGGCGATGTAAATCTTGTTGACGACCTTCCCACTTGGGCCAGTCTGCTTGGTGATCAAAGTGTGTCCGATCATCTTTGATGCATACTTCTTCACCTCCTCTGGTGTGCTACAGATGTGCACTCCTCCCTTAAGTCCACTCGAGAATATACCCTTTCCTCTACCACCTGCGAGAATCTGAGCCTTAACAACGTAGTCCTGTGTATCTGTTTGAGTTGAAGTTGTGATGTGAAGTGAAGTGAAGTGAAGGGTGTTGTTGTATGAGTCGATGTTCGTGCTTGGTTATGTGTTGATGTGCACATCAACATACTTAACAACTCTGACAACTTCTCTGCCTCGTCTGGGGTGTCGGCAACGTTGCCCTTTGGACAATCGATACCGTAAGCCTTCATCAACTTCTGAGCCTGGTACTCATGAATGTTGAGGAAACGCTTGGTGTAAACCATCGACGACGTTGACTTTTGTTGACTGCATTTAGTCAATGATCTCTTCAATGCACCAGCAAACATTATTATTTGTGATTGTTGATATATAATGTATATAAATACAAACTAAAGAGAATATATATAATGTAATATGTGTGTAATAATAATTATAAAGTATGTATGTATGCTAAAGTGTTTGTTATGAACAACAAAGTCGACTCCCTCACTCCTGACTGAAAGACCGCGACTCAGAAGTCGGTCTGACAGCAGGTCACACACATAAACGCACTTTGACCTTTTGAGATGTATTTTTTTGATGATCAAAAATTATTATTATTCTTTTTTTTATTATTGGACCCTGGTCCCAAATACTTGATCAAACAATGAACATTTGCACCATCTTGGTAAAAGTCATTCCCTTTTCCTACTCATCAGTATGGCGACTTGTATTTATGGATTTAAAAGGAGAAGTCATAGTGATAACATAACATATATATATATTCATTCAAACCTTTGAGGGTAAAAGGGTGATGCGGATTATGACAATGACGATAAAGATAACGAATGAATGTATGATGAATGAATGTATGAATGAATAGTGAATGGAATGATGATGATGATGATGTAAGAAGTGTGAATGGTTTGGACGATTAAGTCAGACATAAGTAATTAAGAATCAATAGAGGTGAGAGCCTCGATCACACCACAACACATATATTTATATATTTGGAGCTCGAGGCTCACCTCAATCTCTCACCCCAGGTCCCAAAAGAATACCCATAACATGGACATGAGATTAGTTAAGTGAGTGACCATTAGTTTCTCATCACACACACAGACTGTGTTGACAATCAATCAATCACATACACATACACACACAAACACAATCATAATCAAACAAACACACACAACAATCAACATTTATAAATGGCCTCACCCTCTGTGTTAGTGTGTTTGTATGATTGTGAGAATGTGAGCTGGAATCACCGCCTGATGGTGGATGGATGGTTGGATGATGGAAGAATAATAATAATATTTATTTAGGTACACACACATATTCATTTCATTCAAATACATACATAACAATCATATATAACAATTATAACTGCAACAACAGCAGTATCAACCAACAACAGGCCACGCCAACATCAACATCAACAATAATTATTCGTGGAGTACTCTAACTTTATCTCACTCTCTCACTATCCCCTCTTACACAAACACATATTAATAGACGATATAATATTCCCTCGTCAACGCACAATCAACTTCCACTCCACTTCCATCACACACAACTGTGAAGCCGTCTCGCCAGAGCGCCATCCTATCCCATCCATCTATATCACCCATTAGTCAATCGATCAATCACTCACTTTCAATCCACCATCAATATTACCAATCAATCAATCAATCAAATAAGGTCATTAGCCAAAAGGAGCAGGAGTAGGAAGAGGTAGATAGCTTCAACAAGTCACCCTTACTCCTCACCCACCCACCAAGTACAGGATACTTGCGATTAACTCCCTCTCTCGGAGCAGCCCGTGCGTTGCGTCGCGTTCTATCTCCCAAGTAGTCATTCGCGCGCGCCCACTTCAACAATCTTTGTTGATTAGATTGATTGATTGTTAGAGTACATTAGATCAAAGGCTATAACATCAACTTGGAAGAACTACCAATTACCATTTGCTACCACAAAATAACGACCAAGACTACACACGACTAAGACTACGACTACACATTTTACTACTTATTCCTTCCAAATATGAGGTACTACATTAATCAATTAATCAATCAAACTGGAAATAATTACCCAAAGTACTAATAATATTATTTAATTAATTCCAAAGTGAAATTTCATTAATAGGTATAACAGCGGTACTGTTCCAGAGAGATCAATCACATCGATGGAAATGTCTTGATGAATCCTTATGCAGACTAGAGATTCTCCAGAATCAAAGAGATGTTAGATATAGACTGGTGGCCGTTTCAAATGACAATAGAGTATGTCTAATCAATCTTTCAATTAATTGATCAATCAGAAATCCAAGTCTAACATCATCATCACTACTCTATAGTGTATTTATAATAGATGGGTACGAACCAATAATACCATTTCCAAGTGTAGTGATATGTTCCTGGAGATAAAACAATCTACAACGACTACTAGTACAAGTGCCGATTCATACACTGCAGCCAAACTGTCTTCAACAACACAACAGGATAGCAATCTTGGACTGAACTTTGCTTTCAAAGAAGAGGTACAAAAGTTCTTCGATTGTTATAATCAATGTATTCGCAACCTTGCCAAGACTTCAATCAACATTGCCTCCATTCCAAGCGTCATGGTGGCACCACCTGCCATCGAATCAAAGCCCCAACAACATGTCAACAACAACCACCTCAACAAGCTTGCATCCATATCTGTATCATCATCTAAATCAAAAGAATCCTCAGCGACTACCTCTGCATCCTCATCGACAGGTGGATCAGTTGGTGCCAACGGGATCAACATCCTGGCACTGCCCCTGCCACCACCTCCAACAGCACCACGCAACAACAAAGCCAGCAACAGCACGCTCACGATCACTAGGGTGCCACAGCCACCAGCTATCGGCAAGGGTGGCTCGATGTACTTCACATACAGCCCAGGCGGACAGAAGCGAACAGCCTCGCTACAGGACCTATTCAGTGGCGATCAGAATGCTTCAATGATGACCAAGACCACGACGACAACCATCACTCCACCTTCTCCACCCGACCGCACTGTGGTCAAGACAGCGTCTGGAAGACGCTCTATTCGATCGAGGGGCAAGACAGATCTACGTCGAACACTGACGCGAAAGGAGTTCCAAATCATCTCCAAGCAGAATGTTGAGGGACTGCAGAACATTGGCGAGGCGCTCGAAGAGGAGACACTCAATCTGATTGATTTGGTCAACGAGCAAGTGATCAACTCGACCTCGGACACACTGATCAATCAATCAATTCGCAAGATATTCGACCATCTCCAAGTGCTGTTCATCCTGACCGCTGAGTCAGCATCATCACATCATGCCGCAATGCTCATTGCAAGAGTAATCGAGATCATCGACAAGGGTCCGCCTACGATGGATGTGATCGCATCACAAGTTGGCTGGAACTGGTACAACCTGGAGGAGATCAGTTCATTGGGGTCTGGATTCACCAACCTCTTATACCTGAAGAAGAATCTTGTTCCAACCATTGCCTACCTCTCAACATCGGTGCGAGTTCTCGGTCTCCAGGCCAGTCTAGAGGCCGAGTGGATGTCGCGCAATAGATCACAGGACCCAGTTGGACTGGTTGTCCAGTTGGCATGTCTCTCCAAGGAGCTGCTCACTGCCATATGTCGTCTACAAATGGCAACTCACAGCTTTAGCTATGTATGCAACTGTCTGGTCAACAGCGATGACCGTGTTCACACGGAGCCAGAGATGGACCTGCTTGGGGTGCCCGTACCTAGGAACCGCAGCTCAAGCGCGCCCGACCTCATTAACCTCTGGGACGAGATGAAGCAGCTCAACGAATTCCCATCATTCCCCAAGGATGGATCAATCCTCAAAGCATCACTCAATCAACTTGTAATACTATTGACCAGCGACACACACTACGACACTCGGTACCTCAAGACATTCATCACCACCTACCAGTCATTCACACAGCCAAAGGTGTTGTTCAACAAGTTGTTGGAGAGATATACCATACCATCGTGGTATCACTGCAGCGAGCCAAGAAAGGTGATGATCCGACAGCGAGTCATACTCACCATCAAGTATTGGATAGTCAACCAACCATCAGACTTTGATCAAGAACTACTCGCTCAGATCTCCTACTTTGTCGAACATACAATCATGAATGATGGCTACTACGAGCTGTCCAGGGCGCTGAAGGAAGCACTCGACAAGATGGTAAGATATCTCCACATAGTATTCATTCATTATTACAACATAACACTAACTCGACATGACCCCGATTTGTAGAAGGAGGACAGGGAAGTCAAGACAGCGATACTGTTCCAGATGCCACCAAGGATCAACTTCACTACCGACTGTATATTATCACCGATCGAGTTGTTTTTGGACTGGAATCCAATGGTGATCGCTCAGCAATTGACATTGATTGACTTTGCAATGTTCAAGGAGATTGAGGCGCGCGAGCTACTCAATCAGAACTTCAACAATCCCAAGACCAAGTATCGCTCACCCAATGTGATGCGTATGATCAACCGTGCCACACAGCTCTCCTTCTACGTGGCCAAGTTGATCCTACTTGAGGGCAAGAAGGAGAAGCGACTAAAGGTGTTCCAGAAGATCCTCGACGTGGCCAAATACCTGCTCAAGTGCAACAACTTCAACACTCTGATGAGCATACATGCCGGACTCAATCTCACTCCCATCCACCGTTTGAAGAAGACCAAGAAGAAGTTATCAAGTTCAGCCAATGCTGTAAGTCATAAGTTGGGGAACAATTACCGACCGATCAATCACTAACATCATCATCATTTCCGAATAATTCCAAAATACAGATATTGGCCGAATGTGATAAGATATTCTCTTCAAAGAAATCATTCAAATATTATAGAGATATTATGGCTGGAATGGTACAACCATGTATTCCATATCTGTAAGTACAAAAAGAATAATAATATTTATGATCATAATTATTTACTAACTCAATCAATCAATAGTGGAATACATTTGACTGATCTCACATTCATTGAGCAGGGCAATCAGGATTATTTGCAGCCTGAACAAGGCGCTACGGCATTGTCACCATTGATCAACTTTAAGAAACGTGAGTTGGTATATCAGGCTTGGAGTGATTTATCACGTTTCCAGCAGTTGCCATATCCATTCACATCAGAGGAGCCTATCAACACATTTTTACTGCACTTCCCTGTATTGGAAGAGAAGGAACTATACGAGCTATCATCATTATTAGAGCCAAACAAATAAATAATGGTGATACATACCATCACACTTGCTGTCATATATTTCCAAATTAATTAAACGATCGATAAAAGGTCAGAAATGGAGTTGAGTAGTTTGGATGGAAGATGTCGACAATGTGATTGATGGGCTTGGGGATGATAGTTTACATATGAATTTTGTTGCAATGGATAGAACGATTGAATTGAAGTTACTGATACTGGAGTGACACACTTGTAAATTCCAAACAGTGTGTGATTGATCATTGTATTCAAACTTGAGGGGTGAAAGTGCTGGTGATGGTCAATTTTATTCCAGTTCGACTGGAAACCACATTTATTCCCACACATACTACCAACTCATCACAAATTCATCACTACTATTCCGGTGATCACCGACTCACTGTACCCAATACTCTACCCGTAATACACACTTGTCATATGCATTCTGATGAGAAAAGTCATATCCTCATTATGAGGATTCTTTGATTTATCATATTGAATTTGAATGATTGATTGATCAATGATTATATATCAAAGATGGGTAGGCACCCAATTTGTGACTTGTTTATGGGGACTGGTATCATTGATATCAATTACTATTCTTTTGGTACCAATTTGATTTGGAATATATTAATATTGGTAGTTGTAGAATGACTACTATCCTTCTGGTCTTTTTTGGAAATCAATCATATGCACATGTCAATCAGATATGTTTGAACAGACGTAAATGATCAAGTATAAATTGATCGATAAATTGATCTTTCCAAATCATCAAATCAATCAATCAATCAATTAATTAATACTAAACTTTCAAGTAATACTACTTCCACTACTACTACAATTCCAAAATGACTCTCATGAGTAAGTAATATTAATATTTATTATTATGAAATGGATAGCTCTCTAACAAAATATATTACAGAGGCCCTCTCCAACCTCCACATCTCCAACGCCTCCGCCAAGACTATGAGCTCAACTAGTTCCACTTCTGGAATAATGTCCACTCAAACATCGTCCAACACTGCAAATTTGCTGTTCTTGCACTCTGTTAATGATTTGCAGGGCATTATCGAGGGTAGAATCGAGGCTACTGTTAACCTCTAAATCACAAAGAAATGAATTTCAAAACAACATTATAAATATATATATTAAATAAATAAATATATATTTATCACTTTTTAAACTTATTTATAACCTTGTCCCATAACTCATGTTTTTCCCACAATCCACTTTCATACTTCAAAGTCTAGACTTTGATCTTTCAAGGTTCAAAGTTCATTGATTCCCACCACACGACACTACATTTATAGATATAACATATAATAATAAGATATAGATATGTCTGAACCAGCAATCACACCAGTCGATGCATCGACTACCTCGACTACTACAACTGCTGCTCCTGCTGCTGCACCAGTAAAGAAGGAGAAGCCAGAGAAGGCTGAGAAGGCAAAGAAGTTCACATTAAAGACTCCAAAGGGTACACAAGACTACAACCCAGAGCAGATGGCCATTCGTGAGGAACTGTTTGACAACATCAAGACATGCTTCAAGAGACACGGTGCTGTCACAATCGAGACTCCAGTGTTTGAGCTCAAGGTACGTGGTCATCATCAAATCACGTCACATCACATCATAACTCACTCATTCACTTCGCTCAATCACAGGAAACATTGACAGGTAAATATGGAGAGGACTCAAAGCTGATATATGATCTGCAGGATCAGGGTGGTGAGATATGCTCATTGCGTTATGATCTTACTGTTCCATTCGCAAGATACGTGGCAATGACACGTACTCGTGCAATCAAGAGATACCACATTGCTCGTGTCTATCGTCGCGACAACCCAGTCATGACCAAGGGTCGCTTCCGTGAGTTCTATCAATGCGACTTTGACATTGCTGGCGAGTACGACCTGATGGTGCCAGACGCAGAATGCGTCAAGCTGATCTGCGAGATCCTCGACGCAGTCAAGATCACCTCCTACCAGATCAAGCTCAACCACCGTCGTCTTCTCGACGCCATCTTTGCCATCTGTGGCGTGCCCGAGGACAACTTCCGTCCAATCTGCAGCGCCGTCGACAAGCTTGACAAGTCGCCATGGAGTGAGGTGCGCAAGGAGATGGTCGAGGTCAAGCACCTCGACCCAACCGTCGCTGACAAGATCCAGACATTCGTCGCTCTCAAGGGTAAGCCCTTTGAGTTACTCGAGAAGATCAGATCGTCGGGTCTCTGCGACTCTAGCAAGGACGCTATCGCCGTGCTCGCCGATCTCGAGGTGCTGTTCAAGTATCTCAGAGCGATGGGCGTGGATGACAAGGTGCTCTTTGACCTGAGCTTGGCACGTGGACTCGACTACTACACTGGAATCATCTATGAAGCCGTCGTCCAGAACGAATCAGAGGTCGGCTCAATCGCCGCCGGTGGTCGCTACGACAACCTCGTCGGTATGTACGGCAGTCTCCAGGTGCCATCTGTTGGCTTCAGCATTGGAATCGAGCGTATCTTCTCCATTTTGGAAGCTCGCGCCAAGAAGGAGGGCAAGGCAATCAAGCAGAACCACACCAAGGTCTACGTCATGCAGATGGACCAGAAGGACCTGCTGGAGGAGCGTCTAAAGATATGCACATCTCTCTGGGACGCCGGCATCAACACCGAGTTCATGTACAAGATCAAGCCCAATGGCTCCAAGCAGATGGAGACCGCACTCAAGCTCCAAGTGCCAATCATCGTCCTGTTTGGTCAGGACGAGCTCGAGAAGAATGAGCTTACCCTCAAGAACACTGTCGAGAACAAGCAAGAGAGAATCCCAAGAGACCAACTGGTCGCCAAGGTACAAGCTCTAATGAAGGAGTTGAATCTCTAAATATGTGTGGCGTCATTCACTTATGGATGTTCACAATCAATCAATCAATCTCCACTCATTCCCAACCAATCAATGTTACTGTCTCACTCTCTGTGTCTTTATTGATTCTGTAATATATGAACAATGTGATGAGAATGATTGATCAATCGTCTGATTCACTCGAGTTTGATTCGGCGTCAAGGGGAGGTAGGTGCTTGCTGGTCTCATCCTTCATCGTCAGGATCTCCAACCATTGTGCCTGGTTCTGATTGAACTCCTGTTGGCAGGCCGCTATGATTTCCGTCGCCTCGGTGGCAGTGGGTCGCTCCGTCAGGTCCTTGTCCCAGCATTTGGCAATCAGGGTCCTGATGCTCAGCGGGCAGTTGCCCGGAATTGTCGGTCGCAGGTTATGGTTGGACGTGTACAGCATGATCTGGAATTCGTTCATCTTCTTGTACTCGCCGTAAGGATGCAGGTATCGTCCATTGATCAGCGCAAAGATCAGCTCCCAAAAGACGACGCCAAGACTGTATATATCGGACTTCTCCTGGTACTCCTTGCCCTGGAACACCTCGGGCGCGCAGTAGGCGCTGGTACCTCTGGTCTTGTTTAGAGTCAGTTGGTTGGACTTGGTATTGAAACGACTGAGACCAAAGTCGGCGACCTTGATGCGATAGTCCTGCGTGACCAGGAAGTTGAGACTCTTGACGTCGCGATGAAGGATTTGTGGCTTGGACTGGTGAAGTGTTGCCAGACCATTGAGGAGCTGACCGCAGAACGAGAAGAATCTGTCCCAAGTCAGCTTCTCGCTGTGCAGTACCTGGTAGAGACTGCCACGCGAGCAGTACTCCATCACCAGACAGATGCGTGGTTCAAGCACCACGCCATACAGGCCAACGATCAGACTTGAGTGCAGTGATGCCAACACATGGAACTCTTTGAGGAACTCCTCACGGTTGTGCGCCTCGTCAGCACTCTTCAGAACCTTGATGGCTACCTGACGACCGCGGTACAGTCCCTTGTAGACCTTGCCTGATACACCAGAACCGATCTTATCAGTGTACTCTAGCTCGTGATGAGTGATGATCCACTTGCCATTCTTGATGTCCATGTTCTCCAGCTCCTTTAGCAGGTCCATTGCGCCTGGAGTGATGGCTGGCATCTTGCCCACCAATATCTTCTTGTTCTTTAGTGAGAACAATAACTTCTTTTGCTCCTCATCGGTGCATCCCAATCGGATCATCATCTCGTCGTCCATCCTCGCCAGTGATCCCTCCATTGCAATCTCCTCAAGTGTCAGTGCCATCCTGTATTGAGACAGTCCACACATTGATAATGTATTGATTATAACTAGTTTGATTGATTGATGTGTTAGAGGAGTGATCATGGGAACAATGTGGGTTCAACATACATTCAAGTCTCATCAACAGGTCTATAATCTCTGCACAGTTGTTCTCCTCAGCCAACATCAATGGGGTCTTCTTTTGCTTGGTGCTGATCAGGGTTGGGTCGGCTCCGGCGATGACCAGAGACTTGAGGACGTCCAGGCGACCAAGACGCACGGCGTAGTGTAGCGCAGACTCTCCAGCATTGTTGACAATGTTGATGTTGGCATTGTTCTTGATTAGAACGTGTACCATCAGCATACGCACACTGTGGTTGAAGATGGCCTTGTGTAGAGGTGTCTCGCCAATGTTGTTCTGCTCGTTAACGTTGGCACCACGCTCAATGAACATCTGGACGATCTTCTGACACTCGGGCGACCTGAACTTCTGGCAAAAGTAATGCAAAGGAGTATTACCATCCACATTCTTCAAGCTCACCTTGATAGCATTATGCTTAAGTATCTGTATCATCATATTATCCGATATATCACTAGATACAGCCACATGCAATGGTGTGTATCCCTCCCTAATTGATTGAGTGATTGATTGAGTGTGAGTTAGACCTGGAAATTGATTGATTGATTGGGAGTGTGATCCAGAACTTACTTATCAACGTGATTGACCTCGTCCGATCTGTTCTGATTGTAGTACTCGAGTAGGATGTTCAACATCTCAAAGTCGTTCATCTTGATCACTGTGACCAAAGGTGGATCCTCAAAGGTCATGGGTATCTTCAGAGTGTTGAACACTGAGGTGCTATCTGTACTCTTTGTTCGCTTGCTACTCTTTGGCAGACCAGTTGTCGGTGACACTGACACACGTGACTTGCGTTGACTCAGTGCCTGGCGCAGACCATTCAAATTCCTCTGATGTATACTCTCAGACAACAATCGCTTCTCTTGATACAACATCAATGACTCGATCACTTCATACGCCTCATCCCTATGTATAAATAGACAGAATTGGAACTGTTCCATTGTTTGATTGATTGGTTGGTTAGTATCTCGTGACAGTATTAAGGTATTACTTCTACATACATCGCGATCCTGTGTCTTCACCAGGATACCATTGGGTGCCAATCCAGACTTCTTCTCGATGCTAGTAATGCCAGAGATTGGGATGATCTTCTGGCGTTGCTTATGCTTGTCAAACACCAGGTTGTCGTAGAAGCACAAGTAGTGCTCAGTAATGTACAGTCGACCATGCTTCAGAACTGATCCCTGATATCCACAGCTGTAGTCTATATGTTTGGGTCATGTTAGTATTGAGTTGGCGAGACAACATGTTGGTATGAATGGTTTACATACGTGTGAGTAATGTCTCGTCGTTACCGATATGACTCTTGAAAGAATGTTGGAAGTCCTTGAGGGAGGAGTCCATGCTGCTGCGTCTTTGCTTCTTTCGGTGTCCATTTGGCACAACTGCCTCTGGGGTTGGCGAGGATGGACAGGTGTTGGATGTCGAGACACCTGCAGTTGAGTTCATAAACAGTGGCATCAGATTCTGCGTGCTACCATTGTTGCTGTTGCCGATACTGCTGCTACTGCTATTGTTGCTGCTGTTATTATTTATGTTGTTACAATTGATCGATCCATCACTCTGGCTCTTGCCTCGTGGAGTCAGTCCACCCTCTCTGGGCGCTGTTGGTGTTGGTACCTGTTGTTGCTGTGATGGAATGTCGATACTGGTGTTACTGCAACTGCTGCTCGTACTGCTGTTGTCGTTAATGTTGTTGCTAGAGTTGTCCTGGGATTGATCCTTCTCGATGGCCAGGTCGCTCTTTGACTCGCTCTTCTTCATTGGGTGGCCGGGAGTGCAGGCCAACGCCTTTGGTGCACAAGCCTTGTGGAAGGAACCTCCACAATCATTGCAGACCATGCCCTGTTTGCCAATAACGCCCCAAATGAACTGCTCGCAGCCACGACATCTCGTTGGCTGTGTGAAGTACTTTGCTCTGAAAGAGTGAGACTTGAGTATTGGCGATAGACATGCCTCCGGGGTGTCCATCGGTATGTCCATACTCTGTGCGCTGGTGTTGGATGGAGTGGTCGTTGCCGCTGCTACTACACCCTGGCTGCTACTCCTATGTAAACTATTGATCAGCACTGATTCGTTGTTGATCGATGATCCGTTGGAAGAGATTGATGATGACAATGGAGTAGAGTTGGCGTTGGCGTTCGAGTTGTAGTACATTCCTGAGGGTGCTGGGGCAACGCCTGATTGCGGAGCTGCTGCGGGAGGTATGGGCGGCAGTGGCGGGAGACTCGACGACACCAACTGTGGCACTGGCGGCAGTGGGGGGTACACCAGTTTGCTCTCGAGTTTGAACTCGCAGTTTGAATTTGACTTTGTACGTCTGGGCTTTTTCAAGTCGTTTGATTGTTGTTGCTGATGGTGATGATGCGAGATGGATTGGGGCGAAGGTGGATGCGGAGGGCGCATCGGGCTACTCCTGTTGGCATGCGATTGTTGAGGGGTTGTTGGCAGTGGAGGCATAGCTGCTGTTACCAGAGGAGGAGTTGATGCAGGTGCTTGAATAGGTGTATGTGGCGCACTATGTATATTATTATTATTGAATGGTCTACTTGGTGAAGTGCCATTGCCATTCATATCGACCTCAGCAACAATATTGGAAGGTTTTGTTGTTGTAGCTGTTGTTGTGGCTGTTGTTGTTGCTGTGGCTGTTGCTGGTGTATCGTCTTCACCAGGTATGTTTGGTACGACTTGACTCGACAAGTCATCGCGACTACTTATGTTTGTCGTATTTGTGTTGGTATTTAGGTTTGAAGGTCTGACGGGGATTGGAGGTATTTCTCTCGCCTTTTGAAACATTGGTGGCTTGGGCAGTGGCACTGGCACCACTACAGAGGCGCCATGCTTTGGTGGCATCTCTTGTGTAGGTGATGGCACCGACTGGTTATGTACATAAATGCCATCATAATGTGTCTGTGATCCATTCTCTGTCTCGGCAGTGACTGCTGCTGCTGCTGCAGGGCCTCCATTCGTATTATTATAGAGCATCGGTGATTTCAAAGACATTGATTATTCTTTTTTTTTCTGCTTTCGGTCCAAGTCCAAATCGAGTTTGAAATGAATGAATGAATGTTTCGAGCTTGTTTTTGATTGGATCAATCCTGTCACTCAATTATCCATCAATCAACTCTGTTTGTTATCTATAACTTATTGTATTTGTTACTGTTTCTGTCTTGTCTATTTATCCAATCTATTCTGTCTCTCTCTCTCTCTTTATTTGGAATGAATTTATGAATGAATATATGAATGAAAGAATGATGTTGATAATAGATGTTGATTGATGGATTGGATTGATAGAGAAGGAAGGTAGAGAGAGTGAGAGTGTTTGATTGATTGATTGATTGAGCGAGTGATTGAGTAAGTACCAAAGGAGTGGTAGGTTTGAGATGGGAGAGTGCTTAAGTGTACTCTCGATGAGTGATAAAGATGGTGGTGATGGTGGTTGTTATGGCATCCATCTCTTTCCTTTCCCTCTATCTCTAACACACACACACACTTAAACACATAAACAACAACAACAACAGAACAGACCGATCAGAATCAAACAACACACACCCCTTCAAGTGTGTCAATGTTTTGATAAGGTAGGCATATAGACAAGGTAGAGTGAGTATGTGGGGGGTGGTCACCTTCTCAACCACTTGAGAACATACACACACACACATAGACCCTAAGATAGATTGGTTGACACACACACTTAAGCAAATAAATTAACACACATAATACATGTTGATTGATTGTTATAATAGGTAGTTGGACTAATTTGGTTTATAATTGGATTGTCCAAGAAAGAAGAACTAACTGTGTTTATCATGATATCAATTCATTGTTGTTGTTATGGATGAATGAAGACATAGTGTTTGTTGTTCCAGACAGACGAGTGATGGGGTCAAATGAATGACTATCATCTACTTGAGGAGTTCTCATATTATCTCGCAATGAAGGAAGTTCCAATTTCCAGGAATTTCAAATTTTAGTTCTCATGTTGTTGAGCATTCCCGCCAAAAAAACATTCATGTTATTAACCTTCATAGTTCAACCAACAAATCATATAACTTCAACAATCTATACAAACACTTATTATTATTACTTATAACATAAATATATATATATACACATACTTTAGAAAGAATGAATGATATACCAAAGCCAAGATCGTTGGATGAATACATCAACAAGTTCAGAGATAGCAGAGACACAAAGACAGTGCACACCTGTGATATAGTTCTTCAGATTGGTCCAAATAGCCCATTAGTCAAGAGTTCCAGAGTAACGTATGTATCTCTCATTCAATCAATCAATCAATTAATCATTCATGAACTAACTAATTAACAAACAACAACATGCAACAAACATATCAGTATGACTGTGTGTGACACTGAATACTTTGTACCAGCAATGATTGAGAATGAAAAGGCTCAACTCTCTGATTATCCATTGTTTGCTGTGGTCAGATTGAAGAGATTCTCTTTTACTGCCAAGGGATACTTGGTGGTCAAAGAGATGAACGTGATCAAAAGTGCGCAGACCATGTTCCCCGGTCCAAAGGGTAACCCGCCACAATTGCATCCAGTCGTCCATTCCATTAGCACGGGAGCCCCCCCTCCCGCCAACGGTGGAGTTGCTAGTCTAACACCCAACAAAGCAGCATTGGCCAGCAACAAGAACATTGTCAATCAGCAAGCAAACCAACAACAGCAACAATACAAGCAACAACAACAACAACAGCAACAACAACAAAACAATGGCGATGACATGTCGTACAACAACATCACCCCCATTGAGAGTCTTGCCCCACATTCACAAAACTGCACCATCAAGGCTGTCGTCAGGAAGAAGAGTGATATCAAGACTTACAGCAAAGTCGGTAGTGCCGGCAAGATCTTGAATCTTGAATTGATCGATGATAGTGTCAATGTATGTATAAATCAATCAATCAAACTCCCGGAAATACTAATCAAACAATAACACCTAAACAGTACAACGAGATCAAGGCAACAATCTTTGGAAAGATTGACAATGAAATTTGTGAGAGATTCAATGATATGATGCAGATTGGCGGCACGTATTTGATCAGCAACTTCTCGTGCAAGCCCAAAGTGGCCCTGTACAACTCGCTCACCCATCCATGCGAGCTGAGCTTCTCCACCAACACCAAGGTGGAGCCATGCAACCAGGCGATGGTTGCCCACACCAAGTACTCATTCATGTCCATTGAAGAACTGCAGACCTTTGACATAAAGGACAATAAGGAGGCGCCCACTGTCGACCTGATTGGCTATATCGAGGATGTGCAGCCCTTGGCCGACCTCACCACCAAGGACAACAGACCTCTGAGGAAGTTCACCTTCTCCATTAGCGACTCGTCAAACAAGGGCATCCAAGTGACAGCCTTTGGTGCCCAGGCTGAGAAGTTGAGCGCGGATGTCCAGAACGGCAATGTGATCGCCATCAAGGCGGCCAAGCTGTCGTCGTTCAACAACCTCTCGATCAACTTCAACTTTAGCTCGAGCTACGAGGTCAATCCCGCCCACCTCCCAGAGTGCTCCAACCTCGTGGCCTGGGTGAACGCCCGCGGTGCGGGTCAAAAGACCGATTCGCTCTCGGTGTCGACGTACAGCGGCGCCACCACCGAGTCGATCAGCTGCACAATCAACGATCTCACACAAAACACCCAAGAGACGATCCACTACGAGACCGACAAAATCAACTACAAGGTCGTTGGTTACTTCTCTCGCCCGAGCCAAATTACTATGACCGCCATGCACCTCATCAAGGATACCCAAACACCGTCCTGGTTCTATTGGGGTTGCAGGAAGTGCCAGAAGAAGGTAGATGACTCTTTGGACGTCTGCACCCATTGCAGCGAACCAAAGGTCAGGAAATACAGAGTGCAGATGCGTTTGACCGACGAAACGACCGCCACCTACGTCGACCTTCTCGGAAACGTCGCCAAGAACCTGTTCCAGATCGACGCCGACGATCTCTACAAGATGGAGGAGAATGACAGGCTCAAACACCTGTTCAACGTGCTCTCTGTGCCCTATGTGGTCACACTCAAGGTTATTCCGCCTGGCCAACAGACACAGACCGGTGGCCAAACGTCGACCTATGTCAAGTACAGCGTCGCCCGCGTTGAGAAGGTTGACTTTATGAAGATGTTCCAGCCTACCTACCTCGAGAACCACTTCATCATGGCCACGCAACAACCAGCAGCAGCAGAGTAATACAGTTGGAGGTGGAGTACTCAATAAATTAAGTATTTTGTTTCATTAATTGAATATATATATATATTGATTGATTGATTGGATTGATGGAATGGATTGATTGATGTCTTTGCTCGCTCGCTTTTGATTGATTGATTGGATTGATCGATGAAGTGAAGTGAAGTGAAGTTGAATGAATGTGACATTAATGCGAAGACGATCTGATGGCCTCCAATATCTCCTCTTTGAACTTGGCCATCTCTCTCCTGAACTCTGACAGAATCTCCTCCTTGAGCGCCAGCATGTCGGGATCGGTCAATGCCGATGGAGCTGGTGCTGTGTTGTTTGGTGACAAGTTGGGTCGGTTGGAGGCGGGTGGTGGCTTGGGCTTGGAGACGGCGGGTGATGGCGCTGGTGTCGCTTTTTGGATTGGAACTGGTGATGGTGTTGGTGCTGGTGCAGGTACTGCTGCTGGTGCTGGTGTTGGTGCAGATGACACCTCGTCTCTGACGACTGGTGTCTTCTTCATGGCGTTTCTCTTGGCCATCATCTCGGCCATCATGTTGCCACCACCGCCTCCGCCACCGCCCATTGCCTTGGGTGCGGCTGCTGTACCGGCGCCACCGCCTCCGCCACCAACATTAAGTGATGATCCAGATGCTGGTGTACTGGCATTAGTGTTGCCTCCAATCAATGGTCCACTCTTGTCCACAGTAACAGCTAATTGAGTTGTCATTGGATTAGTCATCAGTCACTCGTCATTTGATTGATTGATTGAATCGTCAACATACTCTTCTTCAAACCATTCTTGGAGAAACCTTCGATTGAGCTCAACAAAGCACCTCTAGGTGGGGCATTTGCAGCTAAATGTTTGATTGAATGTTAGGTGTGATGATCTTCATTGGACAACAACACTTGGCTACTTACGTGGAGGTGGACCTGGAGGAGGGGGTGGGCCGCCAGCAGGTGGCTTGGGTGCGGGTGGTGGTACAGGGGGTGCAGGGGCAGCGGCCGACTTGCCAAGATTGACTGAGGGAGGACGAGCTGGAATCTGCATCTGTGGTGGTTGTTGTGTTGGTTGTGGAGCAGCGCCTGGCTTGGCAATCTGTGGTGGAAGCTGCATTTGAGGTCTCTGCATTGGCTGTGATTGTGACAGTGGTGCCTGTGGCTGCTGTGGCGCCTGGTACTGAGGCTGCTGAGGCGCCTGGTACTGTGGCTGAGGTGGCTGCTGCTGCTGCACGGGAGGGGGTGGGTATGAGGGCGAGGAGGAACCGCTGTTCTTGAGCTGGTTGATGACGTTGTCGATGCCAGCGCCAAACTGGTCGGCCTCGTCCTTTGTCGCAAAGTTGATTCCATAGTGAGTGCGCTGATCGGACATTGTGTGGAAGTTGGCCGAGGCGAACTTGTAGATCACATCCTTTGTAATGGAGAAGTTGATCAATATCTGATTGGGGTCCTCAAAGCCACGAGCAATCACACGATAACTATTGTTGCCCTGGTGATGATAAAGCAACAATGTCGCTGGGCTTGGTGAAGATGGCACCCAATTATTTGTCTGTGCAGAGTGAGTGAACACCTGTGCTCTGCCCACCAATACATGTACTTCGCTAATAATATTATTGATCGATTGATTGATATGATATGATATGAGTTAATACCAAGTCCAAGTCTGTTTGATCGATTGGTTGTTCAATCTTTGACATACCTCATATTTGATTGATTGATTTATTGATTGAAAGGAATGAAAGGATTGATTGATGATTACTATTATAACAACAAAGGGAGTATTATGTATATAAATATAAATATATATTACAAGTAATAAGAGTATAAGAGGGAATGAATGGGATGATGAATGAATGCAATGAATGATTGACAAACAAAGTGACTTCACTCTAACACACACACTAACCAAACAAACAGTTAACTAAGGGGTTAAACAAACAAACACAAACACACACAACAATGGATGATGAATGAAGGAATGAACGAAATGTCACACAAATACAGATAAATTGACAAGGCGACACTTTAAGAACAGGATGAATGGGGCAATAGTTAGTGTCGACACTAATCAAACATCGCTACATTCACTCAAACATCTTGTATCGATGGACTTAATTATTAATTTTAAATTGATTGTCTGTCTTTCAAGATTCAAGTCAAAATTGGTGCATCGTAGATCGGGACCAGATCAGACGATCATACATGTCTGACAAATAAACACGACAGATATGACAATCTTTGAGAGAGACAGAGTAAATTTGGTTTATAACTTTGAACAAGTTATGATAATAATTATTTTTAATACAACAACGATAATATTATTATTATTTGTTCTTCTTTAGTTTCTTTTGAATGAATAAGTTGAAGTTCAAAAGTGAGCCACGGTCAACTACTTTTTTTCAGCAAAAGCAAACAATGATTTTCGAACAAGACGCAGCATGATAAGCTAACAACATAGTTAGTTACTTATGCTCAGTGACGACACTTAGATAGAGATACAAGTTGACATAATACCTCACTTGCAAATCAACCATTATCAATCAAACACACCCACACTAGTTCACCACCAGTCAAATCAATCAATCACAATTATTCACTCAATCACTCATTCATTCATTCATCCACATATTCATTCATCCATTCATTTATCTTTCTAATATTGCTTGTTGTTTGTTGTGATCTTATATTCATAACAAACAAACAAACAAACGTTGTTTGACGACCGACCAAAGAGAGAGAGAGAGAGAGAGAACGGACCCCAAGTAGACGACGAGACCCTACAAACCAATTCGATATCAATCGTACTAGAGAGTTGAAATAGTTGTTGAGTTGCACCAAGGACATCCTACATCTTCTGTTCTGAACATCTCTATCATACTCATCGTTACACTCTTTTTGAGAGTGACTGACTGAGACCTTGGAACGACGAACGAGCATTCCCTTCTGTATAGACAACTGTCCTGCGAAGTAGTAGTATACCAAAGCGTGACCYTGTGGACCTGAGACCTGTGGACCTGAGACCTGTGACTGTGACCTTGAGACCCTGTTACCTGTGACCTAGATCTGACTTGACCTCGGCTTGACCTGAAGTAGTTACCAGATATACACACAAAGAAAACATAGAGATACAAACCAAAGAGAGATAGATATGGAGTGGAACAATAACCAACAGTATGGTGTCATGGGAGGAGGTAATATGCAGGGTGGTATGATGGGTGGTCAAACTCAACAAGGAGGACAGCAACAACAGCAGTCCAAGAATCAAATGTATTATCCTGGTGGAGGAGTAGGAGGAGGTGTTGGTGGTGGTAACCAACAACAACAACAACAACAATTCGGAAGTAATGTCGGCGTCGGTGGCGGTGTTGGCGTAGGTATTGGTGGCGGAGGAGGTATGATGGGCGCACCCCAACAACAGGTCTACCAATCAAACATGAATCAACCACGTGATAACAATGGACCAGGTTCTTCAATGAAGTCTGGCGGCATGAATCAAGTAAGTACCCTCACCTGCCACTCATTCATTCACTCAAACATACTCATATGAGCGTCGCGCCTAACATACCCATCAGGGTTTTCCCAATCAGTTTGTTGGCGGTCAATCCAATCAATTCCAGCCTCAACAACAACAATCTGGAAACAATAACTTCAATCCACAACAACAACAACAACAGTTTGGAAATAGAATGGGCAACAGCAACAACAACAATATGCCAATGAACATGCAAGGTGGCAATCAGATGGTCGGTGGAGGATTGCCCATGGGTAACACGGGCAACATGGGCGGATCAGGAATGCAAGGCGGTCAAATGATGGGCCAGATGAACATGGGCGTCAATCAAATGAACCCGATGAACACCGGAATGGGACCAGGTGGCATGAGTCCAAACATGAGCCCAGGCTTGGGCAGCCCAATGAACAACAACCAGATGATGCCCAACAACATGAACATGCCAGTTGGAAACCAGATGGGTGGCATGGGCAACATGGGCGGCAACATGGGAGGCAACATGGGCAACATGAACATGCCAATGTCCAACTCGATGGGCATGGGCAACAACATGGGCAACATGAATATGCCCGTTGGAAACCAGATGGGCGGTATGGGCAACATGGGAGGCATGGGTGGCATGAACAACATGAACAACATGGGCAATATGGGTGGCAACATGGGCGGCAACATGGGTGGCAACATGGGAGGCATGGGCGGCATGAACACTGGAATGAACACAGGATCGATGCGCAGTGGAGACGACTCGAACTATCGCTCAGGAGGTAGTGGTGGCTCATCATCAAGCTCATATCGAAACGATTACCGAAGTGGAGGTTCGTCGTCCAGCAATCAACAGGGCGGCCAAGGAAACTGGAACAAGGGTGTGGCGACTGGTGGAGGCAGTGGTGGTTCATACGGCTCACGCTCATCCAACTCATCATCGTCATCAGGCTCGTCATCATACAGCTCGAACAAGACCTACGACAACAAGCCATACTACAACAAGAACAAGGATTCCAGCAGCAGTGGCAGTGGCAGTTACTACAGAGACAAGGATCGCGACAGGGACCGAGACAGCAAGTCGTACGACTCGTCCTCGTCCTCGAGCAAGAGCTATCAAAAGAAGGACTCTCATCACAAGAAGGACGACTCGTCACACTCATCTTCCTCATCTTCCAAGAAGCGCGAGTCATCGGAGCGCGACACAGGCCTGGACCGCGACAAGAAGTACGTAGTGGGAATCCCCCATCACATGTTCACCAAGACAGAGTACGACTACATGACCTTGAGCAGGCTGTACTCACGATTGAGCGTGTCGCCAGACTTTGAGAAGCTGGTGGCGTCGTGGGTGCCATCAGCAACAAAGGTCGATGTGCTCAGCCACACGACTCCACTGGTGATCGACTCGAAGCGATACAAGGTGCCAAAGATCGATGTTGGCACAACGTTCATTGCAAACAAACAGTTGCAGCTTGGCAGTGACAATGTCAAGTACAACGCCAAGGTCATGCTGATGCAGTACCAGGCTCAGTCCACTACCAACCCCACACATCTCAAGAAGCGCATCAAGTTCCTTGTGGCCAAGCAGGTGCTCAACAAGCAGAGTCCAGATATCTCTTGTGTTGGTGGCGCATGGGACCCCGTTGACGGCGCCGACATTGCCGATCCACAGACACTCATCAACACAGCGATCAGAACGACCAAGGACTACACTCAATTCGACCTGAGCAAGTGCACCAAGTGGTTCAAGTTCATGGAGATCCATTACCAGCGACAGGCCAACGACACCACTCCCGAGCACAAAGAGATCACTGTCATCTTTGTCCCAGACATTTCACATCTGGAGCCATTCAACATCAAGGAGTATCTCAGGGAGCACTCAACAGAGCCTGTTACTGATGCTGCCAACACAGACTCAATGACTGATGCCGCGGCCGCCATAGCAACAGATGCCTTGACCAACCCAGCGGACGTGGCAAATAGAGTGGCGGCCGAGGTCATGGCCGAGGACAATCGTTCTTCTTCCGGAACTGGCACAGGATCGACAAGTGATCCACCCACCGTTGTCGAGGAGCCACAGACATTCTTTAACATTGTGCCACCTGCTTCCACTGGCGACACCAAGTACCGTGTGATGCTATTGTCCTTGGATGGCGTGTTGGACTATGAGGAGTCTGACAAGTTTGAGGGAACATTTGAACTCTCACTCTTTGGTGAGCTCTTCCATCTAATGCTCTGTCGTGACATGGGTCAGCTAATCTTGCAATCAATTACCGAGTTTAAGCCAAGAGTTGTGGCGACGGCGGCAGATAATGAGTCAACGAGCGCAGCAGTTGTAGCACCAACGGCCACATCGCCAACAATTAAGACAACAACAGATGATCAACTTGGAAAGCGCAAGCGTGAGGAAGATAGCGAGACCAATGATGATACTGTCGCTGTTGAGACCAAGGCAATCAAGACAGATGTCGATACAACAGAGAATGGTGAGATCGAAGCTCAACCAAACACAACAACGACAACAACCGAGCAAGATACCACTACGACTGAGATCCCAGCATCAGTATCACCAACCACAACAACTGAGATCAAGAGTGAAGAGACTACACCAGTGTTACAACAACATCAACAACAGGGTGAGGATGCCAACACACAGTATGACGACGCCTATGAATACTTTGACATCAACCTGTCCACCTATCTAAAGAGCGAGGACGTCGAGACCATTATCCATAATCTAGGATCATTCATGTCCAAGACCACGGTACACATGCTCGTCAACAAAGTGACCACAGAGTACTCCACCAACAAGGGACGTGTATACTATCGCAGGGTAACTCTTAGACAACATCAACAATAAACTAAATAATAATCAATCACCAATCCAGGACAAAAATTTGATTTATTATTTTTGTTTGATTAATTACCATAAGGTAACCATTGTACATCAGAATCACTATGAATAATAATATCTTCGGTATCAATATCACTATTATCATAATATCCACTTCCAATTAATTAAAGAAGTTTAATTAAATTAATTTATATATTAGTATTTTGATAGTTCATATTTATTAACTTTAAACTTACAATTTATTATTCATTCCAGCAGCTTTGATCAATAAAATAGATGAAATCAATACTATTCGTAATATTAAAAATTTCTTCATAGTTATTTTAATTATTATTAATATTTTAGTTATTATTATTAATCCTATTGATTGGTTTGTTCAATAGGAAATTTAAATACATATTAGGTAAAATTTATGATGATGATGGTATATTTTTTTCCTAATACTATACCAAACTACAGGTAATAGGTAAATAATATATTTATTATTATTTATAACCATTCATTATTGTATGAGTTACAACTAAATTAATGTGTGAAGAGAGGATGAATTTATTATCTCCCACTTAGACAAGTTATATTGTAGTTTGTTAGAAATGGTTCTATATTGATTGATGATGTTGAGGGAGGTAATCAATATTCATCATCAATTAATAATCAAATTGTTGGAGTGAGTTGAAACCATTATCCATTTAAGAGCATGGTTGACGATCATTCTGTACAACAAAGTGACGACAGTGTACGAAAATGGGCGTGTATCCTATCTCAGGAAATATGTAATTATAAAGGATCGCGAGGACTGGTTTACTTATTTAGGTTTGATCGGTGGTGTTAACTTGAGAGGTTGGACTGAACTACTTGTTGCATGTGTTGACCGTTCTCGATGACAAAGTGATCGCCGTCAGCGTTACCCTCGGCAGGTGGCTCGTAGGAGTTGGTGAGTGCCAAACGCTCGGTGGGATAGGCCTCGCCTGGAACAATGACCAGCTTGTCGGGGGACGATGCGTACTTGTGGAAGATCGTGATGGTCTCGTAGCACTCCTTGAAGAATGATCGTTTGCAGAATATGTACAGGCCGAGACGTGCTCGGGACATTGCCACGACGAGACGACGCACGTCTCTGATGTGACCGAAACTCTTGGTACGCACAAGCGACAGGAGGATATAGTCGTTCTGCTGTCCTTGATACTTGTCGACCGTTGTGATCTTCTTGGGCATGCCAAACAGAGCGTTGTCCTTGCACTTCTCCTCAAAGATGTTGCGCAACAGTTGCTTCTGGCCGTTGTATGTGGTGAGCACACTGATCGACTCGCTTGGATAGCCGATCAGGCGCATGAATTGGTACACAGAGACGATGTACTCGGCCTCGCCCAGGTTCTGGTAAAAGTGGGAGAATGGCTCATTCTCGCCGGCACCATAGCCATGCGACTCGTCCACATTGATCAACTGTGTCTCGTACAGGAAGCCTGGGTTGGCGCGGGTGAATCGCTGGTCCGTCAGCGGCAGGTTGCCCAGACCGGTGTAGCGCCAGGAGAACAACTCTGCCAGGGCAGGGCGACAGCGTCCTTGGTGATCGAGTTGAATGTACTTAATTCCCAGTCTGATGAAGCGAGTGAACATTGATTGTTCCAAATGTGAGAAGCGCACCAATGACGAGCACTTGATAACTGGTGGCAGTTGGTTGTGATCACCAATCAACACGAGCCTCTTTAGTCGCGACGAGTTCTCTGATGACGACGTGGTCTGTAGTTGCAGGGGGATGAATGTCTCCACGTCGGAGATCTGACCAGCCTCCTCCATGATGACGTTGTCATACTTGAAGCCTAGACGCACCAGCTCATTCCTGCGTAGAACGGCGTGTGTGCAAGTCATGGCCACAATCCTCGACTGTTTCAATAGCAGGTAGTTGAAGCGATCGTTTGCAGACTTGAGCAACTCAAACGCGCGACACTCGCGCAGCTCCTCAAAGGTCAGCTGGATGGCTGTCCAGTATCTGGCGGCGACTAGACGGTCATTCTCCAAGGACTCGGGCTTCTGGAACAGGCTGGCTTGGAAGTAGGCGGCGAATGGGAACTTGATGCCACTCGCACCGGCCTCCAGCTGTTTGGAGAATGTCTCCCAACGAGGCTTGATCTCGTGTTCAAAGAAGTGCTGTGCAGTCTCGCAACTGCCACTGACATCTGACATGACGCCAATGGACTTGGCCAGGTGATCGACGATGGCCAGGCGATGCAGACGTAGACTGAGCATATAATCGATGCGTCCACTTCTGGTGAAGTCGGCGCGAGTCTCCAACTGGGTCTGACCATGTCCGAGTCGGAGCAGATGTCGCTCGTCAATGTCCAATTGGTAGATCTTGTCAAAAAGTTGATTGAGTGCCTGATTGGAATGAGTTATGATGAGAGTGCGCTGGTTGGGATGATTGTGATAGATGTTGGAGATGATCTGCACGGCCACATCGGTCTTGCCCGTGCCTGGTGGGCCGACAATCAATGTCAGTCCCTCAGATGATCCCGAGCGAATGGCGTCTACCTGCACCGGGGTGAACTGAACCTTGTTGCCACGTTTGCCTCCATTGTTCTCCAATGCCAAGTTTGATTGATTGTAAGACTCAATGACCAACTTCTTTTCGGGACCATAGGTTACGCGATAGGGTGGCTCCAAGCATGCTGTCTTGTCGATCTGCTCACTCTTGAACGTGTCAAGGATGTGCTGGCGACTGATGAACGTGTCCTGGAAGTCGATAGTCTTGCCAACAACTCGTGTGGCGTTGGTGTCATCGTCGCTGGGGTATCCGAGGAATGTGTTGGCCAGCCACTCGGGTAGGTTGTTCTGGTCGTTGATGAGTGAGACGATTGTCTCCTGGATGGCCTTGAAGTTGTTCTCCTTGGACTTCCTGCGCACCACAATGTTGAACTCTTTGTACTGCTCGAGTTTGTTGTCTTCCTGATCCATGTAATACTGATTGCTGTCCAGACGCACCTTGATGAAGCGTTGGTGGCCACGCGCGGGACGTTGTCTGTTGTTGGTGTTGTCCGCGTCGATCCTGCCGCCACGCTCATCCATCAGCTCGACGACCTCGCAGCCGCGCACACTCTTCACGCCGTAGTGCTCGGCGAATGGACGACTGTTGTCATGCTTGGCGTTGAGAGGTACTGTGGCGCGCACTGACACCAATAGCATCACGTCGTGCTCCTTCATAGACTCCCAGTCCTCGACGATCGCCGCCGACTTGACTCCCGCCAGACTGTAGCTGAGCATCGCCAGCACCTGTGCTGGTCGCTTCTCACCCACCTTTGGTTGAGCGATGTGTTCAATCTTGAAGCTGGTCATGGGGAAGGCCATGCGAGACCAGCCCGTGAGTATTGTGGAGCCCGATTCGTTGCGCTTGGGCGACAGTCTGCGCAGCGCATCCTCGAGATCTGCGCGCAGGTCATAAGTGGCCTCGGTCTTAAACAGGTAGTAGTTGCGGTAGAGGTAGTCCTGGTGCGACAGGTACTGCATGTTGAGCTTGGGCAGCGGCAGCGAGCGGTCGCCCTGGTAGCGATCGTTCAGCACGCCACTGTCATCGGCGGTGTTCCACAATTCCTGCTCGGTGGGGTAGTGCGGCAGCGATGCCAGCGCCTCGCGGTGGTAACGTCGCTTCTTTAGCGAGCCTATAACCACGTCTGTGATAAACTGTCTGTCCTCCGTGCAGTCCTGGCTGAGCAGATTCAACCTACTTGCCAACAACCTCAGTCGCTCCACACTCAATAACTTCAACTGATTGATCAGATTCGTCTTGTCTTCAACAGTCGACACATTCTGCAATGCCAACTCCTTGATCTCTTCAAACTCCTTGAATACTACTCGCTGATTGATTGATTGAATGATCGTGTAAGTGTGTGGGTGTGGGGGTGGAACTATCCCAATCGCGATAGATCAAACTATCAAACACATAACATACCTGAAGGTTCTGTATACGGAAGTAATGTGATTGAATGATTTGGTCTTGGGGGATCTCCTGGCCAGTGAAGTTGTTGATTGGGAAGTTGAGATAGAACTCGAGGATGTTGAGTGCCTCGTTAAAGTTGTTGGCCGTGGACAACTTGCATAGTTTGGATGATCTGATTCGAATGAGCAGATGATAATCATCGATCAATGCATAAAAGAATCGTCTTGTTGTGATCTGATTCACCATGTCCACCATCAACTCTACAAATCGCTCACAATATCTAATCGAATCCACATCGCCCTCCTCAGTCTGATCGAGCATCTTCACAAACTCCTTCATCTTTGTCAACATGAATGATGAGTATATATCTGCGGTGTTCATGTGATTGATTGGTTAGCGTCACGATCATGATCACGATCATATATGGTCCACAGACATACCATCCTTGGAAGATGAACCTTCCTTTTGTGATCGCTTCTTGAGTGCGATGATCTTCTTTTGGAGCGCTGGAGTGGTCAGGTCGTCAATTTCGGCGGCGAATCTACCAGGCGAGAGGTGTATCCACATGGGATAGGAAACGATCTTGAGTGATTCGGCACGCACCATGGGGTCCTCCAGCGATTGATAACAATGAATGAGGAATTGTATGAGGTGCGTCTGACTGCTGAGAAGACTGCCAACGGGCGAAGACAATCTGATGACACGATCAAACAGTTGTTTAAAGTGCTCGGCATCACCTGTGAACACACTGAATGGCGGCAGACCAACCTTTGCGCGCTCATTAACCATTGCCATTATGGACCAAATATGAACGTCGCCAATATTAGTGGCGGCGGTGGCGGTGGCGATGGCAGAGGCCTGTTTCTTGAAGTGTGGCCAGAGATAGTTCTCGAGGTAGTGTGACAGCTCGAGTAGCTTTAGACTGCGACGTGAGTGCTGTATATCTGTGTTGATGATCTCATTGTTGAACAGATCGGTCACCAACTCTGAGTTGTATGGTTCATCATTTGTGAAGCCCATCAGCCAATGCTTGCCTGACAGTTGTGTGAGTCTATCCGTGAGTACTTCTGATACTGTCAGTGGACCAGACGATGATGATGATGATGATGCTGCTGCTGAGGTTGATGTAGTTGGCTCATCGCGACGAGCACGTTTCAATTGACGGTCATCATTTTGATCTGTTATCTGTGTCTCTATCTCTGCGGTCGTGGTTGTCGTATCATTCATTGTATGATCTTCATCTTGTAATGATGATGATGATGTAGTATCATCTTTACTACTCCTAACACTAGTTCTCTTCTTTCCTCCTCTTGCCATAATATATATATATAAAGGTATTATAACAAGGTCCTTGTTATGAACTTGAATGATTAATGAATGAATGAATCACACACATTGTTGAGGTTTTATCAAACTAATTTGAAGTTCATTCATTCGTTCAAATCCTACACACATGCTAGTCTTCATACAATCAATCTAGTAATCAATATACCCATCACCATCAACCTTGGAATCATTCCAATCTATTAATCAATCAATCAATCAATTAATCAATCATTCAACTTTGCAAAGTGGGTTCAATGTTGGGTTCTCCTGCTGAAGTGTAAATTAAAGCCCGGGCGATTTATAATAAGGTAATTACCTTGACCTGTGTACACCGTCTTTGAAGAGCATTCTTAAACACAAGACACCTTCATACAAATCATTCATTCACGACATGATCAGAATGACACCAGGCTCAAAAAAAAATCTAGTTGGAGTGTTCAAAAATAAATAAAAATATTAATAATAATTGATCAAAATGCATGAAGTGTCAATAGAGTTGTTGAAGCTGGGGTTCATTCAGGTCAGCCAGGGATACGCATCGTGTTGCAGAGTTAGTGTGTGGGTGTGAATGAGGGTTTGAGCTAAAGGTAGAGTGTCAATGTTGTAGTTATATTAGTATATTTATCTATCCTATCTTTATATCTTATATATATATTTGTTGAAGTATAATATATATTCTATATATATATATATAAACAACAACAACAATGTCTGGCAAGAATAGATTGAACATCTTTCCAACCAGAATGTAGGTCATCATCATTGATCAATCATCAGATTCACTTGCGACTTGACTCGACTCGACTCGACTCGACATGAAGACAGAGTATATATACTTACAACCATTCAATCAAACAATCAATCAATCAATGATTAACAGGGCCTTGACAACCATGAAGGCCAAGTTAAAGGGTGCCATCACAGGTCACTCGCTGTTGAAGAAGAAGAGTGATGCCTTGACAATCCGTTTCAGAAAGATTCTAGCTAACATTGTCGAGAACAAGCAGCTCATGGGTGCCACCATGAGAGAGGCCTCCTTCTCACTGGCCACCGCCAAGTATGCAGCTGGCGACTTTAGTAACTCTGTCATTGAGAATGTCACCAACGCTACCATCGCCGTCAAGATGCAAACTGAGAACGTTGCTGGTGTCCATCTACCAACATTCGAGAAGGTCTCAGAAGGTGTTGTTAGCAATTGTAAGTGTCTATCGTATGATTGATTGATTGATTGATCGATCGGAATGATTGAATGAGTGATACTAACATGGATCATTACATACAATAGCGCAAGAGCTTACTGGTCTGTCAAAGGGAGGTCAACAGATTTCAAAGTCTAGAGAGTCACATGTTAAGGCACTGGAGGCTTTGATCATTCTTGCGTCGTTGCAGACAGCCTTTATCACATTGGATGAGGTGATCAAGATCACAAACAGACGTGTCAATGCTATTGAGTACGTCGTCAAGCCTCGCCTGGAAAACACCATCAGCTATATCATTACAGAGCTCGACGAGACTGAGAGAGAGGAGTTTTACCGTTTGAAGAAGGTGCAGGGCAAGAAGAAGAAGGATCTCAAGATCAAGGAGGCCGGCAAGGAGGCTGATGCCCTGACTGCCGCCGCGTTTGCCGCCGCCGCCGCCGCCAAGCCCGTCAAGGTCAGAAGCATGATCGAGGATGAGCAGGAGGAGGAGTTGACCTACGAGTAAACAAGTTTAGACGCATCCAATATTGTCTGGCGCGTCCAATCAAGTCAACACAGCTCAATAAAGCATTATATTACTTATATCAATCAATCATTCGACAGTGACCCTGGAATCATTCCTATCACACTCAATCACACTCTATCAATCAATCTCTCGCGGCATTCCTGGAATCACTCAATCGATCAATCAATCAATATTACTTCTTCACTCAATCACTACTTTGGAATCATTCCAATCAATCGCCTGATCACTCAAACATCTGCCATTATATACAAGGGTTTATTGGATGATGGTCCTGCGTCCTTCACTCACTCACTCAATCAATCACTCAATCTCTGGATGATGATCCAGACTCTACTTCAAGTGAGCCAACAGGATGGATAAGACTCTGTTTCTCAAGTGTCGGGTTGTTACTTGAGGAAGAGGAGGAGGAGGAGCGTCGGGATGGTATACATCCACAGCACTTCCTGCGCCACTTGCCACATCGTCTTTTGATTGCCTCACGTGATGTCAAGCAGGCAAAGATACAGATGCCACTGGTGACGATGACAGAGATGACAGAGGCGATGGTGATAGTCTTCCAATTGAGATGGGCGTTGCAGTTGGGTCCAAAGTATCCAGCGCGACAGTTGGAGCAGTCATCACCATAGTAGCCGGTGGTCGGGTCGCACAGACAACTGCCATCGGGCTGGCAATCTCCGTGTCCACGACATGTGTCGCTGGCCAGGCAATAGACAGAACATTGGTCCGCGGGGTAGTAGCCCGGGGCGCACTGGCATGCGTTAGTGGTGCACGTCGTGTTTCCTTGGCAGAGGTTTGGACAGAGCGAGTCGGATGCTCGCATCACAACAGAGCTACCATCGTCCATCCTAAGGAATGCCATCACAGTGTTCTCTCCATTGGACATGCGACATGACACTGCCTTCTTCCCACCACTTGTCTTGTATCCCAAGTTCTTGATCTCGGCTGTTAACGAGTTGATCTGATACAATGTATCAGTGGTGCAGAGGTAATAGAAGCCCTCACCCGACATTGTAGTGTCCAGTATGTCCACCTGGATGGAGGGTTGAGTGTTAGCATCAATGGATCAATCATTCAATCAAACAAACATGACTTACATCTTGGTCTCTAAGAGTCCAATGTATTTTGGCTTGGAATGACTTGGCCAAGTAGGACTTGGAGTTGTTGGTAGTGAATGTGGCGATGATAGCAACAGGCGTGATCATCAATGCGCCGTATGTGATGGTAGAGCAGTTGATGGATGATGCGAGCAGGTTGTTGGTGATGTAAGCTTGAGAGCTAACATTGTACGACATTAAATACAGGGCATTATCGTTGTTGCATGCCAGTGTTACGATGAATCCATCATCGCGACTGATGATCGATCGTTCACCAGTCATTATAGTTTGAGTGTCAGCACTAAACTCTGGCGAGATCAATGTGAAGTTGGACATTGGCGTCGTTCCATTCAGTTTGTAGGCAGTGGCATTTGCACCTGCAGCCAGATCAATGAGTAGAGTTGATTGTCCAGATGATAATATGGACAATGTGTTGACCTTTGATTGTAAGCCTATTGCAATCGTTGAGTTGGCCAATGTCTGACCAGTGTTTGGATCGAGCATCAACAACATAGTGTCTGTGCTATTGACGTCGCCATCACAAACAAAATACAATGTACCAACTGCCGCTGGATAAGGTACTGAGCAGTTTGAAGTCATCTGGACCATCCATTCAATCGTGCCATTGTTTGAACTATTGTATAAATAGGTGCGCGAGTCAATGAATGAGTGAATGATTGAGTATGTATATATGACCAACAACTTACTTGTATGAATAGAGTGTTGATGTCTCATTGTGATACACTATCAAGTGATCATTATGAAGTATCAATGAGAGTGTATATGATGTTGACGTTGACGTTGATGTTGTGATATTGCTAGTCCAATGTATATAAGATGTATTATAACTCATTCGTTGTAGTTGTATCTGTCCACCACTTGTTATAAATGGTACAATGAATGATTGATCGAGTAGTATGACTACATTAAAGTCTACCAATGATGATGAAGTTGTTGTTGTTGTTGTATTATATTGAGACCAAAGTGACCATTGCATTTGATTGATTATAGGGTCTGATGTATATGAACAACCTGTTCGATAAGGATCATGATTGATCTGTGACCAATCTGTATCGCCATTGTTAATGGCTAATGTAACAGTCACCAACAACAACAATACTAATGATATTATAACAAACAAAGACTTCATTCTATGATGTATCTCTATCTCTTATTACTACAACTACATTATAATATCATCTCTTGAATGACTACGTGTGAGTGAGTGAATTGCGTCGTCTTTGGTTTGGTCTGGCACCAGACCTGGGGTTTGTCGCGACCCCTGGGGTTGGCGAACCCGAAACTGGGTCCTTGCCAGGTCCATCTGCGGGGATCATGTGATTGATTGAATGAATGTTTGAATGTATTTATTATTGAGATAATAGGCTTAGAGCTCATCATGTCCGTCTGACTTGTGTCCATCAGACTTCTTGTTGTTCTCAAACTCCTCATTGTTGGATGGGTCCTCACTGCCTTGATCATCACTTTGATTGTTGTTGTTGGTGGACTCGGTGTTGGTCTCAGTGTTGGTCTCAGGCTCGGTCTGCTCTCCACCATTGTTTGTTGTCTCATCCTTGTTGTTTGCTGTCTCATCCTCACCAGCTGTCTTGTTGTCCTTGGAAGATGTTGTTGGCTTCTTTGTTGGCTTTGGAGTGGTGACCCTCTTCTTCTTCTTTAACAAATCCTTCAACAATCTCTCCAGGTCGAATAGCTTGAACTGCACTTCGATGGTGGAGAATGGCAAGTCCTTAGTAAAGTTGGCCACTTGGTACTCGGCATGTCTGTCCTTGGCCCAGAGCGCGATGGCTTCGAGCTTGTCCGTGGCATTCTTCAGCTCCTCAACAGTTATATTGAAGTCGACTGAGATGTTGGCCAAAGTTGGCTTGATCTTGGCGAGCAAGTTCTCCAACTCCTCCAACTTGCTTGGGATCTCAGCCTTCTGAGTAACACGATGAACAATCTTTGATGTCTTTGTCTTCAAATGCTTCAGCTTGTTTTGGTAATGAGCGATGTCATCCTCTCCATCTAATTGATTGATTGATTGAATGGTTAGTTTGTGCGGTACAAGGCGGGGAAGCCTCAAAGGGGTACTTACTATCCTCGGCATCTGACAACCAGGCAGAGACGATGTCCAACTCCTCGACAATGGACGCTCTCTCCTCGGAAGTGGAGCACTCAACGTACTCCTCGGACTCGAGCTTGTCGCGTGTATCATAGAGGAAGGACTCTAGATTGTTCTTCTCGTGTCTCAAGTCGCGCAGTGCCTTGTCCTTGCCATCCAAAGTGTTGATCCTGGTGTTGGCGGCGGCCAACTGCTCCTTGCTCATTGGCTGAACGACTTGATATTGCACAGTGACATTGAGTGGAATACGTTGTACGCGGCTAACCAACTCTGTTGTGTACTGGGTGGTTGGAGTGTCGGTGGTATTGGCGTTGGTGGCATTGTTGGTGGCGTCCACTGTGGCGGTGGCGTTGGCAGTTGAGTTGCTTGGGATCGCCTTGGTCTTGAGTGCGTAGACGGTGATCTCGGCCTCTGCCTTCTCCAGGACGACCATTCCATTGGTGTTCAAACGGATGGAACAGTGGATCTTGGGCTTGCCAGTGAAGTTGAGCGCGGCGGATGGCACGGGCACGCCAGAGACCGTGTAGACGGCGATGTTGGCGGGTGTGTGGTCAACGTAGGTGACGTTCAATGTGAATGATTGGTTCGAGAAGAATGACAGGGTCTTCTTGATGTTGATCCTGTTGTTCTTGCGGAAGAATGATGAGGCGCTGGCCGAGACGGCGTTGGCCGACTGCTCCTCGCCGGTCTGGTCGTCGCCGGCAGATGGTGTGGCGTTGTCATTGTCCTCATTCTCCAAGATGGGCTGGCTGGCCTCCTGCTGGTTGCTACGCACCAGCTTGACATCGATGGTATAGGGTGTGATATCTTTCAGACGAATGTCCTTGACACGGAAGTAGTGTGTGAGACCGGCGGCATAAAAGGCGGCGCCATTGGCAATTGCCTCATCACCATTCAAATGCTTGTCCAATGTACTCCTCTTCAAGAATGCCTTCAAAGTGTCCTGAACTGCTGGTATTCTTGTACTTCCACCAATCAACTCGAAGAAATCAATGTCATTCTATGTTTGATTAAACAAGTTAGTATGTGAGCGGAATAGTTCCAATGTTGATCCACTGTGACTTACAGATGTCAAGCCGTTGGCCTCCAACAGTCTCTTCAATGGGACAACAGCGCGCTCGAGTAGAGATGCAGACAACTCTTGGAACTCCTTACGCGAGAGTGTGGCGGAGAAGTCCAAATCTCCAACAAGACTTCCAATGAATGCTTGTGCCTGTTGATTCGCGCTCAATGTCTCCTTGACCTTTGTGGCTTCCCTCAAAAGCTTGATCGTTAGCTTCTTATCATTGGTATCAATCTTTGGGTCTTGCCTAAGTAATTGGAAGATAATGGGTTGAGGGTTAGGGGCGAGGCCTAGGGCATGGGCGAGGGTTGATGTATACATACTTCAACAATATCTGTTTGAAGTGATTGACGATGGCCATGTCAAAGTCGAGACCACCTAGGGTCTCATCCCACTCGATGGATTTGACAATGTTGTTGGTGATGGTACGGTTCTTCTTGTTCTTGGTCTCGTTAAAGACGTTGTAGTGCACCAAGGAGAGCTTGGTGGACCTGGCGCCCATGTCGTAAAAGATGGCCGTCTGGTTCTTGTCAAACGTGCGGTCCATGGCAAAGTTGAGCGAGGCGGCATTGATGTTGTTGATCAACGACAACACGTTGAGACCGCCCAGATGCGCTGCGTCCAGAATCGCCTGACGCTGCTGCTGTGTGAACCAGGGTGGCACGGCAATGACACAGTCCTTGATGTTGGTGGACTGGGTGTAGGCGTTGGCCAACTCCCTGACCTTCCTCAAGATCATTGCCATCAGCTCCTCTGGTGAGTAATAACTCTCGTCATCATACGTCACCCTATAAGTATTCCTATCTGTATCATTGGTCACCTGATAACCCAGTGAGCCCAAACCAATCTGTTGAACAATGTCCTCTTGATAAGTCGATCCCAACAAAGAGTCGAACATTGAGTATACTTGTTGAGGGTTCCTGACCCACTATGATCATTTGTTGTTGTTAGTGGATGTGATTGATTGATTGATTGAATGAATGAATGAGTGACACAAGGGGACACTTACAAGGTTGGCTGCATCTGAACCAAAGACACGTTCATCTCTGAACCATCCTACTTGTGAGGGTGTCTTACGTTGACTCTGTTCGTTGAGTACGATTTCGAATGCACCTGGTCGGACCATACCGATCTTGAATGATTGTGCACCAACATCAATTCCAATGACGATGGCACTTGAATAACAAACAACATAAGACAACAATAAAAGACCAGTGATCAACACTGTCCTAGATATATTCATCTTCATTATATTATATATTATTATGGTGTTACAATATATGTATATATTTTGTATATGTTTAAAATGTGTGAACTAATGAATGAATGAATTAGGATTAGATTCTGTCGTCTTTGCATTTCACATTTCAGATGATGACACCCAAGATTGGTGACGAGGCATTAGTGTGTGACACGACAGATCCAACGGAAATTAAAAAAAGGATGTTGTGCGACAGGAGGATAATGAGGATCTTCAACATGACACAGGTCCAAGGCACATGGCACAATCACAATGTAATGGTACTTCCATCATGATATCATTAATGTCATTCAATCAATCAATCAAATATTCATTGACAAACAAAAATAGTATGAGTAGAAAGCGAATCGATCGAGATGATGCATACAGGTGGATTGAATACCAGAGCGTCGGTATTACAAACTGCGGTGATTATAACATTGCAGTTTGAACACTGACACTTGGTCATTCCATTGGTAAGCATCATCTCACTCGATTCGATAACATAATAATCATGTTTAGTTGTTACTCTGAGTTTGAAGTATTTGGTATTTGTTTGTGTGGATGATTGAATGATTGAATGAATCGAGATTAGTTCGAACTGTTTGATCATTCTCCAACCAACAACAAAACCATTTAAATTTCAAACTGTTTATTGATTGGGATAACGTTATTTGGTTCCAAAGGAGACGAGAATCTAAAGATTGATTGGACATCCAACATCAAACATTTTGAATGTTAACTTAAATACTTCATGATTCAAATAAAATGTACTTATAACTTATAATTAATATTTGTTGAGCAAATATTACCATCTACATTGAGACAACATTGCCCTAAAGCGAGGAAAGGACTTGTTGTTGGAACCCCGAACAACACAACCCAATAAATAAAAGATATTTTTTCATCTGGATCGCGATGAGAATGGATAAAAAAAAAACAAGTTAACTTAAAGTGGCTATCAGGTGATGTCACTTGTTCCCTCTGTTCATTCATTACTTTAATTTAACTATTATACATACAACATACATATATACACCTTAACAAACAGATAATTATATAAACAATGGGTCAAGCTGCAGGAAAGTTGAGCAAGGATGAGATTCAATCATTGTCCACACAGTCATCATTCTCAAAGAATGAGATCGGTGACCTCTTTGCTGAGTTCAAGAAGCATGATATCGATGGCAATGGTGCCCTCGACAGAAATGGTATGAATGCTCATCTATAGGTGACCTACATCTCATGAGTTACTAATGTCAATCAATCAAATATAAAGAGTTCATCTCTTTCTTCAAGACTCGTTTGCCAAAGCAGTCTGCTGCTCAGTTGAACAATCTGTTTGATGCCTTTGACACTGATGGAGTATGTAATCATATCGACATTCATTCCAAATAACATGACACTAACATCATTGTAATCACTCTAGAGCGGATCCATTGACTTCAAGGAGTTGGTCATCTCCCTCTCAATCATTGGAAAGGGTACACCAGAGGAGAAGTTGGGCTTCATGGTATGTTATCAATCAATCGCGACACAACAAGTCAGGATTCCATGTTCATTCATACAATCAATCAATCAATCAATCACTTTTTAGTTTGATATTTATGACAAGGACAAGAGTGGAACTCTGGAGAAGGGTGAGATTGATGAGTTGACCAGGACAATGGTCTCTGTTGGAAAGGCAATGGGCAAGGGTGACAAGGATATCACTGTTTTTGTTGAGAAGCTCATCCAAAAGATCGATGTTGACAAGAGCACCACCATCACTCGTTCCGAGTGGATCACCCAGGGCTCCAGGAGTCCATCCGTCATCACCCTGCTTGGTATCTAAACTACCAAACAGCAAGTAACCATTCCAATCCATTCAGTTAGTACATGAATAAATAAAGGTCTCGCGAGAAACTTGGAATGTTTCTCATTTTCAAATTGTCCAGTCAACTCCTAGATAGAGATAGATAGATAGATATGATACATCAAAGGAGACTATTCAGTAGTATTGCTCGAGCACCGTTGACATCACTCTATGTCTGGGGTGCATCATGGAGAGGACAATTGGGTCTAGGCGACAATGTAACATCATGCTACACACCCAAGCGCATGACCGCATTGCCATCACTCTTGTCCAACAACATCAACATAACAACAGGATCATATCATGCAATGTTACAGAGTAAGGCATGTGTAGCATATCTCAAACAGGAATGAGTGAATGGCTGACTGACTCCATGTGCAGCAGGTGACAACAGATTATGGGTATGGGGCGAAGGTTCGCTTGGCCAGCTAGGTCTGAACGATGGCAATAGGACACATTCAACACCAATAGAGCATCAATGGTTCACAAACAAACATATTGTTACATTGGGTTGTGGAGGATATCATACTGTTGTATGCTTGCAGGAGCCAGATGGAACATTCAACACCTACTCATTTGGTCGTAACAATGAAGGACAACTCGGTCTCAACAGTACTGCCACGATCATATCACAACCGCAACCAATCAATGAGCTTAGAGGTATGCGAGTCGATCATATATCATGTGGGCCCAACTACACTGTTGTTGTGACGCGCGATAAGTAAGTATCGTATGACGAGGAATGATTGTCAATCGAGTGACATGACTAACATTGTCAATCAAGTGGAGTTTATTCCTTTGGAATGAATGATATGGGTCAGTGTGGACATGGACAAGGTAGAATGGAGGTCATTGGCACACCAAAGAGGATAGAGAGCATGGATGGAGTGAAGGGCATCAACAAGGTGTGCAATGGATGGGGTCACACCATGGTCTTGGCTGATGATGGTCACCAATTGCTTACCTGGGGATCAAACATGCATGGACAATGCGGCATTGGAGTCAAGAGCTCAGATGTCGTGAAGACTCAGCCCATCAAGTCACTCGACCCTGGCAACAAGATCATTGACATATCATGTGGCTCAGCTGCATCTATTGCCGTGGTGTCTTCTCAAGATGGCAACGACACATACATCTGGGGATCATGTGGAGATGGAAAGCTGGGCGGCAATCAAACTAGCGATCAGCTGACGCCAGAGAGGATGCATACACTGCCACGAAACGTGAAGCAGGTGTCCTTTGGCACCGATCATTGTATTGCCCTGTGCTCAGACAATCGAATGTTTGGCTGGGGCTTTGGCCAGCATGGTGCACTGGGCGTAGGCGGTGCAAGCGATCAACTGCGCGTCTACAAGACACCCGTGGAGATACCATCGCCAGAGCTGGACAACAAAGACATCCTGCACGTTGAATGTTCGATTGATACATCATTCGCGATCGTCAGAGACAGAGAAGTAAACTGATTGATCAATTGATTGCATTGCATTGTACATATGACGACGGTCGATCGATCACTTTACTTTCAACTTCTTCAAGTAACGCTGCTTGTCTCCATCGTCTTTGTCGATGCCAGTGCTTCGCTTGAGTGAGGAACCCGCCTCGTCGTTGCTAGAGTCGTCGTCTTCGTCATCGTCTTCGTCCTCGTCCTCTTCGTCGTCTTCTTCTTCGTCGTCCTCATCGTCGTCCTCTTCGTCGTCCTCCTCAGCCACCCGCAGATGGATGGTAAACGATCGGTTCGACGAGGAGTGGCTCCACTTGAGGTACTGTTGCTGCGTTATCGTGAAGCTGACCAGCGGCAGCGTCTCGCAGATATCGGCCCATATCTGCGGCTTGTCATTGATCTTGATCATCGCACTGCCCGAGCCATAGACGCGGATCTGGTACTTCTTGGGCGGCGGCGTCACAAACAGGAAGAGGAAGCTGCGGTAGACGCCCTCGCCCGTCGACACAAAGATGATGGTGTGCTCCTCCTGCTTGAGCAGCAGGCACGAGGTCTCGGTGCCCTTGGGCAGCGGCGACATCATCGTCATGCGGAAGAACTCTGTCTCGCGCTCCTGATCGTGCAGGTACACCGAGTCCAATCGATGATGCTCGGTGAAGTGCTTCTCAATGTCCTTGGGCAGCATCGACGTCTGGGCTGCGCATCCCAGTATCTTGCTGAGTGGACACGGTCCCTTGCGATGCTGACAATGTTCCTCATGCTCCTTCTTCTTTGTATCCTTCATCGCGAATGTCTCGCCGCACCCATCGACATAGTTGCAACACATCTGATTCGCTTCATCAATCAACTTCTCCACAGTATAGTTCCTCCTCGGGTTCTTTGGCCATTGTCGCTTGCCTATGAGGTATGTGATGATCGTGTCAATGATCATGTTGTGATCGATCACTCAATCAATCAATCAATCAATCAATCAATCAATCGATCATATGAACATACACTTTGGACAAGTCTTGGTCGATGGCAACAGACAGGACTCGCATGTCCAGAAGTCGCAGTAGTCACAACAGAATGACTTTGTAAAGTTGTTGGTGTAGCATATACAGCACTCCACTATGCTGCTGTCGACAATGACGACATCCTTGCCCAGTCCCATTAATGATGATTATGCCTGTTGTTGTTGTTTGTTGCTGCAAGAAGGCCTTCTTTCTTTCTCTCGAGATATGTAATAATGGAGATGAAGGGTATCTATCTCTATCTGTATATATACTTAAACATATACTATATTATAGTTGTTTACAACAACAGCAAACAGCGCAGCAAGAAGGATGATTATTATTATTATTATTATTATCCAATTAGATTGAGAGAGAGAGCAAGATGTTTCGCAAAGAGAGTAGTGTTTGTTCTTCGAACTTGAACTGTTCATTCATTTGATCTCTTCAACTTTATTATCTTGAGATACATTACAGTACATCATGATGATAATGAATCATTATTATCATCATGATGTACTGTAATGTATCTCAAGATAATAAAGTTGTTGATTAGTATAATGTACTTAGCTCACTCATTGATATCAACGCCAATTCCTCTCAATGAATCAAACAAACATCTCCTGTCAACAGTTCAAAACTCTACACTATGGTTGTGATGGAATGCGAGTGAGCAATGGATGATGGGCAGTTGGTTGGATGGTTGGTTTGTTGGGGCCAAAGGATCATCGGAAACAGAGGATCATTGGAACCATTCCATTGATATCCAGCTCGATGAGAATGATTTCTTTGAAATCACACTTTTGCAACCTTCATTGTGTAAGATTGCTCAATCAATCAATCATCCAATCATTCAGTTGACCACAACATGTACAGATACAACAATGACAACAACAACAACAACGACACAACAAGAACAAATAATAAGAGTATTAACAAATAGAACATTGATTAAGACTATTATTGCATCTTATTATCAATTTAGATGTAATAATAATAAGGATGTGAATTATAAGTTACCTTATGGTACCAAGATGTACTTACGTACCAAATATCATCATTGGACTGATATTGTATCATTGGTGAAGAATAGACATTTCGGATTGATACGTGATAGGATCAAACGTAACTTAACAATCTCATTCAAACATGATCATTGTACAACTATGGTGGAAAGACCTTGCGAAGTGATCTGCTCATCGCGCCACATCGATCAAGAAACATTCATGCTCATCTACAACAAGTACCAACGATACTTTACCAACAGAAATGCTCTTACAGCCGCGGTAATTGCCGGCAACCTGTTCGCTGTTCAGACTCTGCTCCATCAGACCGACCCGGTGGTCTGTGACCGTGATGACAAGTTACTGGTCGATGCCATTTATGGTGGGTCATTCCCCGTGCTCAAATATCTCATGGACTCGGGCCTGTTCAACATTGAGGGCATTTGGAATGGCAAGGTGGTCCTTAACTCCTTCGCGACCGTCAATAACTTTCCAGTATTCGTTCGAGACATGATGGATGCGGTCAATGTTCCTCAAGAGCTCGTGGATCATGCCAAGTTACATGCACCCAAATATAATGCCATAAAGTTGTTGACCTCGGGCGATCAACAACTAATCAAAGAGTTCCTGTATAAGGATGGCGTCAAACAATTCAAAACACCAATATCCTCTGCAATGATGATCGCCAATGCACTGGCCACATCCATCCAGCAACTTGAACACTTTGAACGATTGTTTGACATCACCGACCCAGCCGCACAGAACATTCAGGCACAGAAGCAACTCGATGATTCACATGAATCAGCTCGTTTGATTTTAGCTAGTCATGCTACACCTGATCAACATGACAACAATAACAACAACAACAACATTGTTATTGACAATGATCAATGCCTACGGATTGCCAAGATTCTCACAATGCCAATTGAATGGAAGGACGAACACCTGGACTCAGTATATCGCGAGTACATCATCACTGGCGATTGTATGTTGATCCCCCTACTCTTGGATCATCGTCGTGACAACTCTTGTGAGCGAGTGATCAATCGAATCATCAAGCATGGCACATTGACACAGGCCATCGTGGCGATGAAGTACATGGACCGATCGGGCTTGGACAACAGACATTTTGGAGGAATACTCCATTCATTCATGAGTGCTGATGATATGTCACGCAGTTTCGAGATTGTCAAGTATCTCGATGGCGAGAAAGTCATGTTCAAGTATACAAATGGCAGTTGCGTTATTATAAGAGCGTTCACTGGGACGACAGAGATGCTAGAGTTCATACTCGCGGCCAACATATTCAAGACCAACACCGGAGACAAGAGAGCCCGACTGGATCTGTTGGATGCAGAGCATGTCAAACTGATCCTCCCAACATTGAGTGATCGGAATGGCCCTCATCGATTATCAAACCAACTGCGTATCGCCACCTTCCACGCGCGAATGGACACACTCAATCTATTATTGGACCATGTTAATGCTTTAAAGAATGGAGATCAGACTATTGTTTACACCATGCCACACACATACGCATTCAACAAGGCTGGACCACATGGACTGCATCGTGAGGTTATCAAGTTGTTGGTGGAGAAGGCCGGTCTCACGCCACTCCAAGATATATTTCACCTGATTGGCAAGCTGGGCGACACCGAGCTGCTGGACTATGGGCTCACACACTTCTTTGGCAAGCAACTCAATGCCAACAAACTCCCGACAATGATAGGTAAACAATTGAATGCCACAATCCATGCAGCGATCAAACTTCACAATATGGATTATGTCATACATGTATTCACTCATCACAAGGACAAGATGTTGGAGAAGAATGCCACGAGCAAGACACACCACATATTGGCCGTCAGCTGTTCCAACTTGGAGATGTTGGAGTGTCTGTTGCGTGTCGACCCTATCGAGCGACTGGGCCAGGCCGACGAGTTGTTTGGAGCAGCAATCAGCCACGGCCACATTGAGGTGCTGGACTGGCTAATCGAGCATCTCGAAGAGTACAGGGCACAATTCTTGGCGTCACCAATCATTATCAAACCATTGATTGAATCACATCTCATTGCAATGTTACAACATCTATTGGACATTGGTGCCAAGTTTGACCTGAGGAATATACACAATCTAAGGTCATACAAGAGTAATCAAAGGGCTCAATCAATTGTACAACAGTTCAAGGCGAAAACCGTGGTGGAGCCAAAGTCAAAGGGAACCCTCTCGCTAAAGCGTGACAGTAGCAGTACCGATAACACATCAACAGCATCACAGCAGCAGCAGCAGCCAAACAAGAGAGGCAGGAAGAAATAATAGACATGGGTGCAAGTTGTTCATTCATACCATATTCAATCAAATAAAATTTACAATAAATGAACAATGATTATTAACAAGACATGTCAAACAATACAACAACAACAACAACGACAACTACAACGACAACAACAAAAATGACGAATCCAAAGGAGGCTTGACTGTCTTCATTTGGGATGCACAAGGTCCTTCATAGATTATGGAAGCATGAACACTCATTGTATAACCGAACATGGTTGCACAAAGACTTATGCATCCTGTGCCAACTTTAGAAGCTATCGAACAAAGTTGTTTGTTGCTGATGCCGACGACAAGGATTCAATCGAGATGATGCTGGCTGATGGACTCCTCAAGTGTTTCCACACCACTTGCTTCAACTTCTTCACCTCGCTGAAGTCCCTGTGTCAACACATGTCTTCGACTAGAGCAGGGGACCATCAATGTGCAGACCGCAATACCTGTCCAGGTTGTCAACGCAGTGACTTGTTGATGACAAGGCAAACACTTCCCAGCGCTGACCATCCGGCTATCAAGTCCTACGTCTGTCTACACGATGGCTGCTCAAAAGAGTTCGACATGTTTCGTCAGATGCTAGAGCATTGCAAGTTACAGCATCATTGTCGAACATACGCAGGCTGTCTCAATCAACAACGCTACCGAACAGTGAACTTCAAGGCAGATCCCGATGACTTGGAGTCGAACAAGATGTTGGTAGTCAAAAGTCTCAACAAGTGTCCAATCTCAACATGCAGCTCCTACTTCAAGAATAGGGACGGATTCAGACAACACTTTGAGCACTGTCATCCAGGACTCGATCTATTATGCATGTTGCCACAACCGACTGGCCAGTCCGCTCCGACTCTGAAACGGAAACGGTCCATGAAAGAAGTTGAGGAAGAAGATGAAGATGAGGATGAGTATGAAGAAGAAATGGATATTTATGTTGATCAAGATGATGACGATGGACACAATGAAGAAGAAGATGAAGGTGTGTCCCTCGACTTTACATCAACATCATCATCACCAACACCATCCAACAAGGTGCCGCCATCCAATGACAACATGATTAAGTGTATGCACTCCACCTGCGACAAATGGTTCACTACGAGGGTCTTAATGCTTGAACACAACAAAAGTTATCACCAATGTCCAGACCACCAGAGCTGTTCAGGATGCGTGTACCGACAAATATGGGCGCAGAAGACACTTGATCCCTCCTTGCAAAGGCTCAAGTGTCATCACCAGGGGTGTAAATCCTCTCCAACCAGGTATTCAAAGTTGCGCAAGCACTGTCAACTCCAACACCAATGCACATGGACATACGCCGCATGCCCAAACTATCAGACCTATCCAAGGACGAGGTTCTTTGCCGATCCCGATGACACTGAATCAATCTCAATGTTGACGGCCAGAGGATTGGTCCAATGTACTCACACATCGTGTGGTCACTTCATGGCCACTCACAAAGCCAAGGCTCATCATCTTGCAAAGGAACATCAATGTCCTGATCCTGCCAGTTGTCAAGGTTGTATTGATAGCAGCCAGCGTCGTCCCAGAGGTCCAACCAATGATAACCAGAAGGTGGGCAAGTTCAAGTGTCATCATGATGACTGCACCAAGAGCTACATCAACGCGGACCCCCTGCTTCAGCATTGTAAGAAGCAACACAAGTGTCCAAGCACTTATGGATCATGTATAAACATTCGTGAATACCGCAATCAGAAGTATCATGCATTACACGACGACACTCAAACAATCGAGAGATTCTTGGCCGAGGGATTCCTCAGGTGTGATCATCCAGAATGCATCTACTTCTTCAAGACTGGTAACTCCAAACAAGAGCACATGATCCAACGACACCAGTGTTCCGATCCACATGGATGCGAGGCATGTGTCAAGCGCAACTTTCACATCGACAATGGCGACAATGACGACGTTGGGGAGTATAAACCCCAGGTCCAGCCCGATGGAAGAAGAATACGATTACCTAGAAGGCTGCGCACGATCATCAGTGGTGAGCTGGTGAGTCCAAAGAAGTGGATCACCAACACAAAGACAAACAACCCAACAGCCTTTGTCAAGCCCAATCAAGTTGGAGTGTGGAACGAGAGCATGTTCAATCTGATCAAATGTCCACTTATTGGATGTGAGGAGTATGTCCAACAGATTGTGATCAACAAACATCTTCGACAGGATCACACATGTCCAGTATCTCAACAACAACATTGTGATGGCTGCCAGATGTCCCGTCACCATGATCGTCCTGACGACAATGATGCACACCGAGTTGATTGGTTGCTAGTTTGATCTTGTTAGTGAGTGGACGTATCAAGAATAAAATCACTACCTTTTGATGAAGTTACGTGAGACGAACGTTCGTCTGTGCCGGTCAACTTCACTTGAAATCGGTAAAACGAAACGTCGCTTGCAACAATCAATCAGGATGATTCCGATCATCATCAACATTCTCAACTTGGACCTCAGTGTGGTAGTTGATGGGCCAAAGGACTTCGCTCAAACGAGAACCTGTAATGAACATGACCAACTCACTCGTTTGGAGGGATTTGCAATCTCATTGGTTGGCGAAGGACGAGGAAACTGTGGTCCTTGGCCCAACCCAATCAATTTGATCATTTATTTGGGCAGGCCAACTCCTGGTCCTCGGATTAAGAATGTGTAGTGATTGGCAATGTTCATTATACTCAACATGTACTCCAAAAGTATCGCCATCAATACATCAACATCAAGTGATGAGGAATACCTAAGGAAGTAGTAATTTCCTCCAACTTCATCAATCATTCAATCATTAAATCATTCCATCAATCATTTTCAAACTATCAATCAATCAAAGATGTATAAACAAAAATTATTTGTTACTTTATTATTAATAATATTTATTAATATAGGAGTTAGTTATGCTGGTCTTACTTGCACCAACAATGGAATGAAGTGCCAGGCCCAATCAGATGCCGACCCCTGTTTCAACTGGATTTGCAGAGGTACAATTTGTATGCGTGACACCTACAATCCAAAGTCATGTGATGATGGAAACAGTTGCACTGTTGACCGATGTCTTCCAACCAAGGGATGCCAACACACTCCAATGGACTGCCAACACAACTGTCTTGACAAGTGCAATCAATCAGTATGCAGGAATGGCACTTGTGTGATGGAGCGTGTTAACTGTGATGACAACAACCCAGCCACCTGCGACTCCTGTGACAAGCTTCTTGGATGCCGCCACACCTCCTGTGATGATGCCAACATGTGTACTAATGACCTGTGTATCAACAACATAAACGGTACATGCACCCACCTTCCAATCAGTTGTGATGATTCCAAACCAGCCACTTGTGACACCTGTGACAAGAAACTTGGATGCCGCCACACCTCCTGTGATGATGCAAACATGTGTACAATTGACATGTGTACCAACAACCTCAATGGAACCTGCTCCCACACCCCAATCAATTGTGATGACAACAACAAGTTCACAATTGATTCATGTTCTCTAGATACTGGTCTTTGTGTCTATTACCCAAACGAGACCGCCATCGAGATTGACCGAATGACTAACAATGCTGACCCAACTCAATCATATGCCAATGGTCAAGGATTGAGTGACGGATTCATCTCCCTACTACAAGGTTTTGAGGTCCAAGCTGTCAACTACAATGGCGAGGTTCTCAACAAGTCTGGTCTGAACTTCACAATCCTGATCACTGATGCCAGCTCTTCAAATATCACCCTCCCTGTTACCATGACCTACCTCTCCAATGGTACCTACTCATTCACCTATGTTCCACTCCAACTCGGAAACTTTGTCATTCTTATCACTTTGGATGGTGTCCCAATTAAGAACTCAACTTATTCAATCAACATTGAGGGTGCAGATAAATCCACATCTGCAGCCTATGGACTTGAACAAAATCAGATGGTCACAACATTCCAACAAACAAACTTCACCATTGTCTGGAGGAATAAGATTGGAGCTGTTTTGGCAATTGGTCAGGATAACTTCAATGTATCCATCATTGGTCCATCTCAATCAATCATACCGTACTCCATTCAAACCAACATTGATGGAACCTACAATGTTACATTTATTCCAACATTGGATGGAATTCATTCAATTTTGATTAATAACAATCAAATTCCAACATCATCATTCTCACTTGGATTGATCACTGTATCTTCGGTAAACATAGTGGCCCAGTACTCTTATGCCAATCATACAGGTGCACCTACACCAACAGTCAACCAAAAAACATACATTCAACTCCACTTGCTGGCAGGTGATGGAGTACCTTACAAATACGGTCTGAATGATCTGATGTATATGACCTCTACTAAAACTATGTCATTCGAAGGAACAACTCCTCAAGACATAAATGGAGTATATTTAGTATACATCATTCCAATCGAGGCCGGCTTATCCATCATAACTCTAACATTCAATGGCTCCAATATTAAGAATTGTCCACATTCAATTCTGTTCAACCCACAACAATAAACTAAAAAAACCCTCCACTTTGATCAACAAATTTTTGACATATGTGACACTGTTTGAATGCATTCTATTTATTTGTTATATAATTGTTATATTTTTATTTATTTGTATATATTAATATTCAATAATGAATAATAATGTATTGACTCGACTGAAGAGAATGAGAGAGATTGATGATAGTCATGATGATATTGTACATAATAATAATGATACAGATGATTATGATGAAGATAACGATGACGATGATGTTGATGATGATGAAGACGATGACTTTATCGATATGAATACAACCAGAGCAAAGAAAAAGTCAAGGCATGCAATCGATGACAATCACAAACATATAGACAAGAGCAAAGACAAGAACAAAGACAAGAGCAAGAACAAAGATAAACATAAACACAAACACAGAGACAAGGACAAGGAGAAGGAGAATGACAAAGATCATCCACTTAGAAAGCTTAGCACATCATTGAAGAGAGGACCTGACGAACACTATCAATGCAGACATGTGATATATTTCAATCATTCAATCATTCAATGTCCAAAGAAATACAATCACATCCCATCATTGTCAAGACATCATCGCTCTCACATCCACAACTGCACTGAATGGTGTCCCTACTGCATCCAACGTGGTAAACAAGGTCAATTGACGTCAACTACTCCATCTCAACAACAACAACAACACAATGAGCTCAAGTGTGATCACAATGATTGTGACAATATACGAGTGCATCGAGATGATCATCACAAGTATGCTCGACACATTCTGTCCAACAATCATCACTATTGCATGCAATCAGGTGATCGCCACTGCGTTGGCTGTCATCTTGCCAAACAATATGGCACCAAGGAAGCCCTCGAGAAAGCCCTTATCAAAAGGGACAAGGCAATCCCACAAGACATCTTATCAGGCAGCTCCTCAGAGGAAGAAGAAGAAGAAGAAGAAGAAGAAGATATAGATAGTGATGATGATGATGGAGACGACTCTTTTGTTGTTCAAGACTGCGATGATGAAGAAGAGGAGGAGGAACTTGGCTCAGATATGTCAACAGACTCAAAGGATGAAGAGGATGAGGAGAAGGCGGTCGTGGACGAGGAGGAGCATATCAAAGCAGACAATCGTCCAGTGTTGGACGACGATGCATTCTTCTTTGAGTGTGGCATCACAAAGGACACAGCCAAGCATCTGTTGTCAATACTTCCAGCAGAGTTCAAACCAATTAACATTGTATGGACATTCACCTATCTCAAGAAGTACACACCCATCACAGAAATCTCCAGAGACTATGGCGTCTCTCACATAACAGTCAGCCATAATGTGCACCAAGTTCTCAATCAACTTGGAGCAAACATCCAACAACTGACCAATGTATGATCTATCATTACATTCAAACTCAATCACAGTCAATCAATCAAACCTAATCACACACATGTACTAACATTAACAATTAACCTTTGAAGGATACCAAGTCTGTTCTTCAGCATTCTAGAAGGGAACAACTCCATGAGCTGAAGGTGTCTGCTCGAATGATCGTCCACATCTCCATGTTGCCACACAAGCCTGGACCTTCTTCCATTCCCCAAAACTACTCTGGTATGCATTGACATCACATGATCAATCACATGATCAATCATACTTACAACCAAACTAGTTATGCACAGATCACATGGTTACAAGTTTGAAACATTGGTCGACTTTGATGGACGACCTATTAGGATCATGGGACCATTCCCTGGTGCAATGAACCACTTTGAGATCATGAACAAGACCAATCCATATGAATTGCTTGGCAAGAATGAAGTGTTCATTGGAGATATTTGCAAAGGCGACACCAAGATCATCACACCATTCATCAAAAGGTTGGACGAAGCCTTAACACCAGTACAAGAAGCACAAAACAAGTTCATACATTATCAGACCTCTGGAGCAAATCGCTTCTTCCAAAGGCTGAAAGAGTTCAAGGCTGTCACAGACCTTTGGAGACTGGATACCGACAAACAAACCATGGCCTATCACATACTCTGCTATGCCATTGACTATGATCTGAGGCATGGCGGAAGTAGCAAAAGTAGTAGCACGACCAACAATAGTCCAAGTAAATCCAAGTGATCACCCTTAAGTTAACTTGACTTAATTTATGGTATTTGAACAATGAGTGTGTGTAACGAGACTTTTTGTTTTTTGATTTTTTTTGAAGTCCAACAAGACTTGGAGAAGTTGCTGATTCTGAAGTATGACGACGAGACACTTCACTCAATTCATTCATCTATCTACATATTACATATAATATATAACATTATATATAATATATAACATACATACAACAAACAAAAGCAGAAGATATGAGTTTAGCATTCGACGAATATGGACGCCCCTTCATTATTATTAGGGAGCAACAGTCAAAGGAGCGCTTAAAGGGCATTGAGGCACATAGATCGCATATTATGGCAGCAAAGACCATTGCCAATATCATGAAATCATCGCTCGGACCAAAGGGCATGGACAAGATGATCGTGTCACCCGACGGCGACGTCACCGTCACCAACGACGGTGCCACCATCCTCGAGAACATGCAGGTGGACAATCAGATTGGCAAGCTGTTGGTGCAGCTGTCCAAATCGCAGGACGACGAGATTGGCGACGGCACCACCGGTGTGGTCGTGCTGGCTGGCTCGCTGCTCGAGCAGGCTGAGTTCCTCATCGAGAAGGGCATCCATCCTTGCCGTATCTCCGAAGGCTACGAGACTGCCTGTCGCATTGCCATCGAGCATCTCCAAACCATCTCTGACACCATCGAGTTCTCCAAGGAGAACCAAGAGCCACTCATCAAGACTGCCATGACTTGTCTTGGTTCAAAGATGTATGTTTTGTCATTCAATCAATCATTGTGATCACTCACTCACTCACTCATTCAATCACTCCAATCAATCAACTCAATCAATCATTGGTGCGATCATTATAGTGTCAACCGTTTCCATCGTCAAATGTCAGAGATTGCTGTTAGAGCTGTGCTGTCAGTTGCTGACCTCGAGAGAAAGGATGTCAACTTTGAGAATATCAAGCTGGAGGGCAAGGAGGGCGGTACGCTCGAGGACACAAAGTTGATCAATGGTATCATCATTGACAAGGGCTTCAGTCATCCACAGATGCCAACAGAGATCAGAGACGCCAAGATCTGTCTCTTGACCTGTCCATTTGAACCACCCAAGCCAAAGACCAAGGTACACATCAATCAATCAATCAATCACTGGGCACTCCTTCAATCGATCAATGACTCACTCTTTATACTTACTCGCCTTTTAGAACACATTGGAGATCACTAATGCAGAGGACTTCAAGAAGCTTAGCGACCTTGAGAAGAAATACTTTATTGATATGGTTGAGAGAGTCAAGGCCACAGGTGCCAACTTGGTTCTCTGCCAGTGGGGCTTTGATGATGAGGCCAACCACTTGCTCTTGCAGAACGGCCTGCCCGCCGTACGTTGGGTCGGAGGTCTGGACCTCGAGAAGATCGCAATGGCCACTGGTGGCCGCATCGTCGCCAGATTCGAGGATGTCAGCGCCGAGAAGCTCGGTCGCGCCGGCCTCGTCAAGGAGATTGGCTTTGGCACCACCAAGGACACATACCTCAGCATTGAGGAGTGCCCCAACACCAACGCCGTCACGGTCTTTGTGCGCGGTGGCAACAAGATGATCGTCGAGGAGGCCAAGCGAAGCATCCACGACGCTCTGTGCGTCACCCGCAACCTCATCAGAGACAACAGGATCGTCTACGGAGGTGGCAGTGCCGAGATCAGCTGTGGACTCAAGATCGCCTCCAAGGCCGACGAGATCCCCACCATCGAGCAGTACGCCGTTCGTGCCTTTGCCGACGCCCTCGACGCCATCCCCATGGCACTCGCTGAGAACAGTGGACTCGCTCCAATCGAGACCCTTTCAACCATCAAGGCACAACAGTTACAACAAAAGCTGTCCATACTCGGTGTGGATTGTAATCATAGAAATACCAACAGTAAGTACTCTGTCAATCAGTCCCGAGACCATTGACCCTCGACCCTCGATACTAACATTGACCTCTATCTTAACAATATAGACATGAAGGAACAATTTGTATTCGATACACTTCCCGGCAAGACTCAGCAATTCCTTCTGGCGAACCAAGTTGTAAAGATGATCCTCAAGATTGATGACATTCTGAAGATTGCCAACGAAGAAGAATAAACAAACCGCGCGTTGTTTGGTTGTTTGTTTGATCATTCAATCAATCAATCAATCGATTATAACTTATCACACGGGGGAAGAATGTCTGATGGTTGATCAGAACAACTTGAGATATAGAGTTGGAAGATATCCACGTCATTCATGGATGTCACTGACTTGATCTTCTTGGAAATGAATGATGATCCATGGAGCAATCCGGTTATTGATCAAGCCAAGTTCAAAGTGGGGGTCATGATGAAGATCATTCATTGACACGCAATGCAAGCTTTGGCAAAGAGATACTACTTGTTAACAAGGTCAACATCATGTGTTGCACCTCATCTATCTCTAACATCATTATCAACAACAACATACTCTGGTATTAGATCAATATCATCTCGATCATCACCATCATCATCAACATCAACATCAAGGAATCCACAAGAAGAGAAGGATGCAAAAGAGATAAAAGATATACAACATGATATAAAGAGATATAATGATTCATATTATAACAAGTCTGAATCATTAGTAAGTGATTATGAGTATGATATTGTATTTCAGAGATTAGAAGCATTGGAACATTCATTCCATACACGTTATCCACATTCTTCGTTGTTATCTGGCAATAATGCATCACCTTTGGAACAAGTTGGCGCCACACCAGACAAATCAGTGCCACTGGAGAACAAGGTGGCGCATAGAGTCCGCATGCTCAGTCTAAAGAACATTCACACACAAGAGGAGTTGAACGCGTTTGAACAACGATGTCGCGAAGCTTGGGTCAGGGAGGCTGACGCTGGTAACTTTGTGCTCGAACTCAAGTATGATGGCATTGGACTCAGTGTCATCTACAACAAGGGTGTGCTGGCACAAGTGATCACGCGAGGCGATGGCGACCAAGGAGAGGATGTGACGGCCAACGCCCGAGCATTCATCAACACTGGATTGCCGGCACGCATTGACTGCCTTGACGAACATGTTGAGGTCAGAGGCGAGGTCGTGTTGTCCAAGCGTCAACTGTCATTGATCAATGAACAGCGCGTACTCAATGGCGACTACGAGTACAAGAACACTCGAAACGTCGTCTCTGGCATGCTGCGATCAGAGTCCATCTTGAAGGAGGCCAACAAATCAAGCAGTTTGATCAAGTTGGACTTCTTTGCCTATCAACTTGTTGGTGTGTCTGGTGCCTCAGACTCGTCCACCGCCACACACTTTGGAAACCTTGGACTAATGAAGGGACTGGGCTTCCAGCCCGACCCCAACGCGATACAAGCAACTTCATTGAGTGACCCCTCTGTCGTATCATTTATCGACAAATGGAGCAAACAACGAACGGATTACACATGGGACACTGATGGTGTTGTGATCAAAGTCAACAGCATTGCCAATCAAAGAGAGTTAGGCGAAGCCAATCGCGCACCAAGATGGGCCATCGCGTATAAGTTTGGAGCGCCCAGCCACACGACAACTGTGCGCGACATCATCATGCAGGTTGGGCGCTCGGGCAAGATGACGCCTGTTGCAATATTCGACCCGGTGACCATCCACGGTGCATTGATCTCGCGAGCAACAATGAACAATCTGGCATTCGTTCAACGAATGAACATACGTATTGGCGACCAAGTGATTGTTGAACGAGCCGGCGATGTCATACCCAAGATCGTTGGAGTTGCCACCATGGACGCAGAGAGGAAGCAACAAGTGATGTCTGATCAAGAGTTGCGAGACATGCTCAACAAGGGCGAGTCGGGTGGAGCTATCGCTGAGAACATCCTCTGTCCGTGTGGCAGGAAGTCGGCAGTCATTCAGCCCGATGGCCATGTTGATCATTATTGTGTTGACGCATTAGCAGGTCGTTGTGCGGACCAGGTTCGCGCAGGCATCGCTTGGTTCGTAAGCAAGGGCGCCATGGATATATCCGGCGTGGGTCCGGCACAAGTCGACGCACTTCTAGATGCAAACCTTATCGAGGACATTGGAGACCTGTACAACCTTCACGAGAAGCGTGGAGACCTTATGAAGCTCGAAGGATTCAGTGACAAGAAGGTGGACAACATGCTCAAAGCCATTGAGAAGAGCAAGAGCAAACCATTTGCATCGCTTGTATGTGGCCTGGGCATCCCGGGTGTGGGCACATCTCTCAGCAAAGAACTGGCCAAGCGATTCAAATCATTGGATAGTCTGTCTGCTGCACCCTTGTCAGACATTGAAGCAGGACAACTTGGACCCAACATATCCTATGAGATACACAACTTCTTCCATCCAACCGATCCAATCACTCAATCTCGAATCACAAGACTCATTGAGAAGTTGTTGAGATCAGATGTTGCCGGGGTGTCAGTGGATACCACAAGTAACCAAACATCAGGTACATCTACAACGACGACGACGACGACATTGGATACAACACAAGCACTTTTGTTTAGTGGCAAGAATGTAGTTATAAGTGGAACATTCATTAGTGGGACGAGGGATGATGTCAAGACGTTGGTGGAACAAAAGTTGGGAGGCAAAGTTCAGGCTGGTGTACGATCAAATACCAATGTACTACTGATTGGAAAGAATGCCGCAGAGAGTAAGATATCCAAGGCCAAAGAGTTGAATGTCAGCATTGTCAACGAGTCTGATGTCTTACCATTTTTAATAAATAAAGTATAAATAAATGAATTGTGTAGTTGATTGATTAGGTAATATTGTTTATTAACGGAGATAACATCCAAAGGAGGCACCATCAATCCATCTACTCTTACTAACAATAGTAGATCCTCACATCCTGGAGAGAGGTAATATATACAATATTTGAATCCAGATACAAGGTAGGTCAGTCGGTCAGGATTGTCGTAGCATACTCTTGCCTCGCATTTATCGTCTGGCTCACAATTGGTGTACCTGAAGAGAGGGTTGTTAATTACCTCTCCACGTATTTGCAACTGTAGTTCTTTCGATTCTTCTTTGGTGATGTTCAACTTGTAACAAAAGACCGGAAACTCCTTTCCATCACTTCTTAAATTGGCTTGGAATTCACTAGGACATAGTTTCTTTATTGAAGTGAAACTAAACTTTCCAGTGGTGCATAGTTGGAGCTCTCTAGCATTGGTCATAACAACCATTACCAATCCAATAATTAACAAACTAATATTATTTTAGTATTTGATTGTTTTATCATATCTGATATTTAATTATTATTCCTTGATTGATTCAGGTTTTGATTCCTATATTTATACTGGTCACTGCCTGTAATTAAATTAAATGTAAGTTATCGGGATTTTGTTTCCATATGTTGTAAATTTTATTGTGATAATCGATCATCGTTCACATTTCGCACTCACACCTGTTATTATTATTGTGTAATTCTGATCTTTCGGTTTATGTCAGTATATTGAAGATAGAACTAAAAATATATATATATTATTCGTATACTACTCTTGGATGGGTCCAAAAATCGTTCGGTCCAAATATCAAAGGAGTCTACAATTCCAGAGATCCCATTAAATATTTTAGTTGATTTAGTATCTCATCTAATCTAAGTTACTACTAGGAGCCAATTCCATTAACATAAGAAGATGAACAATTTGACCAGGAGAACAGTGTATCATTCATTGGTTCTCTTAGACTAGTCTTCTTTGAAAGAATAAATGAATAAGATATTAATGATTAATAAGTTGTTTTATTCTCAATTAACTGCGGATACATCTAAAAGATGCACCATCTATCCATCGACCATTATTGACCCTGGAATAGGAGGTTCCGTCACATCCAATGGTAACAAAATCATCACAATATTGGAATCCAGATACAAGGTAAGTCAGTCGGTCTGGATTGTCATAACAAACAGCATTTTCAAAACTATTATCAGGCTCACAATTTGTGAAACTAAAGAATGGGTGGACCAATTCCTTTGGAGGGATATGTATAGCTTTCCATTCTTCTTTAGTGATGTTAAATTTGTAACAATGGACTGGGAAATCCCTTCCATCTTTGTTTGGAAAAGTCTCGAATCCACTTGGGCAAGGTTTGTTGATTGAAGTAAATCTAAACTTTCCAGTTGTGCATAGGGAAAGTTCATATCCATTTGTAATAACTACCATTATCATTCCTATAATTAATAATACTATTTTTATATTTAATTGTTTCAACATTCTTGTATTTAATTAATTATTACTATTACTATTTTTATTAATAATTGATACTGGAAGTAATTAATAATATTATTCTAATTTATATCAAGTATCTGAACTTAGTCATGGATAGCTCAAGAATTAGCTCTCGCACACATAATAAATAATAACATGTATCAACTATTCGTACATCCAATTTACAACTGGATAATAATAATATATATATATTTTTTGTACAAAGTTAATTTATTTACATCAATTGACAGTTGATAAAATCAAGTTATATGTGTAAACATCCAGAATTTCATTTGTAGTCCCATAAATTGAATTTGTAGTAGTCTGCCAACCACAATACTTGGGAGGTAGTTACTATCTGTACAGATACGTAATTCATTAATACTTAAGAGATGGAGTCAACTCCATCAACACAGGAAGGTGAACAACAGGACCAGAACAACAGTACAATATATACACCATCAGTATGAATTGTAATATATATATATATATATATATATATATATCTCTCATTCATCAATCAATCACTAACTATGATGTTGAATGAATCGTTACTTTCATTCTAGGATGAAGAACTGAAACAACTAGTGGACTTCTTAGATCCTCTTAAGAATGACCCAACATCATCTGATCGATTCAATGGTATAGTATAGATACAACAGTCGACTAAATGAAGTACATACAGTACTGACTCTCACTCATTCATCCATTGCAGCACTCACCAATCTTACTCAGGTAGAGCTGAGTAATCAGATAAGGAAGCTTGAAGAATGGGCACTAGTACTAGGTGTCAACGAAGGTAAGTACGTTCTGGGTATCACGTGATCAAATGATCATCATGTTGTTGTCCAAGTGCTAATCAATCAAACACATCTCAAAGATATACAACTACAGAAGGGCAAGCTACTTGGTATACTCAATGATCATTGATGACGACGACGTTGTCAAGTAGTAGTAAACCGAATGTAAATAAAGGATATATATAATAAGTATTACAACATCATTGAATGAAGTTAGTTATGTTGGCAGTATGTCCTCCTAGTTTATTGTCCAAAGGTGTTTCATTGGAAGTTTACTCGTCGGAGACCTTTCCTCTCAATCTACCGGTTCTTCTGGCGGCAATGAGACCGACCTTCTTTCCGGCTGGGTCGTCACGCTTGGTGGTCGAGGCGTGACCAATGTGCTGATGGTTACCACCACCGTGTGGATGCTCAACTGGGTTCATAGCAACACCACGCACCTTGGGCCAGTTGTTCTTCTTGACCCTGTACTTGTGGAAGGCACGACCAGCCTTGAGGATTGGCTTGTCGATACGGCCACCACCGGCGACGATTCCGATCATAGCACGGCAAGTGGAAGCGATGTTCTTCTTGGAGCCGGATGGGAGCTTGACACGGGTGACACCCTCGTCAGTGTTGTGCGAGACGACGGTGGCGTAGTTGCCGGAGCAACGGGCGAGCGAACCGCAGTCGCCGACCTTCTCCTCGAGGTTGCAGACGATGGTACCCTCGGGCAGCTTGCCGATTGGGAGCACGTTGCCAATGGTCAGGGTGGCCTTCTTGCCGGCAAACACGAACTGGCCAGTGTACATTCCCTCTGGGGCAATGAACAACTGCTTGTCGTTTCTGAACCTGGTGGTGTCTCTGAAGATGACGCGGGCCAATGGTGCACCTCTGCCTGGGTCGTGGATGATCTCACTGACGACTCCCTTGATGTAACCGTTACGCTCGGCGTAGTCGAGTGCACGGAAGGATGGGGAACCCTTGCGGCCGTGGGTGTGGGCACCGAAGACGGAACCTGATTTACCCTTTCTTTGAGCTATTATGTTGTTGTTGAACATTCATGTTAGTTATCACGTTCTCTCTCTCTCTCTCTCTCTAATCTGTGGTTGTAGTCGTTGATGTTGTCATTGTTGATAGAGTGTATATTGATTGATTTTGTATCTTCATGATCATGGTCATCATCATCATCAACATCGCAAATGAATGTACATCATATCCAAGGTGGCAACAATAATGAACGAATGAATGTTGTATGCTATCGTTAAATATCCTGTTGTGCTTGATGTCTGTTGATGCTGTTGCTGTTGTTCATTCGTTCGTTCATTCATTGATTCATCGTTGCTCGCTCGCTTAATCATTGAAGTATTTCTTTATCTCTCTGAATGATGTGATGATAATGACCATGATAATATTGAAGAATAATCTAATCGCGCATTGTTGTTGTTGCTAATTATGTTGATGTAGTTGATGTTGTTTATGTTGATGCTGATGTTGTTGATGATATTGAGTGAGTTTGGAGCAAGTTGACAATACCTCTGATAATGCGACCCATGTTGACAACTAGTAGGATGGAAGGAGAGTGAACCTTTACTCATGTGCACTCATTCACTTTTGTGCCATCACGCACCTCACTCAGGCCAACTCTGTCGTGTCGCTCTCACTCCTTCATTCATTCTCAAATAAAATTCAAAATTAAATCTTTAAAAATTCACCAACAAATAAATAAAATTAACCCATTTACACAACAACGTAAATTACTTACATAACTTTTACATACCCATACACTTGACAACCATCCAACCATTCTAGAAGGTCATTGCTGACTCGCTCCGTTTCGTTGAGTTGTCAACCAGTTGCTTATGTATATATCTTGGATAGAGGGCTTGCTTATACACAGGTTGACTTCCAGCTTGAAACATATGTAATCAACATTATCATTGATTGATTGAATAAGCGAATGAATACAAATAAGTAGTCCAAGTCCTTGACCAACCCATTCATTGATTGATGGACCAAGGCATTCAAGTTGACTTGAAGACCCAACCCCTTTCAAACACACACAAACACACACAAACACAACCCAGATATTACTTCTTTAAAGATTTTAAATTAATTAACTTTTTGAAAAAGTTAGGATACTATTCCCTACAACTCGACAACACTACTTACTCTATCTATCTATTATCTCTAAATATAAATATACTTACTTACACATATATAATATATAAATACATACATACATATAATAAACAATGAGTCATTCTAGCGGTATCTCAGCATCTAAGGAGTTGATCAACACATTTGGTGATGCCAACCACAACACTGTTCGTTTCGTCAAGGTCTCCATTGTCAACGAAGAGTTGGTTGCTACCAAGGTAGTCAACGCCACTGGCACCTTTGAGCAAGGTAATGAGAATCATTGAATGAATGAACATACAACAACAATGCGACAACAGTACAGGCACAGGAACAAGCATCACTCACTCACTCAAACTCAACATAATTAGACTTGGACACTATCCCAACTTTGTTGGAGAAGGATCATCCATGTTATATTCTTGCCAAGACTGACGAGAAGAGCATTGAGCTCAGTGGAAACCAATGGGTATTCATGTTCTACGTGCCAGACATTGCAAAGGTCAAGGAGAAGATGACCTACGCCTCCACCAGAGCCAACCTCAAGAAGGAGTTGGGTTCATCTCACTTTGTCGATGAGGTCTATTCCTCAGCTCAAGTATGTTAGACACATGCGACCTGGGCACATGACCCTGACCTGACTCTTTACTCCTCACTCACACTCGATCAATCAATCAAAGAATGACTTCACCAAGAGAGGTTACCAGGCTCATAGAACTCATCAGGAGTCATCGGCTCCATTGACTTTGGAGGAGCAACAGAAGGCTGATGAGCGTGAGGGTGGATTGTTTGTTGGAGGTGGCGGTATGTACGTGCATGGCGTCTCTTTCCCAGTTGAGGACCGTGCGATGTCTGCCATCAACGACTTCCTCGCCAGCAAAGCCAACTATGTGCAGTTGGCCATCAACATTGCCGACGAGAAGATCGTCCACTCGACCTCTGGCAACGTCGACGCCGACGACCTCTCATCCAAGGTGCCAGGCGACGAGCCCCGCTTCCACTTCTTCAGATACACCCACAACCACGAGGGCGAGCAGCTCGACTCGATCATCTTTGTCTTCTCGTGCCCGGACGGATCGGCCGGCACCAAGAGTGCGCCAGTGCGTCAGAGAATGCTCTACTCCTCCAGCAAGGCCAACGTCGAGTCGCTGGTCACCAAGCACAGCGTCAAGGTGGACCTCAAGCTCGAGATCAACAATGGCACCGAGCTGACCAAGAGCATCATCGACAATGAGCTTCACCCACAAAAGGCTGAGGAGAAGAAGGCATTCTCCAAGCCAACTCGTCCAGGTGCTGGTGCCCGTAAGCTCATCAAGTAAGCTTGCTTGCTTGCTTGCTTGCTTGCTTTGTGTGGATCGACAATCACTGGAGTTGCTATGCAACCAATCAATCAATCAATCAATCAATCATGTTATACTATCAACTTAAGCCCAGATATATTCAACAATGGAGCGTTTCCAATCACCGCCAACATGCAGTTTGGCCATGTCCCATCCATCATGTAGCATTATGAATTGAATACAGTCCTATTACTACCTACTTATGTATTTAATTACACCAACTTTATCTTTAGACTACAGTAGTCCCTATCCTTATTATTATTATCCTTATTATTGAGCAGCATCACCTTTGGTCTGCAATGTCAGACCATGTAATGTTGGTATAACATCCTTCAATATATCGTTGACCTGTCTATGTTGCTTCAGTATCGACTTGTCGTTGAACTCCTTTGATACGATCTCTATCCTATACATTGATCCACAACCACCTTGTATGATTGATTGAATGAAGTATGTAAGTAACTCAATCAATCAATCAATGAATGAATGATGAGTAGCATCAATCAACAACATACCAGACATATCGATTACATTGAGTACTGATGGCTTTAGTTGATCGGAGAGGAGTGAGCGTATCTTGTCACCCTTTGGGTCAGCAGCAGTTGAGAACTGTCTCATATTCAATCGTTGAACGATTGATGAAGTCCTTGATATACTCTGTAATAATGATCTTTGCATTCTCTCTATCTGTATCTATATCTATATATCTATTCGTTTGTAACTTTTGAGAAAGGCCTTGCAAGTCCTTCTTGAGCCTGGTACCCTCATTCACTCATTCAATTCACATCACTTCACTTGACTAGCTCCGATGTTTGATTGATTAATGGTCAATGGATTCATCCCAATGATTAATGCATTTGTTCATTCTTTGTCATAAGACATCATCAATCACGTCATAGTTAGTTACAATGAAGAGTGACATTTAATGACACTCGCGTTATTCTCATGTGACAATTTTTGGTGTCAGTTGTTGATCAAACCTGATAATTATCCAGGACTATTAATGACATGTTTGATTGACATCATAGAGTGTTGTAATAATAATAATACATGAATCTAATGTTTATAACCGAATCTTTGATGTTAGTGCTGTGAAGCCCCAATAATCAAACCACCAATCAATCAAATATCTTTGTTAGATCACTAGTCTACACACAACCAGTCGATCAATCAATCAATCAAACAGTCAAACACAATACAAATACACACACTCTAAAAAAGAGATATATATATATATATTACAAATCATGGAGAAGAAACAATTCTCCAGTGTTCTGGCATATTGGTCTGTCAAGGATAAGACTCCAGCAACTGGAGCACCTCCTCCTGCTCAGCCTACATCTGTACAATCAAAGAAGCCACAGGCAAGACCCACTTCAAAGCCTCAACCTTCACCAGAGGTTCCGGCCTCATCACCTGTCGTTCCAGTTGCCCAAGTTCAAGAAGTTGCTCCTCAGGTCCAAGTGTCATCGACCACAACCACGACCACTACCAAGACAACTGCCCCACATGCCCCAGCCCCAGCACAAGCCCAAGCTCAGCCCCAGCCGGTCTCTGTGACTGGCTACAGTAATGTTCAGTTCCAGGATGAGCCACACATTGTGCCTGATCATTCCAGACCAGTTGGTGATGACTCTAGTAATGATGGGAGCAACAACACGGCTGCTGCTACTTCTGGTTACCTTAATGCTGGAGAAGTGACACGTAGCCTCGCCACGCCATCATACTACGACTCTTCATTGTCACTTGATCAACCTACCTCTGCCTACTCAATCATGCCAATGAGCAGTGGCGCACCTACACCCACAACAACATCATCGTCATCAAAGGTCTACGACTCAACTGATACTGCTTATAGTATAATCAATGAGGGCGAGTTGACCAACTCATCGCTCAATCAATCATCTACATACTCTGCCTACTCGCGCAATGCATTCACCGATTCATACTCTGTTGCCTATGCCCAGGCCAGCCGCGACCATGACTCAACCTTTGATGACGACGACGAAGACGAAGACGAAGATCAACTCATTCGCGAGCGCAGTCTACTCAAAAGTCGAGAGGTCAAGGATCATGTAAGTCCAATCAATCATTCACTGGAATCATTCCAATCACTCACATCAATCAATCATCACTCGATCAATCAAACATAGGGAAGGAACTGGAATAGGGAGTTCCAGGACATTTTGAACTTGCCGCCATCTAATGAGAAGTTCCAACAAATGACATTCATGGCCATTGACTTTGTAAAGGCAGCAGAGACTTATGGCAAGATCATCATTAAGGAGATGTTTATGAATGATGCGCTCAAGACTATCAAGCCGATCAATATTGGTGGTGTGGCAGGTGGTGCCAAGTACATCTGTCAGAACATCCTCTTCAAGTTTGCCTACGATCAAAAGATCCTTGACACCTATCTCTACGGTGGCAAGGTACCCTCTGACTATGGTGCATCCAAGGCTGCTGGTAATGAGTTGCGAGGGTAAGTAGTGTGTGTGCGCGCGTGGCGTGGAATGGCATGGTATCATCGCGCGACAGTAGCTCACTCAATCAAACATAGACTATCATACTTCTTCCAGAACATCTTGGACAATAGTTTGGGTCATAGGATGCATGTGCCATTGATGTGCATCATTGATTACCTTGGATACAGATTGTAAGTTTTGTTGGACCACTGGGATAGTTCCAGCCTCGGCCTCAACCCCCAGCCCATCTCATCTCACACATCAATCAATCAATCAATCCATCTAACACATAGGATCGCTATATCATTGTTACCAATCAAGAAGGAGACATTGGTGTATGGTAGCTCGGATGGTGGAAACACGGTACATGATGATGTGGAGGAGGTTAATGAAATGATGGAACAGGTTGGCAAAAAGATGAACTTGAGGGGCCATCTGGCTGGTTTGAATCCAAAATATATCTATGGTCCAGGCGACTTTGAGATCCATCAGTCCGAGGACAACGATTTCTACGCACTGGACTTTGGTCGCTTGCTCCCGCCCCAAGCATACTTTGACCACAATGGCCACGCAATCGCACATCGCGACGTCTTCTTCAAGCTCCTGCGACCAGAGTTTGTCCGCAACTATGAGAAGCCATTGTCAAGCGACGCGTTCACAGGCTGGGGCACTGAGGACCCCAAACAAGACGTCTACAACCAGGACATCTCAGACGCAACAAGCCATCTGTTTGACATTGTCATACGTCAGGCGGCAACAGAGCTCGAGTCATTGGCCAAGAGTGATTATTACAAGGTCGAGATGGAGCTGGTTCGCTTCGTCCACACACATGGTATCAACCTGCGACACCTTGGCCGCCTGCGTAGCATGATTGATTCGAGCAACACACAGCTGCGAGAGCACATCCTGAACGAGATGGTGGTGCGCGTTCTCAAGGGCAAGATCAAGGACGAGCTGCGCGTCGGACTCAGCTCCGAGGGCTACTTCATCGGCTCTGAGGAGAAGTGCATCGAGATCATCATCACTTTCATGAACAAGGTGTTCAATGTGACGCGTTTCACGACACAGCTCGAGTTCTGGACAGTGCAGATCAAGGGTCTGCTCGTGGACAAGTATGGCAGCGAGTGCGGTCTGACCCTGGAGGAGCTGGACGCCAACTACGACCTGTTCAAGTCGATCTCTTTGTCGCGTGTCATCACCCGACTCCAGGAGAAGACAGGCATCACATTCAGCGAGCGAATCAAGCGATATCTCGAGAAGAACCCTGTGAACATCTACAACAAGGCAATGTTCCCCAAGATGCTCTACACGGACGTACTTGGTGTTAACCCGGTCGTCAAGCACAGCAACATGGTGGCGAGATCCGAGGGTATTTCGATGTACATGAAGGCGCTCGAGGCGATCTACACCAACTCTGTGTCGATCGACCGCCCGCCACGCGCGCCCGAGTACCTGTACTTCACGACGCAGCACGACGAGGAGCTGTCGCTGCTCGAGATGTGCAAGGAGAAGCTGGAGACAGCATCGCGCACGTCTACCACTGACGCCAGTCTCTACCATCTCCTGGGCATGGTCGACCTCGAGATCATCAAGCTCACCAGCACGGTCAATCGTCCATCCGCGATGATGGCCATCAAGAACCTGTTGCAATCGCTCAGCTACCTAGAGTCGGCTGGTGTGCTCGTCACATTGGCTACCGTGCACGATCTGCGCGGAGACTACAAGGCCGCCCAAACATACTTGGATCGCATCAACAAGTTGGACCCGGCCACCGCCGTGCCCGACCTCTTTGAGAGCGCCACAACACATGCTCCATACTATTGTTTGAGCGGCATCAAGCTGGTCGTGGAGTACACCGTCACATCCCTCCACCAACTACTACACCTGGTCGCCCTGCTCGAGGCCCTGCCCCAGGACCATCCCGTGGCCAACGAATACCTGCTCAAAGCATACAAGGTCCTGGCCGTGGTCGTGATGCGTGTCATCTCGCAGACAGACTACTCATACATTGATCGCACGACAGCCATGGTCAAGAGCCTCACAGGAATCAAGGAGATGAACTACAACGAAGAATGCATGGCATACTTTGGCCCGATCATTGAGCGCGGCATGCAGCGCTACCCTTCATTCATGGACGACATCATACAGAGCACGATCGATCATGTTCAGCACTCGGTGCCTCTCGCATCCTACCTGCGCTACGGCCCCAACATGCCGGCGGTCAGTGCGCGCTTTGTGGAGCAGCTACGTCGCCACCCATCGTGCCTGCGCCTGCAGTCTGACGACCACAAGGACTTGATCTTCCGCAACAAGGACACGATGAAGATGTTGTTGAGCGTGGGCGTCGAGTATGATTACCTGCAGATTCGTCATCTGGACCATATTGAGGCGTGCCTCGACCTGCTGCCACTCCAGCAACATCTGACCGAGTTGACGATCGACTTGCTCTACATCAAGGATGAGTCACTGCACATGTTAGAAGCGGTCTTCCGCTGCCTCACACCAACGCTCGAGAAGCTACAGATGACGCGACTCAATGACACTACCAAACGCGCCAAGCTGCCCGCCGGTCTCAGCGTGCCCAACTTGCGCACAGTCATACTCAAGGAGCCACAATGGTCTGATGAGCTGATGATTGAGTTTGCCAAGTTGATCGCCCCATCGGTCGAGGACCTCACACTAGAGACCGTCCCCAACCCCGTACTCTACACCACATGGCTGAACCAGTTCACGCGACTCAAGAAGTTGGACGTCAGCTACTTCAACGAAGTGTTCAAGGTGGAGTACCTGCCTACATCGCTCACTCATATCAACTGGGGTTTGACGGCCGACATCCCTGAGCGAGAGTACTTTGTCGATCAACTGTTTGCACGCTGTCCTTCGCTCGTGAGCCTGATTGGCGGAAGCATGGACTCGCAGTACGCCAAGGAGTTGAAACAGCTCAAGAAACATCCGATACGCGAGTTGTACATTAATACTAATCGCGCCAACTTGACCACGCACGAGATGCACTTGGACACCGAGGTGTGGGCGGGCAGCCTCGAGACGCTGCGTCTGGTCATCAACACATACGGCCAATTCGATCACTATCCTCAGATGCTCAGCGCGTTCACCAACTTGCGCGATCTCAACATGGAAATTGGATATGTGGACGACTTCATATTGGAGGTGGTCACGAAGAACTTGCTGCAGCTCGAGTCGCTGGACGTCTCGTCATGTCGCAATGTCAAGCTGCTGCCACAGACGCCACACACTCGTCTTCGTCGCCTGGTCCTCTCCCAAATGTCCAGTCCACCAGCCAACTATGAGAACCTGGGACTGATGTTCCCCAACCTCTTGGAGTTGATCATCATGAACTCGTACGACTTTAACGATATGTGTCTTCGCAAGCTGTTGGTCAATGTTCATGGGTTGTCGATGTTCCAGCTCCTGGGCGGATCCAACATCACGGACAGTGGCGTGATCTCGCTGTGCACATCGTCCAACACGCAGACACTTGTGGAGATAGCACTCAACAGTCAACACATTGGCGATTCATCGTTCATCAAGGTTGCCGAATCATGTCCCAAGCTACGCACATTCAAGCGCACAGTCCCACTGACGTCCTACAAGTCAGCGCACTACTATGCGGCCAGATATCCACAGGTCTACAACCACATCAGTTCTACAATGTATTAATTAATTATTAAGATACAGGATCATTTAAATAAATTTGGAAAATCATACCTGATCAATTGATTGATTGTCGGTTGGGGGTTGGGGCCTGCCTCTTCCAAATATAGAATGGTTGTGAAAGGTCACAATTTAGAGATGAAAATCGTGATCGGTCATATGTTAATTATTATCAACCTCTCAAACATTTAATTACTATATCTCTCTCATATTTGAATTGAAAGATAGAGAGAAGTAATAAATAGATAGAGGAAGGAGTATAAGATGGAGCGTAAACAGTTTGCAAGTTTGTTCGCTTACTGGACTGTTAAAGAGAAGTCCAGTGCTGACAATGCTCCAACAACATCAACATCATCAACACAATCAAATAGAAATGTTGCCTCGCCAACAGTACCAGGTCAGAGAAGACAACAATACCAACCTCAACAGCCTGCTCAGCAACAACAACAACAAGTTCAGCCGAAGCCTCAAGCTCAAGATCAACATATAGCAGAGGAAGTGCATGCTGCCGTGATACCTCAGACCGTTGCCCAGCCCCCACAAGTCGCTCAACAGGAGGCAGAACAAAATGTTGGTGTCAGTGCCTATGTCAATGTTGTTGCTGCTCCGGCAGCCGCGGTTGCATCAAGAGAGGTACCACCACAACAACACGAACATCAACAACATCTGTTGAGACCAGTTGGCGATGACTCGAGCAATGATGGAAGCAACCATAGTACCAACTCACATATTTCCTACGTGAATGTGTCGGCATCTGGCTATGACACTCTGTCTGAACACGAACACGTCGATAGGATTAGGTTCAGCGACACCATATCCTACCTGAGCGAGGGCTCAATCTACCAACCAATCTCTGCCTACTCCATCATGCCAATGAGTTGTGGCTCGCCCCACACCACCCAGAGCAGCGCTCCATCATCATTGAATGCCAGCGCTGGTGGCTACACCAACTTTGTTGGCGGGTCACCTGTTGCCACAGCCACAGACGAGGCCTCGCTGAAGTACTCCACATATTCATCATACTCACAGATGTCGTCCAATGACTCGGAGGCAGGATCATACTCATCATACACTCAACATCAACTCAACTATGGATACCAAAAGACACTCACTGATGACGAGTCTGGAAGCTCCAAGGAGTCGTTGGAGCGCGAGAAGAATCTTTTGAAAAGTCGTGAGGCCAAGGATAATGGAAGGAATTGGAATGGCGAGTTCCAGGACATTTTGAAGTTGCCCGCGTCCACTGCCAAGTTTGATGAGTTGACTTTCATGGCGATGGACTTTGTAAAGACGGCCGAGACCTATGGAAACATCATCATCAAGGAGATGTTCATGCCCAACCATCTCAAAACAATCAAACCGATCAACATTGGTGGTGTGGCCGGTGGCGCCAAGTACATCTGTCAGAACATCCTCTTCAAGTTTGCCTACGATCAAAAGATTGGCGAGTCCTACCTCTACGGTGGCAAGGTACCCTCTGACTATGGCGCGTCCAAGGCTGCTGGTAATGAGTTGCGAGGGTAAGTATCGTGCGTGCTGGTGTCATTTGATCACATACTCACTCACTCAATCAATCAGTCTTTCCTACTTCTTCCAGAACGTGATGGATCATGACTTTGGCCAGATCAATGTGCCATTGATGTGTTTGATCGATAGTTATGGATACAGATTGTAAGTGATCATTTGGTTGGAATGATCCCTTCCCCATCCACACTTGACAATCACGTGCTAACACTGGTACACAAACAGGATCGCAATATCAGTGCTGCCAATCAAGAAGGATACATTGATTTATGGTAGTTCTGATGGTGGAAATACGATGCATAATGATGTTGATGAGGTTAATGAGATGATGGAGAAGGTTTGCAAGAAGATGAACTTGAAGGGTCATCTGGCAGGCCTCGACCCCAAGTACATCTATGGTCCAGGTGACTTTGAAATCCATCAGTCACCCGAGGACAACGCATACTATGCACTTGACTTTGGCCGTCTACTCCCGCCCCAAGCATACTTTGACAGCAATGGACATGCCATCGCTCACCGCGATGTTTTCTTCAAACTGCTGCGACCAGAGCTTGTCCGCACATTTGATCGCCCTCTATCCAGTGACGCATTCACAGGCTGGGGTTCAGAGGACCCCAAGCAAGAGCAACATAATGAGGACATCATCGAGGCTACGAGTCATCTATTCGACATTGTGATCAGACAGGCGGCAACAGAGCTTGAGTCGCTGGCCAAGCAGGAGTTGTTCAAAGACACCTTTGATATTGGACCCTTTGTTCACAAGTTTGGAATCAATCTGCGACATCTTGGCCGGCTGCGCAGTATGATTGATAGCAGCAACACAAAGGTGCGACGACTCATACTCAATGAGATGGTGGTGCGCGTGCTCAAGAGCGCCATAAAGGACGAGCTGCGACTCAAACTCAGCGTGAAGGGACATTACGTAGGTTCAGAGAAGAAGCGCTTCGATACCATCGTCAACTTTATGAACAGAATGTTCAACAACGAGGACAAGCTGGCCCCACTCAAAGACTTTTGGACCGTGCAGATCAAGTTGATGCTAGGCGAGAAGTATGGCGCGACCACCTGTGGTCTGACCAGCGAGGAGATGCACGCCAACTACGATCTGTTCTTCTCAATCTCGCTGCCACTGCTCATCCAGCGTCTGCAGAAGAAGACTGGCATCAAGTTCTCCAAACGTATTCAGGAGCACTTTGACACGATCGAGAAGTCCACGCAGACCAACCTCAAGCCCATAACATTCCCCGTGATGTTCTACGTCGACGTCAAGTCGGTGAGCTCTGTGGTCAAGCACAGCAACCTGGTGGCAAGATCCGAGGGCATTTCGCTGTACATGAAGGCGCTGGACATGATCTACGCCAACATGGTCCTCTACGGCAAGCCACTCAAAGAGCCAGACTTCGCACGATTCAATCATGAGACGAACGAGGAGAGCCAGCTGCTCAAGAAGAGCAAGAAGAAGCTGGAGAAGGCATCTCGCTCGTCCACGACCGACGCCAACCTCAACCGCCTGCTTGGCACACTGGAGATCGAGATCTGGAAGCTGGAGAAGTCAACAAGCTATGTGGTCGACCTCGCAATCAAGTACCTCGAGCAATCATTGGCCTACGCTGAGACGGCTGAGGTCCTCATCAGTCTGGGCACGGTCTACGACCTCAAGGACGAATGGGCAAAGGCCACCGCATACTATGAGCGACTCAAGGTCCTCGACCCTGCACTGGCCGTTCCAACTTTGTTTGAGAGCGCAGCAACATTCGCGCCATACTATTCAGTGTGTGATTCAAACAAGCGATGGAAGTATGCCAACACTTCAGTTCATCAACTGATCATGGCCCTGTCCATCTTGGACATGCACCCGACCGACAATGCCACGGTCGTGGAGTACATGCCAAAGTGCTACAAGGTGTTGATCGTCGCACTGATGAAGTGCTTCTCGCTCACGGACAACAAGTACTACCAGGACTTCCAATTGGTCATTGCCACATGCAAGATCGAGACGCCACTCTACGAGTACATTGGACACTCAATCATTGAGCGCGCTCTTCAAAAGTACCCAACTCTACTGGATGACATCCTGCATGACATGGTCACACTGATCAGGACGACCATGCCATTCATATGTTTAATGCGATTCGCTCCATTCACTCCGACCTTTGTCACCAAGTTCTTGGACGCGATCAAGGACAACCCTTCAGTACTGGACAGTTTGAGCACAGAGCACTACGAGATCATGAACAGGGAGAAGCTGCTGATGAAGAACGTGCTCTCGCTTGGACATCAGTTCAGTTGTCTAAAGTTGCGCGAGTATAATGATGTGCTCAAGGACGCCATTGCCTTGCTCCCGATGCAGACTCATCTACAGTCATTGTCCGTTCATTCGATGATCATGTATGAGCACAACTCATACTACTTGAGCAATGTTGCCAAGTGCTTCACCAACACGCTGGTCACACTGGATCTATGTGATGTTAAGGACAACACATTGGAGGTTGATCTGCCCCCTGGCACGCTTCTTCCCAGCCTCAAGAGCTTCACGATCAGAACATGCATGTTCTCGCAAGGCTTCCTCGTGCATCTATTGCAATCATTCGCTGGCAACCTTGAAGAGATGACGTTTGAGGGCGAGCCACTCAATGAGCAAACATCATTGTTGCGCCAGTTCACCAAACTCAAGCATCTGGAGGCCTGTGGATATGTCTATGGATTCAAGTTTGATCATCTGCCCCCAACACTCACCAGTCTTGATTGGTGCATGACTATTGAGCAGAACGAGGATGAGATGGATTTGCCGATTGTCGAACCATTGCTGCGTCAGTGTCCTGGTCTTACACACTTGGGTACCAACGGCATGGACTGTCAATGGAACAAGGAGATGGCTTTGCTCAAGAAGCACCCGCTCAAGACTATAAGGATACTTGCCAATCGACAGACATTTGCTGAACAACGGATGGATCAAGGCTTGGATGTGTGGGCCACCAGCTTGGAGTACCTCAAGATCTGCCTCAACCAATATGGTGACTTTGATCGCTTCGCACAAACACTCTCGGCACTTCGCAACTTACGCAAGTTGGACTGTGAGTTGTATTACTTTGACGATGACATGCTCACGGCATTCATTGACAATCTAAAGTGTTTGGAGTACATGGACACGGGCACGGCGGCACAGCTCCAATTACGTCCACAGCCCAACCCATTTGAATGTCTCCGCACACTCAAGATGCTCAAGCTCAAGGTCATCCCCTCCAACTACGAACAGATGGGACTCATCTTCCCCAACCTCATCAACCTGAGTGTGCGAAGCTCATTTGGCTTCAATGATCAATGCTTCCGCAATCTGATCTCCAACTTTTCAAAGCTGGAGAGTCTGATGTTTGACTTCTCAGCAGACATCACTGACAATGGATTCATGTCGCTGTTCACCTCGCCATGTCTAAAGACACTTCGAACGATCAACATTGGACGAGCGACATCTGATTCGTCTGCTGTGCGACTGGCCTTGATGTGTCCAACTCTGGAGAGCATCAGACTGTACAACACCAAGTTCCTATGTATCAAGACTCATCAGTTCTTTGCAGCCAGGTTCCCTCATATTAGGATTGAGCCAGCACTGGTGGAGTAGTAGTAGTGTAAATTGAACTTTTATTATAAGTTAAGAGTATAAATATAAATATTAATATTAATTATTTAACAGATGTTAATGTTGGCGTTGATGCAGGCATCGATGTTGGCGCAACCGGACAAGTTGATGTGGACGTTGACATCAACATTTACGTGGATGTCTGGGAGACATGGACCGCAACCTCCAAACAGACCAGCACTTCTGTTGGCACCCTGCATGGCACCACCGTACGATCCACCGGCAACTGATGACTTGGACATTCCCATCGACGAAGCGGATGGGGTAAGGTTCTTCATGGCAGCTGTGAAAAGGTAGGATTAATATTGTGACTTTAAAAAATAATATTATTATTGTACTTATACTTACCAATAAGAGTCATTCTTGATTATTTGTTAGGTATTTAGATAATTAAATTGATTTGATTTGATGATATTAAACATTCATTAATTGATGGCATTTATACTTGTCCATTTGTGTAAATTCCATTTGCTCATGTACTCAATTTGGAGAAGATGTAGACGATGTCAAATTCAATCATTTTCAAGGTAGATCAATGATTTACTTCTTATGGATAATCATAAATGATATAAAATAATTCACACCCTTGTACATACTTAAAACAACCAATCAATGTTAAGAGATAGATAGAGTTAATTATAAGTTTGAAATTGAAGTGATAAGTGTGTTGGAGTAGATGGGTGGATTGTGTGTTTGAAGGGATAAGATTGAATGATTGAAATTGAGTAGATACTCTGATGAGATAATTGATCAATTATCTAGAGGGAAGTAAGTGAAGTGATTGAAAGTGATGATGTGTGTGGAGGGGTAAAACACAGATAATCCTTGAAATTGATTGAACAAGTGATCGACAATGTAAACTACTCTTTATCCATTTAAATTTATACACTTATCAATTTAATGTTAAACTTTAAAGGTTTAGAATGTCCACCATCAATATAAATAATGAACTTGGATCAATTAATTTATCATCATCAAATCAAATCAAATAATATCTACTACCTTATTATCTAATAATACTAAATACCTAATTCAAAAATGACTCTTATTGGTATGTTTGCTCTTGACTTGACATTGATCCATTGAATAATAGTTTACTAACCATTAATTTTATATAGCTGCCATGAAGAACCTTACCCCATCCGCCTCATCGATGGGAATGTCCAAGTCATCAGTTGCCGGTGGATCGTACGGTGGTGCCATGCAGGGTGCCAACAGAAGTGCTGGTCTGTTTGGAGGTTGCGGTCCATGTCTCCCAGACATCCACGTCAATGTTGATGTCAACGTCCACATCAACTTGTCCGGTTGCACAAACATCGATGCATGCATCAACGCCAACATTAACATCTGTTAATCATTTATATATTAATATAATAAACTAACTTATTTAAAGTTCATTAATCAATAACAACAATCACTATGATGTCTAGTCGTCGTCAGAGTCAATATCGAACTGTTGTTTATGATTGATGATGATGGATTGTTGGAATTCTTGATGATGAACATATTACATATCCTCGTCTTCAGGCCCTAGCGCCATTGTGAATTGGGTCGCATTGGAGAGTGACCTCCTTCGATCCTGTATCCTTGAGAATAGAGGCTTGAGTGGGAGTGGATGGAGGAGATGAGGGTACTGTGGCTGAACCCATCCACCTGTGGACTTGATCGTTGGATTGGGAGGAGGTGACGTTGGTGTATTCTGAGCAGAGCTATTGTTGTTGGTGGTGGTAACGCCGACCATGTTATCTTGTTGTTGTCTGGCGATTGATGTAAAGCTGTATAATGGTGATGGTGAGATGGTCATTGGTGAATGAAGGTTGCTACGAGACAGTGCGCCAGGTGTAGATGGCGTGGCGGGATTGGATGAGAGTGGCGGAGTGGTTGTTTGGTGTCTGCTCAGTGATGGCGAAGGTAGCAGACCACTGCCACTGCCACTATTGTTGCTGGTCAGACTGTTGGCCAGACTGTTGTTGAAACTGCCATTGTTGAAACTGCCACCATTCTTCACACTGTTGCTGTTGATCAGATGGAAGAGGTCTGGCGCACTATACGAGAAACCTTGGAATGCCATCTGATCAGACTCTGACAGGTTGCTATTATAAGTGTTTGGGTTGACTGGAAGTGAATGAATTGTACAAAGTGGATCAAAGTATGAGAGATCCAGTGGTCCATTCTGTTTCAAGGTTGATTGATTGGCAGGAGTGTGAGTCCTTGGTCATGGCAGAGAGGGCGAGGATGATACTTACGAGGTGAGGCTTGAATGGTGGGTCGATCTCTTTGTTTAGGACTTTGGTCCAGTTGAGTGATCTGAAGAATGGATGTGATTTGATCTCCTCGACATCAGACTCACCAGAGCCCAATCGTTTGGTTGGATCTCTGTTCAAGAGCATTGATATCAAACTTGATGCATTCTTTGAGATCCCTGCAGGGAACTTGAGTTGTGCGGCAACAATGAGTTTGGTCATCTCATGTGGATCCTCTGAATAGAATGGTGGCTATTGTTGATTATGGTGTGGATGTCAGATTAGTGCGTGATTGGATTGATTGATTGATCAAACGTATAAACATACCAAACCAACAATCATTTCATAGAGTAATGTACCAAGTGCCCACCAATCTACTGATCGACCATAGCCAGTGCCAGTGATGGTCTCGGGTGCCATGTACTCGGGTGAGCCACACATGGTGTAGGTGGGCACGCCCTCTTTGGCACCCTCCTTGCAAAGGCCAAAGTCGACGAGACAGAGGTTGCCGTCAAGGTCCATCAGAAGGTTCTCCAACTTGAGGTCGCGATAGATCACGCCATGTTCGTGCAGGAAGCCAATGGCCAGCATGATCTGGGCAATGTAGAAGCGTGCAGTGTCCTCGCTGAATGTCTCGCGCTCATTGATGTGATAGAATAGCTCGCCGCCACCAATATACTCGAGCACCATGCACAGGCTGTCCTGTGTCTGGAACGAGTACTTTAGGCCCACGATGAATGGATGGTAGTACTTTTTGAGTAGTTCTCGCTCAGTGAATGTATGCTGCACGGCGTTCAAGTCCAGGCACTTCTCCTTCTTGACCACCTTCATCGCGTACAATCTACCCGTGTCCACCTTCTTCACCAAGTTCACATGTCCAAAGCCACCCTTGCCAATCATCTTCAACACGAGGAAGTCGTCCAATGTGACCTTGGACTATATTGATTGATTGATTGAGTGTTAGTTTGTGAATGATTGATTGATTGAGTGAATGAGGAGTGATGGATACACACGTTGGAGTCTGTGTAGCTCATCTTAAGATGAACGGAGCATGATGATTGACCACCTGTTAGAGGATACCACTTGTCGATAAAGTGCGTCTGGAACTCAGAGTATGGGATGGTGAGTCGTCCAATCAATTTCCCGCTATTACTATTATTAAATAGTATAGTTTGAATGCTTTGATGTTTGTGTGGAGTATCGATTGACATTGACATTGAATCATTTCCATTTCCATTGACGTTGACATTGGCATCACCAGCAATCATTGATTGAGATGGTTGAGGTGATGAAGATGGTGATGGACTACTTGTTTGCCATATTGATAATGTCAACTCTGCAGTTGATGATGTTACATCACTAAACATGACTAAGTTAGTCACTCATTCAATCAATGTAATCTATCAAACTTACAAAGTGTAACCTTCATTCCATTCGATGTTTGTGTTTGGCTGTACAGTGATTGAGGTTGTTTGAATTGATTGTTTCTCTAGAGTTGAGAGACAGTATATCTTTGCTGCTTCCTCTTGTGTCTTGAGTCCCCTTATACTCTTGATCGAGAAGAATAGCTGTGCAGGATGTTCAAGTAAAGTTGGTGACCATTCTACCTTTTGTTTAACTACAATGTTTACGAATATTAGTATGAATATCAATATGAGTATGAGTATTCATTCAATCATTCAATAATTACCTGATCTTTGATATATTGAGTTGACCATTCAGTGAACAACTAATTATATTTAATAATAATGTTAATGTATATATATATTTACAGGGGATAAAGTAATGTTTATATTTTAAAAATACAACAACAACAAATAAAGATAGATAGTTTGATTAAATAATGTAATGTAAATGTAATATATTATAAGATATCTGTACAAGAGGTAAGAGAGTGAAAGGTAAACAATGATGAATAGTTTGATCCCCACCTTGTCCCCTGCTCCAAAGCTTCACAAATTCAAAAAAGTGATCGAATGTGTGTGAGTTGCGCAACACTTCTCACTTTGGGCGGTTGGCGCCTTTGGGGTCAAGTCGACTCACTCACCCACGCCACTGTGTTATTTGATTGTTGGGGCTTAGCACTGATCTGTCAATCACTGATTCAGATCTAAGTCGGTCACATATTGGTTGGGCATAAGTGTGTGTGGTAGGTGTGTATGGTTGTAGAATGTTCTCCAAACATTTCCAAATTTATCCTTTCCTTCATTCGTCATTACTCTTTGATCGTATTATGTATCGATGTTGTTTTCCTTCCATGTTTATTTCTTGGACTTAACTGGACCTTTAGACTTTGTTGCTGCTGGTGCCTTCTTGAGGTTCTTGAGATTGTTTGGATTCCTAATGCTGTCCAACAATGCTCCCCTACCCTCTACTTTGGGTGCTCCTGGTTAGATTGATTGATTGATTGATTGAGTATGAGTGAAGAGTTAGTGAATGAATGCATTATGTGTATGTATCCTGATAAGTTAGTTAGTTACCTTTGATTGCTGGAGGAGGAGGTGGACCAGGTGGAGGTGGTGGACCAGGTGGTGCGGGAGGCGGAGCAGGTGGAGGAGTGGGCGGAGTGACAATGGGTGATGTCAATGTACCTCTGCTGTTGTTGTTGGTGATGCTGTTGAGGTTGCCGCTACTGCCGCCATTGGCCTGACTAGAGGTCAGATCTGGCGAGGATGGTTGCTTGGACATTGACTTCAAAAGATTTGTGGAGGATGTTGAAGCTGCGGGCCTTGTCGGTGGCGTCTGATGCGATTCGAGCATCGATGTCGACGATGTCTGCTTCTTGAGCATCGTAGCTCGTGGTGACAACATTGCCTCCAATCGATTGGCATTGTCCTTCACAAACGCTGCCTGTGACTTCTTCAGCTTGACCTCTGGCGCTGCTTCCGCAACCTTCACCTGTGCAAAGTATTGATGTTTGATAAGCTCCTCCAATGATATTGTCTTTGTTGTTGATGTTGTTGTTTGATCAGTTGTCGTTGTTGATGTTGTTGTCTTTGGTTGTTCGGGGAAGATGAGCTTGAGCACCTCCATCGCGCTGTCTGGGATGACTGACGCAAACATGCTCAGCTGGAGATCTTGCATGGGCACGCCAACGATGCTCTCAAACATCACAAAGCCAAAGCAGAGCACCTCGGGGTTCTCCTTGCCCTGGATCATGTCGTGGTAGAGGGGCTTCAGGCCCAACAGTGTGTTCTCAATATCGGTCAGATAGCATGTGTCATTGTTCATAATGACGTTGCCAGAGTGCAGATGAGTGAATGCGATGCCCTTTTGTTTGAGGAATGTCATCGCCTCGAGTATTTGTCGGCCATACTTTGGGAAGGACTTTGACGCGACGCCCGACGAGTATGACTTCTTCAGAGTGTAGCTATATTTCGAATCGTAGTTGTTGAGTGGCTTGGCCTGGAGTAGCGTGGAGGGAGATGTTAGTCTGGGGGCATGCCCATCCTCGCGTCATCATCACAAACCTACCTTGTAGATGACATCCTTGAGACTGCCCTTGGAGCTACACATTCTGAATGTGAATACCTTGTCATTGGAGCCAGCAATCTCAATGTTGACCAATGGGCATATATATGGATGCTAAAGAATGACAGTGTGAGTGAATGATTGAATGAATGAATGAAAGAGTGAGTAGTGACATACCTTCAGGAGCTGGACAATCTTGACAAACTTCTTCTTGTGCTTCTCAGAGTACATTGGCCATGGACAAGAGGTTGGCGTGATCACTGAGATGAGGACATCGTTGCCAGAGGCACGAGATAGAATGTAAGACTTCCTCAGACCATGTTTGATATGACCAATATCATTGATAGGTCTAACATATTCAAAGTTGGCAGTTGATCTCAACTGCATCTGTGCAACGAATGCGTCATTGTCTAATGATTGAGTGATTGAGTAGATGTTAGAGTCGTGAATGATTGAATGAATGATTGAATGAATGAACATACCATAGAACTGCCTCTTTTGTTCAAAGAATGAGTGACATGAACGACATAGACGTTGTGGACCTGTGTAGCCTAGTTCTGCTGGCAACACAGAGTAGTTGTTTGAGCAAGGATCGCAAAAGATGAGTCCACACTTCCTGCAATGATGCTGCAATTGTAATGTGTCAGTCTACACATTCATTCACTCAATCATCATTCATTGTATACTTACTCTTCTTCTCAAAAGATTAAAGGATAGATGACATGATGTACATTCAATGGCACTTGCATCTGGCTTCCACTCTGGCTTCTCAGCCACTGCATGGGTTTCCTAAGTAAGATAAGAGTAAGTAAGTAAGCATGTCAACTTCAACTCATAGACCTCAACGACTATACTTACCATTGTTTGTTAGTTTGTTTGTTTGATTGATTGATTGATTGAAAGAGATATAAATATATATAAATGTGTATGTATAAGTTAATGAATGGAGATGAAGTGAGTGAGTGAGTGAGTGAGTGACTGCAGTGAATGAGTGACAGAGTAAATGAGAGAGGTTGTGAATGAATGTCACCAGGTATCCAAGCAAGCCGATGCATTGCATCCAAACCCAACCCACAACAATAGGAGATATTTGACTGTGGGGTTGGTGTAGATCCACGTTGCCAACCACACTGTCTAACTAAACAAACTTCAACCTTTGGTGAAGGTCTGTCTGATGCAGCTGGGTCTTGATCCAAAGTTCGATGCATGTTTATATCTTTAGTTCAAGATTTGAATGAACATCATCATCAAATAAATAGAGATATATAAATATAGATAAAGAATGAGTGCACCTTATATGTTTGGTCAATATGCCATTAGAAATACAGAGATCTTCATGGAGTCTGCATTGTCATTCGCGCTCGTCAATCTGAAACCTGTATTACCAGGTGAGTTGATTGAGTTAGTTAGTGATCATGTTAAGTCGATGTGATATGACATCTAACTAATCAACTCAACTCAACTCAACTCAATCATTCAAACGAATGACGAATGATGAATGAATGAATAGGACATGTACTGATATGCCCAAAGAGAGTTGTAAAGAGATTCTATGATATGACACCAGAGGAGATTACAGATTTGTGGCAGACTGCTAGCAAGGTGTCACGTGTCATTGAGAAACACTTTGATGGTGATGGTCTGACTTTCGCCATTCAAGACGGTAAGAATGCCGGACAGACCGTCGAACACGTACACATTCACATCATACCAAGAAAGAGACAAGACTATGAGAACAGTGATCAAATATATACAGAGGTATGTTTCAATGATTCAAGTTGATGTGAGTGATTGGTTGAGACGACTAACAATGCTTCATTCATTCAATCATTGATTCGTTTATTCAAACAAATCAAAGATTGAGAAGGATAGGAAGCCAAGAACATTGGAAGAGATGGCTCAAGAGTCAAGTCAGTTGTCACCATACTTCAAAGAGCAATAATAGTCATTGAACGACAACATAAACACTCCTTGGTCAATGATATCAGATGCCTTTTTTGGCAATCAATCAATCAATCAATCACTGCAAAGACATTGGAACTATATTTAGGTACTAGTACTACTCTTTGGTACAATGAGCAGTGTTGATGTCCATGAATCCACTGTCGATTAGTGCTGGCGACGTCACCAAGGCAAAGAACTTGGTATCCGTGATCCTTCGCAATTGTAAATCCACATAAGTAGTTTTGCGCTTGTTGGTGATACTAAAGTGAAGTTCTTGGATGGTCGTCGGCAGGTATCTGAGGAATAGGCTTGGCGGGAATGGCGACAAAATGAACTCTATCTTGCGAATTGATGGCGGTAATGGCCACGGCACTGGACCATCATTCGGCAATCTAAAGTGAGTTCCATAAAGAATCAGACTGGTGATGGATGATGGGAGCAATGCATAGTTGAACTTGACTTCATGGCGATATGATGCGCCAAGTCTGAATGTTTCCACGCCATTTGGTATGCCTCTAAACCTTGGACCAAACGATGAATCCAACGAAAGGTACTTGAGAGTTGATGGCAATGTCGAGACATCGACCATAAAATCATCGGGGATGGTGGGCTCATCAGCAGGTGTTGCTCCCTTTAGTACAACGTACAAGTCAAGCATTCGCAGACTTGGGAACCGTTTGGAGTTGATGTTTGGTATCTCGTGTGGCTCCAGGTCGTTGAATGTCAGGTCGGTCAGTTGATCAAATGTTACGAATGGATTGATTGATCGATAGGATTTGAGCAGGAGCTTGATCAGTGGTCGGTGTTTGATCGATCCTGTCGCGCGACCATTAATGCGCAGGTCGGTCAGGCTGTCTGGCAGGGGTCCCAGTGGCTTCTTGCATCCAGACTTTAGGTCCAAACATGTGATTGATTGGGGCAATATCGTGTCGTCGAGCACATGATCATACGGCCAATTAAACTCCAATGTCTTGAGACGGGGTGGGAGGGATCCAGGGGTGAACGCGGCAGCACTGACGTATCGGGAGAGAATGAGAGTCTCCAGGCTGGATGGGAGATCGCCAGGTTTGATCGGTTTTCCATGTGATGAGTACCTGAGGTCCATGATCTTGATGCCCTGTGGTAGGACTTTGAAGGACTCGAAGATGTAGTTTGATATACTGATGGAGGTGAGTGATGAGGGCAGGGTGCCAGGTGCCAAGGGTGGATTTGGGTGATGATCGCCTTCATCAGCATCCTCAAAATCTTCAAAATCACATCTCTCATTGTTGTCGAGCGCCATGGTTGACCATTGCACGACTGATGGGAATGGCTTAATGATCCACAATGATGGATAATGAAGGGACGTTACTCCCTTGGCTTTGAGGCCTTCAAACAATCTAATGGCACTCTTCCAGAATGATTGTTTAAAGCTACTCATCTTGGTAGTGTCACGAAATGTAACCTTGCCAATATTAGGTAATGCCAGGATCTCATCAATCATGCTCTGATCAGCAATACTTCGTTCTATTATTGATTCAATGATTGAGTGATGTGAGGAATGGAATGATTCCAATGAAGATTGAGTGAGTAATGGAATTATTCCATAGATGATGGAAGTGAGTGTGAGTGGGTGATGGAGATGATTGAGTGATGGAATGATTCCATGATTCCGAGAGTGAGTGATGGAAAATGATTGAGTGATTGAGTTGAGTGATTGGAACGTTGGGAGTGAGTTATTAAGTGATGGAAAAGATTGAGTGATTGAGTGATTGAGTGATTGGAATGATTCCATAAGGAAGAGTGTTTGATTGAGTGTATGATGTGATTTTAACTTACTTGTGAGGAACAATCGATCTGCATCGTATTGGTGATATTTATAATTAGCAATTTTGCATATGCTATATATTAAGATAGATAATGGCTTATTGATGAGATGATTTGTGATTATTTGTTTGTAGGATTGTAGTTTTGAGCCTTTCTTAATGTTGTTCAACTCTGTATCCTTTGGTAACTGATCATTGTCCAACACTATATACTTTTCTCTCTCTTCAAACAATCTCTTACAGACCAATGACAACATCACTGCGTCTGCAAAGCAGTCCTTCAAGTGAGTTGCAATGGACTTGATCACAGTCAATGATAGTTTATCCAACATTCTCGTCTCGTCTCGTTTCGTCTCTCCCTTTATATATCTTTAAGTTGATAAAGTGATCCTACGTCTTTCGTTAGTCTGTCGTCTTTGGACCCACCAAACCTCATTTTCATAAATTATTCTTTATTTATGGGACAATGTAAACTTTTTGGGAGGTGGAATAGTTCCATAAACAATAAATTCAAACATGGATTAATCATATATTATTTTATTGATGATATATATATATTAATACAATAGTATTCTTGGAATCAAAGTATCTTGATATATTACGAAACTTGGCAAGTTTATTCACTCATTGAACACAACTTTGAGATAAAGAGATAGAGATACAAGAATGATAGATAATCTACCATTAGTAATATTAAAAGTAGTATTGGGTATACTTCAACAACAATACAATGAGTATAATAATATTATTAATAATAAGAATATAATGGATGTGATCTGTCTTCGATTAAGTTGTAAAAGATTACTAAATGTTATAAACATCTACATGCCACCATTAGAGCAACCATCTCAGTTTGTATATAGTGACAATGGCTGTGACAATTATAACCAATCACAATCACGATCACAATCACAATCACAATCACTTCAAGTTGGTTCAGTGCCTCAATCAGTGACATCATTGACATTTGATACCTATGACATTCCTTTACAACCATCTACATTGCCCTCATCAATCAAGTACCTTACATTCGGCGTGTACTATAATCTTGCGATCGATGTTGGCGTACTACCATCATCCCTCACAACCCTATTCTTTGGTCATTCATTCAATCGTTCACTGGAGCCAGGTGCCCTGCCCGATTCAATCACATCAATCAAGTTTGGAGACCAGTTTAACACTGAACTGGCGGAAGGATCGTTGCCCTCATCATTGTTGCATCTTAGGTTTGGCAAGAAATACAACATGCCTCTTAACATTGGCGTATTGCCTGATTCAATCACATATCTTCATCTTGGTCGGTCATTTGAACAGAAGCTCCAGCCAAGAGTGCTGCCCTCCTCTTTGATCGGACTATGTTTGAGCGATCATTACACGCACAACATCGAGCCTGGAATCCTGCCATTGTCAATCACTAATCTCGAGTTTGGTGAATTCTACGATCATCAACTAGAGAATGGTGCCCTGCCATACTCGCTAATCAATCTTTCATTGGGCCGCCTATTCAATCATGATATACTCCATTGCTCACTACCAGTCGGCCTCAAGTCTATCACATTTAGCCGAGACTTTAACAAAATGATCGTACCAGGTACTTTGCCAACTTCGATCACCTCCTTGGTATTTGGGTTAGAATTCAACACATGCTTGGCTGTCGGCTCATTACACGAGGGCCTGCTACATCTCGATGTAGGCTCAAGGTATGATCATCATCTCCAACCAGGACTACTGCCACAATCACTCCAGAGTCTAGTCTTGAGTTATCGCAACAAAATCACATTCAGCCCTGGGACTCTCCCAAACAGTCTAACAAGGCTGTGCTTTGGCGTCATGTTCAACATTGTCCTTGAGCCCGGCTTGCTTCCTGACTCAATCAAAACACTCAATCTTGGAACATTCTTCTCGGAAACATTGCATCCTGATGCTCTGCCCAAGTCACTCACAAGTCTGTACATCGAAGACAGACTACCCGTACCAAGTGATCAATGTCCATCTGGTCTTGTACATTTGATTGCGACGGGCATTCCGCCAGCACTACCTCCATCGATTACAATACTGGATATTTCATCACACCCTGCCGACACATTCAGGTGGAACAAAGTCCATAATGGCAGCACATTGAAGGAGTTACATTTAAGAATGGATGGTGTCCTTGGCAAGGACATCGAACGAACGGCGCTCGGCTTCTTCAAACAGACCATCAGGTATTACTTACCCAACGTGCTCGAATACTACTTCAACCTGTATAACCATTATTTCCATACCTCAACGATGATACTTCGAATGGATGGCCTATTCCATGCATTTCAACTCATCAAGTACATTGAGGACATACACGAGGTTACCCATTTCAAGTACATAGATATATGAATATCTATAACATTTAAATGTGTCACTCACTCATCTACACTATTTATACAACAAACTTCAACAAATAATACAACAAATAATATACCTGTCATAGTCTATCTATTATCACTATTATTAAATATATATTATTATTCCCCTCCCTCTACCATCAACATTCACTCACTACAATTGAACAACATTTATACTCTGATCAATCCTTGAGCTAACCCATTGATCCCAATTCCAATGTCAATAAGACACTAACTGATAACTTTGTCTCTCTTCAAACTAGTAAGTACTACTAACTTTATGGCAATCACTTATTTAAATACTAACATACCTTCTATATTATAGATGACCATAAGGTTCGAACTTGATGAGTATGAGGAGATGATAGTTAAGAGAATCAAGTTTAAGCTAAAGGAGGAGTTTGATGCGGAGTTCCAGAGGTTGGACAAAATCATTGAGAAACAAAAACAATTAATATTAGAGTTATCTTTCGAGAATATTGACATAGGTCAATAGCATTATTCACCATATAATTTAATTTTAAATCCAAGTAATGGATTATTAATAATAAATTTAATATTTAGAATTTATTAAAATAAAAGGATACCTACTGAATCACATCACCTCTTGCTCATCCTCGTCCTCGTCCTCCTCATATGGTCCCCTTCCTACACATTGATCATATTCTTCAAACTAATTTACATTTGAATGATATGGACCACTATGAACTCTCAACAAAAGTATACGAGTTTCCATAGCAACGAGTTATGGGTTCATTCACCATGTAGTCTTTCATCAAAAATGCTTCCATCTTGTAATCTATATACCTAATCAAGTCCCATCCCTCCATCCTCATTAAGTAGGGATTCGGCTTGATTGGCAACTCAATCTTCTTGTCTGGCACTCCAGTCTCTGCAAGTTCTCCAAATTCTTCCTTGTCTTTGAAACCGTCGTACATGATGGCATCAACCACTCTCTTTCCCATCTCACTTGCTTCCAACTCCTGGGTATCCTTTCCAGATACCTCAGTGATACGTGGATATTCAACTATTGTTGATGACATAATTAATAAAAACAATTATTATTATTATTATTATTATTATTATTATTATTATTTGTTTGAATGAATTAATGAATGAATGATTGAGTACTTTATAGGATGTGTATAGCTTCGAGGAGGGAAAAGGTGGCTATCTTCCGATCATTCATTCTTTCTATCATAGTAAATGTAAACATGAAGATATATATTGATTGGTTGATTGAAGTGTATGATTATGTAGAATGACCATTCTGTGTCTTAGCTCAAATGATCCCATTTCATTCCAACCTTTACTGATGGAAGCGGTAACCTTCACAACAACAACAGCAATAGCAACAACTCATCAGGTTTGGGCCTATCTGGAAACACCATACCATCTACTCTGATGAAGCAAGATACAGTGCTGTCAAACTTTCTCAACACTGACTCTGATTGGTTGGGTGCTCATCATAACACTGGTGCCGGTGGCAACAACAACAGTCAATACTTCCTTAGGTCATCGTTCTCCAATGGTGTATCTTCACAGTTTGGTTCTATACTTCAAACCATGCCATCTGATCTGTTGAACATCAACCGACAGAGCATGCTACACTTATTATTGGGCACGATACCAAGGGTCTCAATAACATCAATAGGTTTAATTAAGAATTCCATCGTCTCCCTCGTCACCATTGCCTATTGCTCGTCCTCGTCCGACTCCTCCCACCAATAGTTCTCGTCCTCCTCCTGAACTTGATCCTCCTCACCAAATTCCTCCTCCTCCTCGTCCTCTTCCTGGTCTCCTTCCGCAGCCTCAGCTATGATTGATGGTTCTGGAACGACCATGAACTCCACAAAGAATAAGTGGCTCTGGTATGACATTGCGGTGATCTTGAAATCCATAATAGTAACATTCTTGAAGGTCTTGCTCACAGCAAATCCAGACTTGAACACAAACCTTTGATTGGTAGAGCCATCATATGTGTTGCCCTGGGGATAGGATCTTAGTGCTCCATACTTGTACTTGATGGGGTTCAACTCAAACTTGAATGGGTTGCCATCTCCATCAGATCCAGTCAGTTCAATAATCTTCTGATCATTCTCATACTGGCCGTAGAAACGAAGTGTGATGTTCCTGGGCTGGTCCAGAGTGATGATGTAGTTCCTCATCTCGACCAATGAATACGGGTTGCCTTGGCAGAGAGTGATGGGTTCAACCCAGTCTCCTCTCTCCATTCGGTAATCGCCCAATCCAGACTTGTTAAAGCTATGCCTGAACAAGTCCCTGCCATCCATCCTCATGATGTAGGCGCTAGGCATGTTTGGCAACTTGATCTCCTTCTCTGGCACACCATCTTCAGGGATAGACTCAAACATCTCCTTGTCATTAGCTCCGTTGTACATGATCAGTGGCACTGGATACATGAACACATCACTCTTGAGCAACAAGTGGGCAGTATCCTTGAAGCCATCGTATCCATCATTGGGGTGTGCGTGGTAGGCGATGAGTGAAAGGCCTCGTGTGATCTTCTCATGCAACTTCTCAGAGTTGGACTTGACACCATTTGGTGATAACTTGTCCGGCTTCCTTCCCGACACAAATATCTCATCATAGTTGAGTTGATACCAGAAGGCCTTAAGTATGATGGATGTATGACATAGTTTGGTGTATGAGCAGTTAGTGAGTGTATCAGTGATAGGAATTATTCCAATGTTGGACTGATTGACTGATTCTTGAAATACATACATTGATCAGTCCATGCAATGAGATATCCACAAACAATGCTTCAACATAAAACTTGACGACAAATTGAAGGTACTTGGGATTGGCACAGAAGTTCTTCAGGGCTCGACTGTGATCGCGAACCAATGCAATCTTGGTTCGGATGTCTGATAGGAAGTCAGCCTTGATCACTTCATTATGCTCCAGCTTGTAGACCAACGCAGCCAGGTCAGACTTCATATCACCACAGGAGCCCCTCAAGTTCTCCAGAACAGTGCCACAGATATCAGTCCACATTCTGATCTCACTGTCCTTGATCTTTGAATCAATGATTCCAATGATCTCCTTCTTCAACTCTGACAACTTCTTGTCCAACTCCTCCTTTGTTACCTCATCAGCTGGGGATGCACGTTTCCAAAACAACTGGAACACACCTTGCATCAATGATCCAATCACTGGGATACATCCACTATTGATTGATTGGTTGTGTGAGTGTTTGAATGATCATGTGATGGAATGTTTGATCATGTGAGGTGACTTACATGACTGATTGGAAGATGATGTTGATATCTTCTTTGTCAACTTTGAGGCCATCCTTCTTGATATCGGCAACGACTTGGAATGGATCCTTGATGTCCAACGCATTGCACATCATACAGAATGGAATGATTTGCATTGGATTCTTCTTGATTGCATCAACCACTCTCTTGCCCATCTCACTGGCCTCCAGCTCCTCGGTATCCTTTCCAGACACATCAGTGATACGTGGATAATCAACTAATGTTGATGTCATAATTAATTAAAGTATATTAATATTAGTTGTTTGTTTGAATGAATGAATGAATGAATGAGTATAATATGATATCATATAAGGAAGTTGATGGATGACGAAGAGGTGGCCATCCTCAGCTCATTAATTAAACCTTTTAATCTTTGTACTTGTGATTGGGATGGATATTGATTGATTGATTGGTTGATTGGAAGTGTGTGAATGTGTAGAATGACCATGAATGAAGATGGCTCACATGATCACTTTTAATTTGGCCTACACTTATTGATKGGGGCTATACCAAAGGTCACCAATCATAATGCAAAGGACTATGATATCATCATCACCTTTATCATTATATTTAATAAGTTTTCCATTAATTGGAATTTATTAAAATACCTGGATCCTACTCATTCACCACTTCATCCTCGTCAGCCTCCTCCTCCCAATTGTCCTCATCATCCTCCTGAACCTGATCCTGTTCTTCCTCCTCCTCTTCTTCCTCCTGATCTTCTACCTCAGCCTCATCGACGTTTGCTGGATCTGGAACAACCATGAACTCCACAAAGAACAAGTGACTGTGGAATGATGTTGCTCTGATCTTGAAATCCATCATCTTTACATTCTTGAAGGTCTTGCTCACAGCAAATCCAGACTTGAACACAAACCTTTGATTAGTAGAACCTTCATATATACGGCCCTGCTTATAAGTTCTCAATGCGCCATACTTGTACTTGGTGGGGTTCAACTCATACTTGAACGAGTGGCCCTCACCGTCCATACCGGTTAGCTCAAGATTCTTCTGGTCGTTGTGATACTGGCCATAGAAGCGAAGGGTGATGTTCCTGGGTTGGTCTAAGGAGATGGTGTAGTTCCTCATCTCAACCAATAAATAGGGGTTGCCCTGGCAGCCAGAGATGGCTTCAACCATACCGTCTCGCTCCATTACACTATCCAACCTGTGAGAGCCATCCCTAAACAAGTCCCTGCCATCCATCCTCATGATATAGGCATTGGGCAAGATGGGCAACTCAATCTTCTTGTCTGGAACGCCATCCTTGGGTAATTCCTGAAAGAATTCCGTGTCCTTGTCATGGTCGTACATGATCAATTGCACCGGATACATGAATACATCACTCTTGAGTAACATGTGGGCAGACTCGGAGAAGCCATCATATCCATCATCGGGGTGTGCGTGGTAGGCGATGAGTGAGAGGCCACGCATGATCTTCTCATGTAACTTCTCCGAGTTGGACTTGACACCATTTGGTGATAACTTGTCCGGCTTCCTTCCAGACACGAATATCTCATCATAGTTGAGTTGATACCAGAAGGCCTAATGTTTGATTGTTTGATGTATGAGTGTGTGTTAGTGAGTGATTGGAATTGTTCCAATGTTGGACTGATTGACTGATTGCTCAAATACATACATTGATCAGTCCATGCAATGAGATATCAATGAACAATGCTTCAACGTAGAATTTGACGACAAATTGAAGGTACTTGGGATTGGCACAGAAGTTCTTCAGGGCTCGACTGTGGTCACGAACCAATGCAATCTTGGTTCGGATGTCAGACAAGAAGTCAGCCTTGATCACTTCTTTGTGGTCCAGCTTGTAGACAAGTGCGGCCAGGTCCGACTTCATATCACCACAAGAGCCCCTCAAGTTCTCCAGAACAGTGCCACAGATATCAGTCCACATTCTGATCTCACTGTCCTTGATCTTTGAATCAATGATTCCAATGATCTCCTTCTTCAACTCAGACAACTTCTTGTCCAACTCCTCCTTGGTCACCTCATCAGCAGGCGAGGCACGTTTCCAAAACAACTGGAACACACCTTGCATCAATGATCCAATCACTGGGATACATCCACTATTGATTGATTGGTTGTGTGAGTGATCGTGTGATGGGATGATTGATTATGTGAGGTGACTTACACGACTGATTCGAAGATGATTTTGACGTCTTCTTTGTCAACTTTGAGACCATCTCTCTGGATGTCGGCCACCACTTGGAATGGATCTTTAATATCAATGGCATTGCACATCATACAGAATGGTATGATTTGCATTGGATTCTTCTTGATTGCATCAACAACTCTCTTGCCCATCTCACTGGCCTCCAACTCCTCTGTATCCTTTCCAGACACCTCCGTGATACGTGGATATTCAACCAATGTTGTTGACATAATTAATGTATATTATTATTATTATGTAAATATATTTATAAGTTTGAATGAATTAATGAATGATTGGAATTGGATTGTTGGAGAATAATTAAAATGGATTGTAGGATGGATGGATGGAAGGATGCTGATTGATATTGATTGATGAGGATGTGGATGGATGTGGAGGAGCCCTACTGGTCATCATTCATTCAAGCATTCACTCACTCACTTACCAATCTTCGTACATGTGATAGTTGGATAAAGAGATTGATTGATTGGTTGGATGATGGGCGTGTGTGAAGTTGTAGAAAGACCATGAATGAGGAGTCATTTAATTTGCTTTGGCCAACAACACTTATAAGTGAGTGGGGCTATACCAAGGGTCACCAATCATAATGCAAATGATAATATATATTATATAATCTTCAACATTGTGAATATGTATATTTGTTACCAAGTCTTGATTAATGTTGTGCGATTTCATTTTGTTTGATCAAACATATGATATCGTCATCATTCATTAATATGTAAGCCCATGTGGCTAGCTTGACTTATTCAACCCATATAATATAATATTATCTGTAATCTAATTATCTGTATGACATAAAGTATTTGAATGAATGAAACCATTGTGGACTTGTATCTTCAAAATCGCACTCACACACTGTTGTTCGAACTTTCAAAGAAGCTGATCGGCATCCAACCCATGTTTGAGGTCCCTTGACCTGGGTTATTCATTCAATTACAATCTTGAAACAAGTTATTCATGTACATATATATATAATAAACTTAACTAAACTAAACAAAGAAAGAAAGAATATGTGGAGAGTAGAGACATGCTCGAATGAGCCTTACCCTAGATGTGCACATCAATGTGATGTTGTTGGCGACTATGTATATATGTTTGGAGGATGGACTGATGAGAACCAGATGCTTAACGATCTACACAGGTTCAATATAGGTATATATAACTTATATATCATACACATGAACGAACGAACAATCACTCACTCAATCACTCAATCACTCACTTACTCAATCAATCAAAGATACTTGGGAATGGGAGGAGATTAGACCACAGGAACAGAATCAACCGATCATTGCGAGGAATGGACATACACTTACAACTTATAATAAGATGTTGGTGTTGTTTGGTGGAGGATCATTCGCTGGATTCTTGAATGATGTTGCAACGTTTGATACAGAGACACAGAGATGGATACATCAGAATACAGAGGGCGCCATTCCATCAGGCCGTTCAAAGCACTCGGCATCAATAGTGGGCACGTACTTGTATGTGTTTGGAGGAGGCGATGGTGTAAGACTGCACAATGATCTATATTGTCTTGATCTTGGTACGATGCACTGGGCGTTGGTCGAGGCCAAAGGACAAGCACCATCACCGCGCTGGGGTCACACAATGGTTGCGCTCGACTCCAAGCGATTGCTAATCTTTGGAGGTCACTCAGGAACAAGGCGATTGAATGACTTGCACATGTTTGATATTGGTAAGGGTCCTCACTTTGGTGATCGATCAATAATGGAACCATTCCACTCACTCACTCTCACATCAATCAATCAATTACAGAGACGAATCAATGGTCTCAGCCACAGATAATGTCGGAGCCTGCGGAGACACCTCAGCCACGTGCTGGACACACGGCATCAATGATTGGACCGTACATGGTTGTGTTTGGTGGAGGCGATGGACATATATTGGATGACTTTGTTGGACTGGACACGAGGACATGGCGATGGTGGAAAATAATGCCCGATACACCAGGCGGACGATGTGCACATTCAAGCAGTGTGATCAAAGATAAGCTGGTGATATTCGGTGGTGGAAATGGTCTACATTGCATTAGGAAGATGGTAGTGTTCTCAAACATTGATAACATTGATTCATTATATCAACAATCAAGACTTAAAGGTGGCAATCATTATATTGATAACAACAATAATAGCAACGATAGTAACAACAACAACAATAATAACAACAATAATAATAGTGGAACACCAAACAAAAAGGTAGTAACAACTCCAAAGAAGTTGGTAAAGGCTGATGTCAACGAGTCCTTGCTATCATCAACAATTGAATCACTGGCAAAGAAGGTACAGGATATCAACAGTCGTCCTGCCAATCACAATGAACCCCAACAACCGCCACAGCCACAGCAGCCGCAGCCACAGCAACAGCCACAGTCACATCCACAACCAAAAATACTGGCGACAAACATTGACAAACTACAAGATAGTTGTCTCACTGATCGAGAGAGAAGAGGTATGATTCCATCATCATTACTCAATCATTCATGATGACTAACCCATCATCAATCAATCATCTTAGACATCAAATCATTCTTGACAAACATTGGAATGAACAAGTTTATTAATAGGTTCATTGAGGAGGAGATTGATACGACTGTATTACACATGCTCAATGAGGATCATTTGAAGCAGTTGGGTATCACTCTACTTGGTGACAGATTGGCAATAATCAAGGGTATCCGAGAATCATCACTTTACATCTTCAAAGGCTTACCTCCACTCCCAATAGACATCGATCCCAACTTCAAGATGGTGGACGACAAGATAGACTTGTAAATAGATAGATATTATTATATATTATATGTATATTGTATTAAAGTATTAACAGATATGTTGAAAGTACAACCAAGAGGATTGGTATCAGGTTCATCTGTTGTTGGAACAGTCGTGGCGACGCGGAATTGGAGTTCTCCTCGCCATCCTCTTGGACATTGATTGGTGGCGGTATAAATCGTCCTTGAGCAATGCGGCCAATGTAGAAGGTGCCTTGGAACTCGCCAAGGTCGGAACCAAACTGGATGCCATCGATCTCTGCACCCTCCCAGATACCAAAGTCAATGAATGGGATGTTGAGCTCGATCCATTGGTTGGCGGGGAACGTGCCGCCCATGTACTCGGCAAGACCCAGTGGCTGCACGGGCTTGCCCTCCACGGTCAGGTAGATGCTTGCCTTGACCTGGCGAGGCGGGTCGTTGTTGTCATTGTTGGCGTTCTGATTGGGATACTGGAAGAGCGGGTTGGGCGCGTACAGCATGTTGAAGACGATTCCATCGAACATGTTCAGATCGGACGTTCCGTTCTTGAAGCCCAGCGCCACTCTCGACGTCGGATGGATGACCCAGGAGAGGGTCTGGCGGCCACGGAACAGGACGTCTTTGTTGTTAAAGTCCACCGAGCCGTAGCTGTAGTTCTCGACCTCGGCCGACATCACACCCTTGGAGAACACCGAGTCAAAGTCCTCCAGACACGTTGAGCCGTTGTTGACACTGATGTCGTCCAGGTAGATGATGCCAGTGTACTCGTGCACGACCTCGTTGATGAAGAAGCCGTCAAAGTATTGGGTGGTAGGCGGGTTCACCTGGAACTTGTCCAGAGGGATCGCCACACGATACCATGTGAACACTTGCATGCCTCCCGTAAGGTACTCATTGAGGTTGATAGCGCCCACCTTTGTTCGGTTGGACGTCAGCCAGATCTGGAACTCCTGCGTGCCGAACGCACCTCCATTGATCCAGAACGAGAGGAACTTGTACTTGCCGCGGGCGAATGGCTTCTTGACCTGGAAGTAGATCTGTGTGTTGTCCTTCAGGTCGAACGAGTAGCTGTTGAAGCCACGATGTGTCATGGTCGTGCTGTGATTGCTGTGGAACGAAATGGACATATCTCTCCAGGGTGACTGCATCGTGTCGTTGTAGATCCACTCGGGACGGTAGTTGGTGCAGTTTGCGTTGTAGAAGTTCTGTGGGACGTTCGGGCGGTGCCATGGGTCGGACGAGTCGGTGTTGTTGCAGCTCTCCTCGTCTGGAAGGATCTCGATCGCGCGGATGAGCGAGGACGCTGGGAAGGCGGGACCGGCGCCCAAAAGACGCATGTTATTCACGTAGTTGGACACAAAGTACTCGACGCTCTCGGTGGTGATTGGGTTGGCGGTGGTACCAATCGAGGCGTTGTTCACATAGAAGTCAATGCGATACTGTGTCCATGAGATCATGTAGGTGTTGTATCTGTTGCTTGGCTCCAGACCTGGGATGGACTTGATCGTCTCTGACACGGTCTTGCCTTTAGATATCACACCATAGTGCACTGGATGAGTGATATTGGAACCATCGATCATTATATACATTGAGCTCTCAAGGCCCTGATTGCCATCGGTGGCGTAGCATTTGGTCACCGTTCCTGGGACATTGTCCGCCTTGACCGTGCATGTGAAGTTGCCAAAGGGATAACGTGAACCAATCTTGGCTTCTGCACAGACGTAGTTGGCGCGACAGTCACTAGTAACACAGTTGTCCACGGTCAGTGACATGACGGCGATCTTTTGGTCGCGGGTAAAGTTGACTAGAGTTGGCTGCAGGCCGCAGTTGATGTAGGAGAACTTGCGACCATCGATTGCTGGCTCAATCGCATCGGATCCGTTGAACCATGACTTGAAAGGTGGCGGGCAACCGACCAACGTGCCATTCACATTCGATCCATTCAGTGGCTTAACGGTTGGCTTGATCGTTGGCTTGATAGTTGGCTTTATGGTTGGTTTGATCGTCGGCTTGACGGGAGTGGGCGTTGACGGCTTGGGTGTTGTCGCTGGGGGTGACGACGATGAGTGGTCTGGCGTCGTTGAATGAGCCGTCGAGTCCGGCTTGGTGGACGAGGTTGTAGTTGGCTCATGTGAGCTTGTATTTGATGTTGTTGAGGGTGTTGATGATGTTGATGATGGATGAGATGATGATGAAGGAGTAGTCTCGGCTGGGGCTGAAGTTGTCGATGCGGCTGGGGTTGGTGTTGGTGTTGGGGTTGGAGATGGTGTTGTTGCCGTCTCATTTGCAGCGCGTACTACCAATGTCAAAGTCAATAGCAACAGTATAACTGTTGCCAAAGTACAACTCTTCATTGTTTTTTAAGTATATATATTAATAAATAAACTGGATTGATTAATTGATGAGTGAGTGTGATCGTCAGTTTCCAGTTTCCAGGTTCCAGTTTCCATGGAGATGGATACTTACTCTTGGTTTAGGAAATAAATAAATAACCTAAGTTAATAGGAGGAGGAAGAAGAAGTAGGTTGGTTGTATGAATGGAGGTAGAGAGTAGTAGTAGTAGTGATGGGTTGGGTTTGGTTGGTTGCGTTGAGAGAAAGAGGAGGAGAGATAAAGTTTATAAAGTGAGGTGAGTGGAGTGAGTGGAATGGATGTCAACAACTCTTAAAGGAGGAAGTTATATTATATATGTGTTGTCAATGTTTTAAGAGAGAGTTTGAATTGGTTGTAGTCTGACTCTTTATTAGATGTTGTTGATGATGTTGATGATGATGATGATGTCCCCAACTCACACACACAGACATCATCGTTGGTCCAACCATCAATCAATCAATCAATCAATCAATCAAACGTCGTCATCATCAATCAACAACAACAACAAGTGCATGTGTCATCATCAACAACAACCACCACATTACGCACTACTTAGTACTACTTCTAGATAAGATTGCTAGTTGGGTCAGGTCATATATTATGTACGTCTGTCAGTCTGGCAGTCTGTGAATGATTGATTGAGTGAATGAATGAGTGAGTGAGAGTGACCCGACATCCACCACCAACACTTACTTAATACAAGCTTGACGTTGGTTGTCCAACTTCCATCAACACCAACACATCAAACAACATGCGTGTGGTATCAAACAGTGTGTCCATGGACAAGTCTGTCTACAATGTAATAACACGCAAACCTTATTACATTAGGATATCATTACTTGATTGATTGAGGGTGTATTGTGTGTATTGTGTATGTGAGTTGAATGATCAGTGTGTATGTGTGTGTGAGATAATGTTGTTTGATTGTGTGTGTGATCACCAAACCAGTGATGGTGGTGATCTAACACTCGCATTATTGACAACACTTGCCCTGATTTGGAAGTTGTCAACTTATAAGTATATGATTCACCTTGGAAGACCATCGTCCTCCATATGTTGAACGACCCCCTACAGGTCCCTCTAGGCCTTGACCAACAGTTACCCTCAACAACGCACTATAAAGACAATGTTCGTAGACAAGTTCTTGACTGGAGGTACTCTATGAGCAACAAAAGATTGCAACGAATGCAGTAAAGGGAGAAACAAGAGAAAAGTAGTCGTTCCTCTTGGAGTACAGATAATGAAAGTGATAAATATGTTATAAATAGAACATGTCACACAAGCTAACGCAAAAACAGGACAAAAATGGTCTTGGGCAAAGCTTCCGGAATTCCCTCTCTCGAAACGGAATGATCAGACAATGCCTCTAGAGGAAGATTCATTGTAGCCCAGAAGCAACTCTCGAGCAGTGTTGACCACTCTTTCATTCATTCACACACAATCAATGTTGTTGTTGTGTTAAATGTTGTTGATGATACTGATGATGTTCAAAAGGGTCGAGAAGTGTGAAGTTGATTGAACTATCACACTCTACTTCATCACCATTCATTATAAATATACTTAAGTATACATATATAATACAACAAAGAAAGAAAGAAACAAAGAAAGAAAGAAAAATGGCAAGCAAGATGAAAAAGGTTGCCGTCATTATGGGTAGTGTCCGTACTCATAGAATCAATCATGTCATTACAAACTGGTTCGTCGCTACCTCTGGTCTCAAAGACAAGTTCAACGTGGAGATTGTCGATTTGAAAGATTGGATGTTGCCTCCATACGATGAGAGTATGTTGTTGTTGAAGATGAAGTTGAAGATTGGGAGCAACATTACTAATCGTAGTCCATTGACTTTACTCTTATAGTTGTCGCACCAATGTCTTTGAAAGGTGCCTACACGACAGAACATGGAAAGAAGTGGCAAAAGTACATTGATGGTATGGAGGGATTTGTGTTTGTAACGCCAGAGTACAATAAGAGTGTTCCACACGCTCTAAAGACACACGTGGATTATCTCTTCACCGAGTGGAATGGAAAGCCAACCTCAATCGTGAGCTACGGATACAGTGGCGGTGATAGTTCATCCGATCACTTGCAATCGATCCTCGGCCGCAAGAGTGCCATTCAGGTCAAGATGACCGAGACACTTCCCCAGCTCCTCCTCAAGAAGGATATCTTCAATGAGAAATGGGAAATCGCCGACATCAACTCTAGCTTTGCTCAGTATCTGCCAGCTACAAAGAAAGTAGTTTCCGAGTTGGATGCTCTATTCAAGTCATCAACAAAATGATCATTATATCATTGATTGATTGATTGGATTTATTAACATGGACGGACAGACTTCACTGGACTGGATTCTGGAATGATTGATCATTCATAAGTTTATTCCTTCAACTAATAATAGTAGAAATGATGGATATAGGTTAATCCATGATCGATTAAATAAGGAAATATTTCCAATTATACTTACAAACTTGTCCGACTCTGAACAATCATCATGAGTGTACTTGATCGGATCATTGATGTCCAGTCTTCCCCTCTCCTCATTGGTGTATACAATAGCATAAGTACATTCATACTTTTGTGTATCCTGTCTTCCAAAGAACCCGGACAAGAACATGAACTTGGACTTGGCAACTATCATTATTATCATGTTAATATTCTATTCTATTTAGTTTGAAGATAATATTGTTCCAAACATACCGTCTAATATAGAGTTGAATTTATCCTTAATGCTATTTATCATATCATCTTCATTGTCTATAGAGTCGTTTAGCTTGCCATTGCCTTTCTGTTGTTTGATATCAGGTTGGCATGATTGTCTATTAAATGATTGATCGTCCATCATTAGCTCATCAATTCCTTCATCTTGTTCATAATCTCCAGCTTGAAATGATATCTTTGGGTATCTCAATGGTTGTTCATTATGTTGTTGATGTTGTTGATGAAATGGTTTAACTACACCTCTTGTGTACTCATTATCATTGCTCCGTTTCCTTGATCCTAGACAAGGTACCTCTGACAACTCCACATTCTCGCATGCTTCGTCCACGAATGGATCTTCAAATCCAAGATCAACAAGTTGTCCTTCCATACTTATATATATATTATTCAAGTTATTTATCTATCTCTCTACCTATTCATCATTATTAATACAGATAGATTTTGGATCAATCAAGAGGTTGGCTCTTGATCCAAGTTGTAGAAGGGTACATAATTACACAATGGAGGGCAATAACAAAGGGATGGGGTAAGTGAGTAAGTGCGCCATCCTGGAATTCCAGCCATCACTCTCTCACTCACTCACACAGTTGATCAAGTAGTGTGGTGTCGTGGGACTGCCCACTGATCATCACCACCATCCAATGTAGGTAACATACACACTTATAAGTGGAGGTAATATTTATATATATATATATTTATTCAATTCAATACACCTTTCTCCTGGTGATTGTTCTCTTTGGTCTGTTTAGTGTGATGAATGAGTCTGCCACTGGTGCTGATGGTGCTGATGATTTGCTTATTGTTGGTTGCGGTGGTTGGGCGACATCGCCATCAACCTCCTCATCATCCTCCTCGTTGTTGGAGACTTTTCTGGATGTGGCAGCCTTCTTGTTTGTTCTTCTTGTACTCAACGGCTTCTTGGATGTTGTTGAGGTTGATGATGTTGAGGTTGTTGATGTTGATGAAGTGTTGTCGTTGTTATTATTTACATTATTGTTGTTGTTGTTGTTGTTGTCCTCTTCCTCCTCCAACGAATCCATTTGAATGGCTGGCTTACTCGAGGTGTGTGCGATGCTCTGGTTCACCTTCTTTAGGGACGATGTGATGGCGTTGAGCTTGGTGATCTTCTCTTTGCGCTCCAATGCGTTTCGAACACTGGCCAATATCATCTGCTTTGGTCCCGTTCGATTAATTCCAACCAATGGCTGTGTCTGCTGAGTCGTTGCCGTTGATGTTGATGCTGATGCTGCCTTTGCTGCTGCCTTTGCCGACGCCTTGGCTGCTTCTGCAATTGGTGGTACAATGGCCACTGGCTTGCCAGCCGCCCTCTTGGTGCTAAGTGTGACGATGGGTGACACTTCTGGCAACTCTTGGAAGCTGACCTTCTTGGCAGAGGATGGGGGAGGTGGCTGCTTGGCTGGTGAGGGCTCAGCGACGGCCACAGCATTGGACTTGGCCTTCTTCTTTGGACGCTTGGCTGCATCCTCGTCGACCTCATCATCGTCCTCATCCATCATTGTCGCAGATGATCTGGTTGGTTTGAGACTGGCCTTGGTCGTCAGTGTCTTCTTGGAAGCGGCGGCGGGTGCAACGGTGGCGGCCTTCTTGGTCTTGGCATTGGTCTTCTTTCTCTGAGGTGTCTGCTCGTGCTCATGCATGTCCTCCTGCTCCGACTTGAATCCAGGTGTTGACATGGCCGATGTGTCTGTGGCCAATGGACTATCGGCCAGTACTGTCATCTTGACGGCGGGCGTAGCCGTCGACGACTTCTTAGTCATGTTGGCAGGACGGTACTTGACGGCGGACTTGAACAGATCCGAGTCGTTGAGAGATGCGTCTCCATCAGGCTCAGCCTCGTGGTCGGCATAGTTGATAGAGTCGGTCAGCTTGACAAATGATCGCTCGTCGCCATTGTCATCGCTGTCGCCAAAGGCCTCCTCGTCTGGATATCCATGTGTGCTCTGGCTGCTGTTGCTCGACTGGTAGATACTGTTCTTCTGTGTGGACAGCTTCAGGGCCGACTGCTGTAGACGTCTCTTCTGCGCAGATGTGCCCGGTGTCTTGTGCACGCCTGGCACCAGATCAGCCATCGACATGGCATTGTTCTTTGGAGGTGTTGCCGACTCCTCTCTGTGTTGGTCTTCGTCGTCCATGTCCTCCTCATCCATGTTGTTGATGTTCTCCATCATCTCCTCCTCGTCGTCGAATGAGAGCGCCTTGGGTGGCGAGAAGTTGGGCAGTTGGAAGGTGACGTCGCCAAGAAGGTCCATGCTAAACTGAACGGCTGGCATGATGGGCTTGCTTGAGGCCATGGCGGCGGCACGTCTCTTGGTTGCGGTGGCGTTGGCTTTGGTGGCAGTGGATGGGGTCGATGGTACGTTGGGCAGCTTGACATCAAACAACATTGCCAATCTCTTCCTCTTGTCTGCCTCGGACTCGACTGGTCTGGACATGGACAGCATGGGCGTCGACAAAAGTGGAGTGTTCATCACACCCTGGGGCTGCTTCTGTGCAGTGTTGATGATGTTGTTGTTGTTGGCGTACTTTGAGCGTGCTGAAGAAGATACAGATACGCTTGGAGTCTGAAGACGACCGTTGGTGGCGCCCAGTGGTGTACTTGGCACATCCATCATGATGGAGCTGGGTGTGGCGAGCAGGCTCGAGAGGGAGGCCTTGAGGCGCATCTGCATCTCCTTCTCCTCGCGATCCAATCGCTCCTTCTCCAGCTTGGCCTTGCGAGCCTTCTCCTCCTTCTCGCGTGTCTTGCGCTCTTCGCGCTCTAAACGCATCTTGGCGGCCATCTCTACTACGTACTTCTCGCGCTCATTGATCTTGTCATGTATGGTGGCCAGCTCCTTCTGTCTGTCCTCGTGCTCCTTCCTCGCGCGCTCGGCATCCTGCAGTATCTTTAGCCTCTTTTGTTCCTCAAACAGCTGCTTCTTTGCCTTCTGGCTTTCTTTGCTCAAGGCCTTCTTGGTCTCGATGGCAGCGGCTTGGACCTTCTTTGTGGCAGATGCAGCGGCGGCGGCGGCCGTCTCCTCGGCAGCCTGTCTCTTTTGTTGTAGCTCCAGCTCTTGTTGCTCGAGTTGCAACATCATCTTGCGCTCGGCAGCCTCGGTTTCCTTGTTGAGTCTCTGTTGCTCCAGCTCGGCCTCCTTGTTCAGTCTCTGTTGCTCCATCTCAGCCTCCATGTCGAGCTGTCTCTGTCTTTGGGCCAGTACCTTGGCTTCGGCCTGAGCCTTGGCCTCTTGCTTCCTCTGTAAGATGAGCTCCTTCTCGCGGGCGTTCATCTGCATCAACTTGTTGACCTTGTCATTGTCGGCCTTCTTGTTGGCGAGCAGGTTCTCAATCTGTCTCTGATAGGCAGTGTCGTCGTCCATCTCTGTGTCGGTGGTCTCAGTGGCGTCCACGCCACGCTTGATGTGTTGGTTGAGTCTCTGATTCATCTCTGAGGAGAGCTCGCGCTCACGCTCCTCCAGTGCCTCTTGTGCCTTTCGGGCAAGCTCCAGCTTCTCTCGCTCCAGCTTCTCCTTTCTGCGCTGCTTCTGTGCATTGACGCGCTCCAACTCCAGACGCTCCTGCTCCTGTTCCTCCAGTTCCATGCGCTCGCGTTCTTCGCGCTCCAGCCTCTCACGATCCTCCCTGGCGGCTTGCTCACGCTCCATCTTTCGTTGCTTCTCACGCTCGAGCACCTCGCGGGCTTCCTTGCGCTCCTGCTCCAGCTTGGCCTTGGCCGCGATCTCGTCCTTTCTAAACAACTCGACCTCGTCCTTGTTGTTCCACGATACGTTCTTGGCCTGTTGTTGCTGCTGCTGTTGGAGTTGGAAGGGGATGGGATCGTCAGCGGGGTCTGCCATGCTGAAGGATTTGGCTGTGTCTGGCGACTTGGGGTACTCTGGGCCCTTGCTCTTGATGGCCGGCTTGAGGGCCTTTGGTGTGGCACCTGGGCCAGCCGCCAACTTGACAGCGCTGCTGGTGACGCCATTGACATCAGATGTAGTGTTGCAACAGACACGACCCTTTGGTGTCGACGATGGTGACTTGGAGGGTGTTGATGTGTTGGTCGCGGCAGTCTTTGATGGAGTTGTGACTGTCTTGGCGGGTGACTTGGCCGGTGTGGTACCTGCCTTTGCTGGCGACTTGGCCGGCGTGACACTCGCTTTGGCCGGTGACTTGGCCGGTGTTTTGTTGTTGGTGGATGCTTTTGTAGCTGTGCTGGATGTTGATGTCGTTGTGGTTGAAGGGGTGGCGGGGATGGCCGCCTTGCCATTGGGCGTCCTTCCATTTTGTTGTGGCTTGGCGGGTGTCTTTGCCTTGGCCGGTGTGGCTGGGAAATCGAATATACTCTCGTCCACCTCCACTACTTGATCATGGTCGTCATCACTATGATCTTGATGTGTTGTCGCTGAGATGATTCATTAGTGTTTGGAAACCAAACATGTGACTTGTGATCATGTACATACCCTCATCATTATCATCATTGTTGTTGTTATTGTTGTTGTACATGCTATGATCGTCGTCTGTGATTGTATTGTCCTTCTTCTTATGACTTGTTTGTTTCTTTTGTTGTTGTTGCCTTGAATCATCATTCCAAAAGGCGAGTATGTTGGCACTACCAAAGTCATCGAGCTGTTGGTCACGAGGTGCCTTGCCACCAACCAAATGCTGTTGTTTGTTGATCACCGTGTTGCCTCCATAACTCGTCTTTCGTGTATAGGTATTTACTCTTTTCGAACTCTGTTATATCGTTATGTTGATTGATTGTTTGATTGATTGATTGATTGATTGGTCGTGTCAGTAGAGTTGAGTGAGTTGTCGCGATCCATTAACCAGCCAGTCAGGTCAGCAAGCCAGGTACATACTCTGTCATTATTGATACTTGTGTCAGCAACCGAGTTTACGTTTGCCGATCTTGAAGTATTCATTGTTGTTGACATTGTATTGATATTTGTTGTTGTTGTCGATAAAGTGAAGTGAGCAGTGAGCAGTGAGCTGTGTTCACCTTTGTAGTAGTTGTTGTTGTTGTTGTTGTTGCTCTCACTCAATCTTATATATTTGTTTGATACAACCTATAAGTAAGTAAGTACGTAATGTTTGCCAATGTATAAGTATATGTATATCTATTATCTCTACAAGTGTCTGTCGATTGTGTGTATTGCTGTGTTCGCGCCAAATCAAAAGACCCTATTACTTAAAATTTTGAAAAAGGGCGCCAACTTTGAATCAAAAAAAAGTCACGGTTCAATGGAATGATGGATTGATGAGATGATTGAGTTCCATATACATAAATATATGGATTTAATTTATTAATTAAATCTCCTTCTCAGAATGATATAGTCCTTCCATCAACCAAAGAGGATTTATTGTTTTTAATCTTGGTCTTCCTCGCGCTTGCGCTTGTGACAGAGAGCCACAACAGCATTCTCCAATTGCCTCTCTAGTTGTTCAATTCTAGCGTAGGGGTCTTCTATATCTTGCATATGGATCCAATTCTTCTTGAAATCCTCCTTTGTCAATGGGTAATTGAGGTATTGGTCCTCAAATAATTTCGACGCGCCTGGTCCATCCTCTATCTCGAAATCTCCTCGAACATAATTCATGTAAAGATAATACGAGTTTGGCATTTGCTTTACACCCAGTTTGACAGCGTTTAAAATAGTGATACAGTTATCAGCCCATACCTTGATCATTTTAAATTTTCTTATCTGGATTGGTCTACATTCCTCCGTGCATTCTTCGGTCAACCAATCTCCTTTGTAATCATCGACACGGGAAGGGTCAAAGCCAACTCCTAATTGATAACAATTATCGATTGATAGGTTATCGGAATCGTAACATATATGTTCTTTCTTCAATTTTGATTTTCTAGGCATATTAATAGTTGAATAGAAGCTATTGGAAAATGGATCTAGTGATTGATAGTGATATGATCATAAATATTATGTAGGGTGTCATTAATTTAAACACACCAACACACAGGACAAAATACTATTTTGTAAATTCGGTAACTAACAATAAAGTCGTGGCATTGTATTATTATAAATAATAATTTATTAATATCTTGAGATGCAATGATTAACATTAGGTTGCAAGGAGGACAGTATCCTGTAGGACTGGTACTTCTTGGGGCATTGCCATGGCGACATATACCTGATATCTGGGAGACAAGTGGCATTTTGGACAGGTCCTCGACGACGATGGTTGTCGTGGATATTGCAAACAGGGCATCGATGCGTAGACATCCGGTTATTCAGCAAGTCGTATGCATGCATTTGACCAAGAGATGTCTTTGTCGTCTCATGACTGAAATGGAATATAATATTGTTCATAGTTGATATGTGGATGATCAAAAAGTGATTGATTGAGCGAGTGTGAGTGTTTATTGATTGTTTGATTTATGGTTCACTGATGATTGAATGAATGACTGACTGACTGAATGAACTGGTATTAGAGAGAGATGTTTGGATTGTTGGGATTGGGATGGATCGTTGTGGAGTAGATGGTTGGCGAGGTGATGTTGAGGGCAGCCTCCTTGTTCTCTTCAGCAGTGTACAGCTCGGGTGGACGCACGGACATGCGACGCGACAGCTCGCACAGGCTCAGCCACCATTGCTTCTCGGGACGACGATACTTGGGGTTGATGTTCCTCATCATCTCATCGATTGGTGTGAATCGGATGTCTCCGTTAAGGTAGCCGATGCAGCCGGCCAACGAGTGATTGTTCTTGCCAGTGACCTCCTGCTCGATCAGTTTGATAAAGTGGTACATGTGGTAGGTGGCGCTGAGACGGTCACGCGACGATGGGTTTCCACCCTGCTGCAGATGTCCGAGGATGGACTCGCGAGTGTCAAACAGATGCTTGCCCTCCTCCTTGAACAGCGAGTACATAAAGTGCGTGGAGTAGGTGGCCGACGCGTTCTCGCTCGTGATAATGAGACCGATGCGATTGTCGCGCTTGAAACGATCGACAAACATCTTGAGGTCATCGGTGAGCGTTTTGATGTTGACGCCCTCCTCCATGGTGTAGGCGCGCTCTGCGCCACTGGCCAGCGCCGACATGGCCGACAGGTAACCACAATGCGCACCCATGACCTCCACTACAAACAGACGGCGAGAGGCCACGGCCGACTGTTTGATCTTGTCAAGTGCGTCCAGAATGTTGTTCAGACATGTGTCCGAGCCGATGCTTATCTCTGTGCCTGGCACGTTGTTGGCGATGGTGCCTGGTGCACACACCATGCCTACCTTCTCCAGCATTGGGTACTTCTTGCGGAACTGATATAGTGAGCTGATGCCCACGTATCCATTGTAGCCGCCAAACATTAGGATGCAGTTGATGTTGTACTTCTCGAGCGTCTTGATGATGTCCTCAATGTTGGAGTCGTTGGGGATCGATCGGTTGGTGCCCAGCTCGGCGCCGCCCATCACCGCCCAGCCATTGACCGTCATCCAGGTGAGCTCCTTAACGTCGCCCTTGGCCAATCCCGCGAATCCGTTGAACACTCCGTAGACGCCATAGCCCCTGTCGATACCAATACGAGCAAATGCACGCACTGCTGGGTTCATGCCCGGTGAGGGACCGCCCGAGTGCAGGATGGCGATGTTGTAGTTCTTCTTGGGGGCGTTGGTGCGGAAACGATTGGACAGGATGCCAAAGATGTCTGTGAACTCCCTGAAGAGATGGCCACGTCTGTTGATCACCTCGTCAAACTTCTGCTCCTGGATCAGCTTTCCAATGTGCTGTGTCTCACGAACGCACTCCATCAATGGTGATCTCACCACCCTATTACCAATCATTCCAATCATCGATGGCTCCTCTTCCTTTGTCTTTGTGTACAAGTAGTTGATCGCTTCAATTGCCATTCTTGTTGCCTATGTGTGGCGTGTGGCGTGTGAGTGATGCATTCATGTGATCGATCAGGACGGGATGGGACGACTTACAATGTATCGATCCAAATAGGATGGAGTACCTCCACGCTGGACATGACCTAGAATGGTGATACGTGCATCGTGTCCACCATCTTCAAGCATCTGGCGCACATGAGCCGCTGTGATTGGCTTGCCACGTTTATCGATGGCACCCTCTGCCACAATGACCAAACTACATCTTCTTCCAGACAGTCGTCCATGCTCCAATCCCTCCACCATTGCATGTTCCCATCCATCTTCGGGTGGATGCTCAGGGATCAATATATAGTCGGCACCAGTTGCCAGACCAGATACCAATGCCAACCACTAACGTGTTTGGTTAGTGGACGATGTTGAATGATTGATTGAATGATTATATACATACTCCACAGTTCCTGCCCATGACTTCAATGACAAAACTACGCTGGTGGGACTCTGCTGTACTGAGGATTGAATCGATACACTCGAGGATACGGTGACAGGCAGTGTCGGCACCAATGGTGATGTCCGTGCCACACATGTCATTGTCGATAGAGCCGACCATGCCAACGATGGACAGATCATCAAGTCTCATGAGGTCGCCATCAACCTTCTTCTCATCGACCAACTCTTTGAGTAGTGACAGCCACTCTGTACGCAACAAGTTGGCGCCAGTCAGACTGCCATCACCTCCAATCACGACCAAGTTGTTGATCTTGTTCTTGACCAAGTTGAACACAGCCTTCTTCCTGCCCTCCTTTGTTCTGAACTCTGCACTGCGAGCTGTACCAATGATAGTGCCACCCTGAGTTGATGAGGAGTATGCTTGTTAGATGACCATTGGGGGACACTCTAGATGACGGTAAGCTAGTATACTTACACGATTCATTATGCTGGCCACTGATCCCCAGTTGACTGGGACGATTGATCCCTTTACAAGACCATTGTAGCCCTCACGGATGGCGTAGACTTCTGCTCCTTTCATCAGTGCGGCACGGACTAGTGCACGAATGGCAGGGTTCATACCACTAGAGTCACCGCCACTTGTTAGGAAGGCAATACGCTTTGGTTCTCCCTTGCATCTTTCATAATCGAATGAGAATATATTATCAAAGTTAAGATGATCTTCAACAACAGGTTTCTTCCCCTGTTGTTGATCTGTTTGTTTACTCATAATATATGAATAAATATATATATAAGTTAAATTAAACAAATAAATGAATGAATGTAGTGTATGTTTCAAGATTGATTGTGATGGATAAATGAAAGCTACCACTGGGGTGAAGTGAGAAGTTCACTTTTAACTCAATTTCTGGATCTAGATAATAAATAAAATCATTTTTATAAATATAATATTATAAATAAATAAATATTCATCCAGATCTATATATCTTATTTCTTGATTGTTTAGGTTAATCTTGAAATTTAGGATAGCTATTTAACGCAAACCAATCATACCTCAATCAATCATCAATCAATCACTTTATCAATAAATATTCTTTTTAAGGTTAGAAATATTCTTTCTTATTTATAAATAAATCATTGTTTCATATTAATTAATATTTACCTTATTTCCAAAGATTAATATTAGATACTAAATAATGGAAGAAATAAATTTTGTCAATGATTCGGAATATGATTATGAATACTCTTTTCCAACATCTTCGATATCTTCATCCTCTGATAATGAAGAATATTATAATAATTTATTTTGGTCAAGACTTATTATTGATAAATCAAGAACAAAGTCTGAAAATGACGTATACAATTATTCCAGTTTATTGCCAGTTGATAATTATGATGATGATGAACATAAAGATCATAGTGACAATACTTTTTATTATGATCGAAATGTATACTCCTATAGTAATAATTCATTCAAATCAAGTCCATCTTATATTAAAATATTTGGTCAACCAAAGAATAGAAAGAACAATGTACATAATATAAATGAATTCCAGAGGTATAGAACAAAGACTCGTAGACATCAAAAGAATATCAGAAAGTGCAAGGACAATCTAATGAGAGGTCGCAGGGAATTGAATTCAATCATTCAAAACCAAGAGATGACCAGAATCAAACTCGACAGCCTAACAATTCAATAAATAACCTAATTCATATTATATTGTCTTTATTTCTTTTTAATTCCCAAGACAGAGTCAAGTCCATAAGTGTCGATAAGAGAGAGAATGATTGGTTGTTTGATCATTGTTAATGCTTGCTTGTTTGTGTATGTGTTGGTGTGTATGTGTGTGTCACAGGGTCATGAGTGTTTCCCAAGTGTGTGAAAGATTGATTGAGAGAGTGAGTGAGAGAGTGACCAGACTTGGTTGATGGGTTCGAGAGTGGGAGAGAGTGAGAACACACAAACACCTCTCATACACCCACACACTAACCTTATCAACAAACAAACAAACAAACAAGGTGGCACCAATAATGATGTGAATGAATGAATGATGAATGAATGAATGAAAGAGGGACATAGAACCAATCAATCATTCACTCTCATACTCTACCTACCTCACTCACATTCACATTATCTACATACCTCTCAAGAAGAGAGAGAGAGATAGAGAGTCTTTAGACGCAGCTCATCAATCAATCAATCAATCAATCAATCATTCTTTCGTTAATTCATTCATTATTTATCATTATTATAAACTACTTGTTACAACATCATTCATTCATTCAATCATTCATTCATATATATATATATATACATACATACATTTATGTTAACAAGTTGTAGTAGTTGTTGTAATAAGATAAGATTAAGATTAAGATAAAGATAGGATTACATATTTATTTAATATAATATACAATAGATATAGTTGTTGAAGATTGAAACAACAACAAAGTAGTAACAGAGAAGCAGATGACAATGCAGCCTGAACTAGCTGTAAATGTCTTCTGGGATCTGGAGAACTGCTCGGTACCCTCACATATGAGGGGAATACATGTGGTCAATGCAATACGATCATTCGCTCTACAACGTGGCGTACTAAAGAATATATCAGCCTTTGCCAATCTAAAGCTGATCAAGGATGAACTGCGCTCCAACCTACAAGAGTGCGGTGTGCTCCTACACGACGTGTCGCGAAACAAGTCCAATGCATCGGATATCGCTATATTGGTGGAGATACTCAAACTGGTCATCGATAACAAGCCACCTCATTGTATCGTCTTGATATCTGGTGATCGAGACTTTAGCAATGTGCTCAACACGCTGACCTTTCGTCGATACCAAGTCTACTTGATACACTCGTCGCACGCCTCTGACGTGCTCAAATACTCTGCCACTGCCTCCTACGAATGGTTCTCTCTTCTCCGCGGAACAATCAAGGCGCCAACATCTCCTGTCATGCCACCATCAACTCCACCACAACAGCAACAACAGTTATCTTATGGTGGTGGTGGTGGATCGGGTAATGGTATGCAGCAACAACAACAACAGCAACAGCATCAACCACAACAACAACAACAGCAACAACAACAACAACAACAGCAGCAACAACAACAGTTCACCAATCTCAATAGTCCATCACATAACAATGTTCGAGAGCATGCTCCTCAGTCACAACAACAACAACAACAACAACAACAACAACAACCACAACAACAACATCAACAACAGCAACAACAACAACAACAACAACTTCAGCAACAACAGCAACAACAACAACAACAATTACAACAACAACAACAACAACAGCAGCAACAGCAACAACAACAACAACAGCAACAGCAACAACAACAATATGTACATAATATGCTCAATACATCACAATCAATTATCAATCAAACACAAGCACAAACAAAGAATGTTGGCAAGAACGATAAAGTCGACATTGAGAAGGACAGCTTCAAACTGAACGCACCGCCGCAATCGGACGAGGCCGACACACAGTCGCAGCAGGCCGCCGACGACGCCAATGGGTCCTCGGAGGACACCAGCGGCAACAACTCGCCCACCAACATCCTGCGGAACCTCAGCTGCGACAGGTTCGCGAATGACGACGTACTCTCTGACCTGACCGAGCAGATCGACCTGTGTAGCAGCAGCGTCGCTGGCGGCGTCAATGGGCCCGTCGATGAGAAGAAGAAGTCGACTGACAACGAGCATGCCATGTTCAGCGGCTCGCCCAACCATCTGGAGGTGGACGACGAGGATTTCAACAATGAGGAGGATGCCGAGATGCGCGGCAACATGTACGAGGTGGACGATGAGGAGAGCTCTTACGCCGACTTCCAAGAGCCAGGCTCTGACTCTTTCGCCTTTGGTGGCGATGAGATCATGAGCAGCAGCAACAACCAACATAACAAGTTAATCAAGATGTCAAATAACAACAACAACAACAGTAACAACAACAACTTTGAAAAGACAACAATGGCCATTCCAAAGGACTATCACCATATCACCTTTACAAACTGTCAGCACCTCAACTCGGTAATAGCAAAGTTCTTCCCACTGCTAGAGATGCTGGAGAAGAGCGAGAACAAACGACTGGTATTCTCAGAGATTGGCATCAAGATGCAGTTCCTCAAGCTCGGCTATACAAAGCTCAACAACTACCTGTATGACGCGCAAGCCATCGGACTCATCTCGATCAAACAGATCAGACAGATATCGTGGGCCTTTCCCAAAGTCAGCCTGGACAACCGCTCATCATTCGACCTCTCCAAGAACTTCCAAAAGATCTACTCGCATCTGCTGCTGGCGCTCGAAGGCCTCAAGACCGACTACTTCCGGCCGACCGAGTCACAGATCGTGAAGCGAATGAAGAAGCTCGATCTACCTTGCTACAACTTTGACCTCATTCTCATCCCGCTGGCCATGTCTCACTCGCTCATAATCGAAGGAGAGAAGCCCAACCGACTGGTCTATCCACCGACTGGACGCTATGAGGGCCTGGACCCATCGAACCCCAATCCAGACTACTTCTCACCGCACACCTGGAAGTTGTTTGAGGACTTCCTTCGATCCGTGCATCCACTGTCCAGGAATGGCCGCTATGGATTCGCACTCTTCCTCAAAGAGTCTGGTCCATCCGAGCTCCGCGAGATGCCCCTGGCAGTTGTCACCTCAATGGTCGAGCTAGCACTCAAGAAGAAGCTACTCCTTTACAAGAGCTCAAATGTAAGTTAGTTAACCCTCTATTGATTGATTGATTGATCGATCGTGATGGACTAACACGTTGTTGCGCCAACAATAGATTTGTACCAACATCCAAGAAGAACAATCGTCATCGATTAACAAGCAGAGTTCTCAAGTCGGTGAAGAGAAACGATTAGAAGAGAAGGACTCACCTAATGACCCTAGCAATGTATGTATATTGATTCAATGATGATCCATCACAGTGTCCCACTCACTAACTCAATCAAACTTGGAAACTGGATAAATAGGAACTGGTATCTTCCAAAAAGTTTGATGAAGATACAGTACCGGTTTCTTTTACTTGGCCATATAGTGGCCATGTTATTCAGCTGACCGGATCCTTCTTTATGTGGGACCAGAAGGTGCCACTGACGGACCAGCTCTCGATGAATACCTCTCCTCAACGCAACAGTCTGTTGTTGGGAATTGAAGAGAAGCGAACAGATAGCAGTGGAGTAATGGCAGGCGATAGTATATTGTCCACTATGCTCTATCTCGCTCCTGGCAGGTATGAGTACAAGTTCATTGTCGATGGCAACTGGGAGTACGATCCTCAGAAGCCTGTTGTTACGGACGATCGCGGAAACATCAACAACCTCTTGGTCGTCAATTCAAAGATCAGAAAGGAATGATTACATTATTACTTTATATATATATTTATGTATGAACAATACAAGGCAACAAACAACTACGACACCATCATCATCCTTGCGTTACTCATTCATTCACTCACTCACCGCATATAACAAACTGTTGGCACTTGTATTAAATGGAAATGAATGGATGGATGTAAAGGGGATGAGATGCTGTATGATATTGATGTACTTGGGAGTAGTTGGAGGTTTATACAAGTCAGTCAGGGCGCAGCAGCGCCACGTGTCATCAGTTCAACAGGTATAGTTCTTGCTGTTCAAATAGGAGATCGCCAGCTCGAATGGCTCCTCGCTCGACTCTTGCTTGTTGACGTGAGCGATGGCCTCGCGCACGTGGGACTCCTGGAAACCAATGGCCAGCAGATTGCCAATGACCTCGTCCATGTTGGCATCCTTCCTCGTCTTAAACTCGCTATTTAGCAGGATGTTGTCGCCGTCCAACGTGATGATCTTCTCCCACACGATGTTCCTCTCCGTCTCGTAGCCAATGTCCGTCACCAAGATGTGCAGACTGCCATCGTGCTTGGTGATCGTGGCGAAGTGATTGTTCCTAAAAAATACACATATCTCGTCCTCCTCCAAGCTTGTTCTAATCTGTTCCAATCCATAAGAGGACAACTGGCTTCCATTCAACAAGTCTCTGACTGTTTGTTGTTATGCATCCATTGTTAGAATGTGATGTGAATGAAACTGATCGCGATAATGAATGTGTGACTTACTCTGCTTCTCGGCCTTTGATGAGATTAAAGGGAAGCTCTTCTCAAAGTCCACAATCTTTGTGGCCAGCTCGTTGTAGCTGAGGTTGCTTATCAAGTTGTGTGCCTCGACGTTCTCTGGGTCGCTGAGCCATCCGTGAACCAGTCTGATCTTCAGATAGTCAAAGATTTGAATCGGATGGTTCTTCTCGAATGCAAAGATGTTGTTGAATAAGATATTTACAATGAGACCAGTCTCCAACGTTGGGAGTACAGTCTTGTCATAGTCCTCTATGATCTGGATAAAGTGTGGCTCCTAAATGTCGGTGTCCCGGGGTCAGTATCCGATCAATCGATCAATCAATCAATTAATCAATCTTATCTTACATCTTTGTAGAGTTGCTTTGCATATCTTATGATTAGGTCGCCAAGCTTCTGCAAGGATATCAATGTATTCTCTTGTTCGATGTTGATCTTGCCCTGTAACAGTAGGACGTTGCCTATTGAGATCAAAGGACATGGACCATTCTCATTCTGTAGTACAATCCTCCTCTCTTTACCTTTGTACTGTACTCTCTTTACTCTATATTGTTTTGATGTTTCCTTTACATGTTCCCCAAAAGTTATTAAGTTAGTATATCATTGATGACCCTCTATGACCTGGATCAGAAGTCCAAACATACCACTGGTGCTATATCATCCATCAACTGTACATCCAATACGAACACCAATGTCTCATAGTCCTTTGCATTGTCCCAATATGATGCACCCTTATCCGAGTCTGTATCGTATCATTCAATCAATCAATCAATCATGTTAGTAAAGGTGTTGTGTCTGATCAATTGTCGGTCAATCATACCTAGATGAAACCATAGATGGTTCTCTTTGACACCGATTACTGTTGCGGGACCCTTTGGAGTCTTGACACGTGAACCAGGGAAGAAACCAAACTTCTCACAAGACTGGCGTGAGGTATCGAACTCCTCAGACTTGCCATTCTTTGTCATATATAAAATCTTGTTCTCAGTCATCTTGTTTCTTTTCTGTATGTAGTTATATTAAAGTTATAATTAATTAATTAAGTTTATGTGTATTTGTGTGTGATGTGTGTTTGTTTGATGATAAATGAATAATGAATGATGATTGTGATACATACACACATTAATTAATTGAGTCATTGGTGAAGCTGCCAATTTTTTTAATTAAACTTGTGTGTTGAAGTTGTTCTTGGTTTTGTTTGAATTATCAGCTGATTATTTGTGAGGCTCTGTGAACTATCGTCCATGGCACTCGGTCATGACCACTCGTGATAACAAGTAATTAAGTACGTAAGTTCACCATCATCATTAAAGTGATCTGTCTCTTATCATTATATAAGAGTTGATTGAACATCCTTCTAAATAATTCATAGATATTTCAATTTCTAGGACATCATAAATAAATAAATAAATAATAAAGTCTTTGTTCACTCACTGCTTTAGTTATCGCCTGGTCTTGATTGATTGACATGACATGACCTGGACAAGATGTCAATCAAATCGATTATTATTTTTGGACACAACTACAAACACAAAAAGCCCTGGGACGACTTTGTGAAGCTTTGGTGCCTCCCCACTCACACACTCACAAACACACAGTTCATTCACCTTCACTTTCATTCATTTCATTTCAATTCACCAACTCCACCTCCCAACCAACAACATCACTGTCACTCACTCCCTCACGCACAGACATACAAGGACTCGACTTCAACAACAACAAACATCAAGAAGTCCTTGTACTTCGCTCATTCATTTACAAACTATCTTTATATATTACATTAACAAACATTAATAATATATATGGCCTCAGCAGAATTCTATATATTCCAATGGGGATCCATTATATTCTTGGTGTCACTATCAGGCCTGTTCGCAGGTCTAACACTTGGTATCATGTCTCTTGATATCACAGGTCTAGAAGTATGTTATATTATTATCATCATCATCATCATCATCATCATCATCATCATCATCATCATCATCACATTCAATCATTCAAATACTTACATTCAATCAATGAACAGATTATTATTGCAAGTGGAGACCCTCGTGAGAGCAAGTATGCAAAGAAGATATATCCAGTGCGACAGAGAGGCAACTTGTTGCTTTGTACACTATTGTTGGGTAACGTGTCGGTCAACTCGTTGCTGTCTATTCTGTTGGCCGATATCACTTCGGGCTTTGTAGGTTTCCTGCTGTCCACCGTCATCATTCTGCTGGCCGGTGAGATCATCCCCCAGGCATCGTGCTCGCGTCACGCCCTCGCCGTTGGCGCGCACACCATCTGGGTCGTGTACATCTTCATCTTTATCTTCTTCCCCGTGGCCTATCCAATCAGTTGTGCGCTCGACTTTGTGCTGGGTCGCGAGATGGGCACCATCTACAGTCGTCATCAGCTCAAGAAGCTGCTGGACATCCACAGTGCGCACGCCATGGAGAGTGGTGTGTCACGTAGCGACGTCACCATGCTGACAGGAGTGCTGGACTTTGGCCAGAAGAAGGTGGCTCAGGTCATGACCCCGCTGGAACAGGTCTTCATGCTGGACATCGAATCCAAACTCGACATCAACATGATGACATCCATCCTTGAGAATGGTCACAGTAGAATGCCCGTATACGAAGGTGACCGCACCAACATTGTCGGCTGTCTACACATGAGAGATCTCGTCCTCCTGAACCCAGAGGTATGTTCATCGCAGCCGTCAGGCCCACACTCATTCATACTAACACATCACACCCATCAACTACTACAGGATGGTGTACCTTTGAAGACTGTCATTGGTCTGTTCCATAGACAGCTGCTAAAGACATGGCATGATACATCACTCGAGCAGATGCTCAATGAGTTCAAGACGGGCAAGAGCCATATGGCCATCGTCCACAAGGTTAACTCTGATGGCGATGGCGATCCCTTCTATGAGAACCTTGGCATCATCTGTCTTGAAGACGTACTCGAAGAGATCCTTCAAGATGAGATCCTCGATGAGGCTGATCATTATGGTAGGTGGACCAATCAATCACATGTCATACCCATGCATGCACACGCTAACCTAACCTCTACCTTTAGAATCTGGAACGAATGGAGCAGTTGATTACAAGACTATTGGTAGCTTCCATGGCACAAAGACAAGGACACCAACAAAGATATCGTCGCAACAGATGATCGCCGTGCATTCATTCTTGAGTGGCTGCATGCCAGAGTTCTCGTCCAAGCTGATATCTGAGACGGCCTTTAGGAATATGTTGTCCAACAAGGGCGCCATGGTGGTCGAGTACGACAAGCCCAAGAAGGGCGACCAGTTCATCTACAAGCGTGGCGTCAGCGACACGTTCTTCACAATCGTGCTGCAGGGCAAGCTGGAGATCAAGTCGGGAGGAGAGGGCTTTGTCAGCGAGGGAGGCCCATTCTCCACACTTGGCATCAACGCGCTGAAGGAGGATCAGTTCATTCCGGACTTCTCGGCCCGCGTTACTTCGGCCAACATTCAGCTGCTCAGGATCAACAAGCCGGCGTACGATGCAGCGATCAAGGCAACGACCGAGGAGTACAACACTCATGTGTTCAAGAGAGGCGAGACATTGGCCACCTACTTGGGCGGCACGTCAACAACATCAACGTCATCACCAAACGAGCGCAAGCCAACTACCACAACGACGACTACATCGACTACAACCACTACACCTACATCCATCCCACCACATCATCTACAGCAACATACGTTGATAGACCTGAGTAGTCCCCTCGTACATGGCACCAGTAACAACATCAACAACAGCAACAACAGCAACAATCTGAACAACCTCACCGACATTGGTGGTGGCATCGATGGCCACAATGGTGGCATTAGAAACTCAGGCATCATCCCATCGTCCTCGATACATGATCACCACGACGACGATGATGATATTCAAAGCAATCTCATCTAGTCCTCCTTGCCTCGCCTGTCAAGTCCCAATACATCATCAATGATCTAACAACCTGTACATGTATCTATCTGTATGTTTCCAAGTTAGTTTATTTCCTTTCGCGTTCGCTACGATCTGATTATGTTTGTTTGTTTGTTCGTTTGATTGATTGATTGATCGCTTAGTCAGAGAAGAGGTTGAACAACAAGATGAAGAGGTAGACAAAGAACATGATCATATAGAAGACCAACTTGAGCATCAGGTGATTGCCAATCTTGCTGGTTTGAGAGTATACTTTGGTGGCATCGCACAAATATGTTCTGCTATTATATCTATTTGAATGAATGATTACAAGTTAGTCCTTGATGTGTGACACGTGATCCACTTCATACATCCATCAATTTATAAACAACTTACCTCATGATGTGATAATATACTAAAGGCATGTTCAGTAGGAATAGGACCAGTCTAAAGGTGAGCAAGAACCATCCAGCAAACACACCCTGTAAGATGTACTCTGGCAATACGAAACGGTTGTATCTCTTGCAAAAGTCGATAGAGTTGATATCATTTCCTTCCAAGTCTGTCAAGAGCAATAGCTATATAATGGCATGAGTTGGTAAGATGATGTGATTGAATGAATGAATATAATGCATACCTCATAGACAACGATACCTAGCAAGACACCTGATGAAATCAGGGATATGAGCATGGTCACATCAAAGCCTGAAGTTGATAACTCATACATTATTATGTGTAGTCGTCGTTATATTATATATATATGTTTACAATAAATAAAGAGTTTGAATGAATGAATGAATTGATGGAAGTAATAGATGTTTGATCTTCAATTCAACCCATCAAAAGTTGTTGTTGTGCATCCATCCATCCAATGAAGGGGCTTGTTTCCGCGCGGTCTTGTGTTGATGAATTAAATTCAACGATGTGCCATTGTTCATTCACTTTATTTCAACGATGACTCATTCAAACAAGCAAACAAATAATAATCACCATTTATAAGTCTTTGAAAGTATCGAGCGAACGAATGAAAGAGAGATGTTTACATGTATGTTAAAGAGTAAATAGTTGTATTACAAGAGATAATTAGAAGGAAGTGAATGAGTTACTGAACACTTGCAAGAGGATGATGTGTCATTGTTCAGTTGTATTGTTGACCACCCTGGAGTGTATACATCCCAGCGAGTAGTATTCCAACTTTTAATGTTGCATCCAATATATCTCTCCAAACAATTATTTGATTGATCAATCAAGATTTTTATTTATAAATCACAGTTTTGGTTATTGTTGGCGAGGAGTCTTTGAAAAAGGACCCCGAATGGACACGACACCCGATTGCGTCACCTTTCAACCCAGATAATCAAAGTTGCCGATCTTTGAACTGATTAACAGAATAGCTCAACCAATCCTGACGTTGTCTTGGATGACCCTCACGGTCATTCATTCATTCATTCATTCAACATATAATTGAATAACTAACAATCAATCAAACATGGGTACTTTTGAATTGATGTTCGTTTTGTTCATTGCTTACTTGTTGCTCTCATTCGTAAGTATAACACATTCAAATATCATTTGGAATGATTCCATACCATACTCATTCATCATTGTCACAGATCAACAAGAATAGGAGACAATCAAATCGTGATCCAAAGGGCCCTTGGGAGTTCCCAATCCTTGGAAGTCTGTTGTACTTGACGGACAAGCCTCATTTGGGTTTGACAGCAATGTCCAAGAGATATGGTGGTGTGTTTAGATTGTGGATGGGCGACCTGTACAGCATCAGTGTTAGTGATCCAAAGATTATTCGTGAGGTCTGGCACAAGAACTTTGAGAGCTTCACAGATCGTCCAATCATCCCCTCCTTCATCTACTTTAGTGGCAACTTCCTCAACTTGGCTGCATCAAAGTATGAGCGATGGAAGCACAACCGACACATTGTCGCCAACGCCTTCACCAAGACCAAACTCAAGACAATCCACAACGTCCTCGATCGTCAATGTCTCAACCTCATCAACAGGATGTCAGAGTTTGCCAAGTCTGGTCAAAATGTATGTTTGAGTCCACTGGAACCATTCCAATCAATCGCTTACTCACTCAATCAATCACTCAATCACATAGTTCACACCATCCGATCATCTGATGAAGTATTCATTGAATATTATTATGATGATATTGTGTAGTGAGGAGATGTCTTATGATGACGAGGCTGAAGGAAGACTGGCAGAGTTGATCGAACCGATTAATCAGATGTTTGATATGATTGGCACTGGTCACCCAGCTGACTTTATCACAATGTTCCAACCATTCTACCTCGTATACCTCAAGTATGGACCATCCAAGATACTGAAACGTCTACACAGTTACATCTCAGCAGTCTACCACGAGCATCTAAAGGATCTTGATCCAGAGAAGTATGATCAATCAATCACTCGCTCATTCAATCACTCAATCAATCAATCATACTCACTCATTAACTGATGCACACTTAGCCCAAGAGACTTGTTCGATCAGATCATATTGTATGAGTATTATGGCAAGCATGAGGAGTCAATTATAAGGATTGCCATGGACTTTATTATCGCTGGAACAGATACAAGTGGCAACACAATCAATTGGTTAATGTTGTACATGGTCAACAATCCAGAGATACAAGAGAAGGCCTATGGTGAGCTGTTGGCCACGGTTGGAAAGGACCGCGCTGCCACTGTGAGCGACAGGATAAACACACCCTATGTGATGGCCATCATCAAGGAGGTGCTGAGGATTAAGCCCACGGGTCCACTGGGCCTGCCCAGGATGTGCACTCAAGACGCCGAGGTCGAAGGATACTTCATTCCCAAGGGCACATTGATGACGATGAACATCTACGCAGTACATCATGACGAGGAGTATTGGGACCAGCCATCAGAGTTTAGACCAGAGAGATTCTTGGACAACAATCATACAATGTATTGGATACCGTTCAGCGTTGGACCAAGAGATTGTGTCGGTTCAAACCTGGCAATGGATGAAATCTATGTTGCCACTGCCAACATATTACTCAACTTTAACATTACATCTAGTACTGGAAAGACATTGGATGATACAGAGA